AAGTGGTAGATAAGTTAGGGTTACCTTTCTGGTGTTGGAATCTTTATCCAATACGGATACGGTGTGCACGCGGTCTACCTCGTACTTATGCGGTCGACCTATTAAGTGCAAAATGGTCTGCCTATTAGGTATTTGGGTCGACCTTTCATTTTGTTCGCTTTCCAAAGAGGTCGACCATTTGCTATAGAAGGTCAACCGCGTCGTTGAACCTCACAAAACTGAAACACCAGATTAGATCGACCTAATCCTATATTAGATCGACCGAAAAGTCCATATTACGGTGACATGCATATCACCAACAATAACATATCACCAACAATAACAATAGTATTTTTAGGAAGAAAGAAAGAGTGCAGTGGGAAGTGTTTCTAAGCTGGCAAATTTTGTCTTCACATCAATAATCACGATTATAAAACACATTAATCACAAGATAAAAGAGGGCAGCAACTGCTGCTGCTGTTATAACTTGGCTGCCACAAAGAACCCAATAATCAAATTGCTCGCTCTCACCCCAATAATAATTAAATTGTTAATTAGTAAGCAAAAGCTGCGACTAACTAGCAAACGACGTTAAAGAGAGGAAGCCACGCACCTTCCCACCGCAATCCATTTGCATATATATACACAGTTTAGAAGGTTAATTGTTGTTCTAGTCCAAATAATATGTTGTTTCAACAAATACCTTTTAAACAACATAATTTTGACAAATCGGATAGTGTTTGTATTATCGATTCAATGCTTAACAAACACATGTTTAATGGGGTATATGGTATCTCATGTGTGAGATAAAATTCATATTTTGAACTTTAATAAGAATCTTGTATATATTTTTTTTTGGTAGTATCTTACGTCTGATTTATCATTTGGTCCATATTGTACCTAGTTTGAGAGAAAAGATTCTTAATATTTTGCATATCCATTTTTAAGAGTGTGCTTATTAACCACGATTAAACTCAATTGTAAAAGAATGTAGTTCTTTACTTTTTTGTATTTACATTTTACAAATTTTTTAAGTAGGGATGAATGATGTTAAAACGAATACATAACATAGTACAAACATATGAGATCATGTTAAAAGAACAAATTACAAGGACTATAATTCTCATTAACCATATTTTTTAAACACAAACGGCATTTGAATTAGAATATATTCAATAAGAAATTAAAAAGAAAGGAAAAAAGCAAAGTCCTTTTGTTTGATTTCTGAAAGACAGGAGTGGTTAATGGTTACTGGTTAGGGTAAAAAGTCAGCCACAAATCCAATATTAAATTTTGGGCCCCGCCCTTGGCCCCTTATATAATTACATTACATTTGCTAAATCCTCTAACAATAATAACACCAACTAGAAGAAGATGAACACCAACACATAATTGATAGTGAAAGGGTAGGACTAAAGAAGAAGAACAAGGTTGAAAACGCAAAGATATCATTTATCATTCTCTCTCCTCTCTCCTTTCTAATCTAATATTTTGTTCAAATCATGGTAATTTGTGTTCACCATCTTGCACCTTTAGGGGTTGTTTGGAAGTTGCAATTGTTTTGTTGAGATTGTCATCATGCATGTATTGTTTACAATGCATTGTTTTTTGCTTGTTTTTTTAGCAGAAACAATACATGGATTGTTTCTGTGATGTGACAGAAACTATCACTCATTTTGAGTGATTGTTATATCTCAACTTTTAGTTGTGATTGTTGAGATAGTTGAGTTGAGATTGTTTGGTCTCAGCTTTTAGCTGATGCGACATACACAATCACACATACCAAACTGTGTATTCTACAATGCATCAAATTCGACAATACATGTATAATATTATACATGCATTCTCAACAATACATCTATTTAACAATCGCAACTTCCAAACGACCCTAATATTAATCGAAAACTTCTTTCAACTGAGTTCAACACATTAATAACTTGAATCATAATAACAAACTAACCAATTGGAATAACAATGTTTGTTGGAATTTGGAAATAAAAAATCAATAAGACAAAGAATACAATTTGTTGGCTTAGTTAAAAAATATCATAATTCCCTTTTCGATAAATATGTTCGTGTAGACTATTAAGCTATAATTTATTATTATTTATTATATATACACTACTAAATTACTTCACGTATTTTATCAATACCCTGGGATAATACTGCATTGCTTAGAATGTCACAATGTCAGAGCTGATCCAGTAGGAGCTACAATCACCTTTAATTTTTATTTAGAATTGTAAATATTTACAAAATGTTGAACAAAAGTGATCATGGCGTATTATGATCCACCTCTGGCCTTGATTCATTCTTATGGGCAAATGCGAATTTTTATTTATATCCCCTCTATAAAAATCCTCGTGTCATTACTATTAAGTATTAACAGCTAGTTTATAAGAAAAGAACACCGAACACGTACGCAATGACATTCACAAGCAAAAGGGGGGAGGGATAAAAGAAAGAAAGAAAAGATAATGAGTTAATGACTCATCACCACTTCCATCTTCATTTTAAGCTCATATCCCATAATTTGCTAGAATTGGTGCCATGTGAAAGAGCATCGAGCTCGAGCAGGACTGTGGCTGAGTGAGAGAGAGAGAGATTTTAGATAAAAACTACATATTCTCTTAACTCTCTCACACCATTTTCTGAAACTCTCTCCATTTCTATAATCCAAAAAACCCTCAAAGAACAGGACCACAAGTAATCAGTCTCTAGTCCAAACAAATTCCCCTCATCTTTTCCTTCCTTAAATCCCCAATGTTCCATATGTAAACGGCAGATTCATGTTATGCAAGAACTCAGGGCTTCCTTACTATGGATGGCATTGGAGATATTGCTAAAGGGAAACATAGTAAGAAAGGTGAGCCCTTTGGGGAAGGTGGGCATGCGGCATCATAACTTGATAACAAAAGCATGACCTATTCCCTCCCTTCCCATGGTGGCGGTGGCTTGAAGGGTAATAGGTATGGTCCTATTCCAAGTTATGCCCACATCCACATATCCCATTTTGTGTGAGAGAGAGGAAGTAGGGACTTTTTTTTTTGTTTTTTGTTTTTTTTTTTTTTTGAAGATGGATCAAAGAAAACATAAGATGTCTTTAAATTAATTGATTCAGATTTTCGGATGGTCCAACGAAGTCTTTTGTCCCACCACAATCACCACCACCACCAACTTTTGAGACTCCATCCCACAGTCCTAAAGCTACAGGGACAAAAGCAGAGGAGAGCAGAGGGAGAGAGATGTGAAAAATCAAAAGAAGGGAGAAACCGAGACCAAGCAAAAGGACCACAATTCTGGTCCTATTGATGTCACCCTTCCCACCTTTTGTAAAAGACACAAAACACAGAGACAGAGAGAGAGAGAGAGAGAGAGATGCCAAACCTACCATATGCGATTGCATGTATTATATATCTACATTCGTTCAAGCTTATGTCAGCTGGTCCATACCCAGCACAGCAGGACCTTCGCTTCGCTGCAAGAAAAAGGAAATGAAAAGGGTTGAACTTTGTTCATTAACTAGAATATATACATATATTACTGAATGAAGGCAGCAAGCAAAGATTCAGTGTGCTTACTATCTCTACACAGAGCTCAGTAATTAATTCTGCAAAGCTGGGGGACCCCAAGAATACTTGGGGCTGTGCTGACTTGCTACAAAAGTGACATTCTTTAACACACTTTAAAAAGAGAGGTACTCCTGACCATATCAGAGGCAAAGATTAGATAGAAATGTGACCCATCTCATCATGAATTGAACTCAGGCACCCTCCCTCCAATCTTTAAACATTGCACAACATTCTGTTACCCTGGAATCTTCATCATAACTATTCCAATTCCAACAGTAACGAATGCTCCTACACTCCACAAGCAAATAAATGCCCATTGCTACACGAATCATGAGTAGGAGAAACAGCTTCAAGCCAAGCCAACAACAACTTACCATAACAATACCCTATGCCCTCCAAGTGTGCAAGTCTACAATGAACTCTAAATTAGGCAATTAGTATGATGGGAAACCAAGCACAAACCAAATGAGGTTGCAGCAGTCTACAGCCCACGTAATGTAAGTGCTTTGCTGATACAAAACAAAATTCCCCACAAGCTTGCTATTGCAGGCAGGGTTTCTGTGGAGGCCTCTAACCCTCTAAGCAAAGCAATCTCATTTCTCAGATTAACAGTTAAGTTTGAACTTCTTAACAACAAAATCAGTACTAGACTATCTCGTTCAGTGTTACTCATACACTCACATTCACCACCAACAAGAGAGATATGAAGTTAGCTTGGAAGCCAGATGTATGGATTCAAGACGTCTTTACAGCAAGTGGGCCACGAACTAGAAGACAACTCCATAATGCAGATCCCAACAGACATTCCCCTCATCTGTATGCCACAAACAACACTCCAAAATGGTGTTCGGCAGAGATTACAGGATCACATAACATTGGGAACAAAAGGAAGAATACAAGGAAACTAGTTAAAGCTAGACACAGAAAGTACATTGTTACAATATTCTCAAGCAATCTAGAGATAGTTGAAGGGTTGCAAATGCAACCATTTCCAGGAGTGTAGGTAGAATTTCAATGTAGAGACCAACCATCACGATCATGTAACAGACACCAACCCTACTTCATTCAACACTAATTTCAAGACATATGAACCAGCAAAGACTTGACCAATTTGTCTATGCAGAAAAAAACCTACATTTCAAGTTAACCAAGTCAGCATATTGAGATCTGTTGTCCTCCAAGAGAGAACAATCACAAGCTCCACCATCCAGTATTCCCCGAACAGAAAGTAACCAACCTTGCTGACCATCAGAAACAGATGAGCACAAGAACAAAAGGCCAAGATGTCTGAAACAGACACACATATATAGGCAAGTAGGTGGTTACAAGACATAGCCATAATCATATAACCTGCATGTATCATTTCTCCACAAATGCTTGAATGCCTCATCTCACTGTTAACTTTCAGAGTCACATCAGTATCATACTAAACCCATCCTTCAGAGGACTTCACCAACAAATCATTAATTCAAATAGAGGAGTGAACCATACATTATCGGGGTTCACTTTGAGACTGCTTTGGGAAATCCCTCTACTATTGGACATTTTCCCACGGTGTGTAATCTCCACGCTATCTCCAACACAATTAATGAGGGAAAACCAAATAAATTCTGCTTCCGCTTCACAGGGTAGGGTATCGCAAAGGGCAAAATGTGAGTCATGCAACAACTTAAGAACATGGTTCTCATGGTTCTCTTGTTTCTATAGAAATGAACTGAGAGATCTTAACTAGGCCTATAGTTATTCTAGAGGCAGTTAGATCCATCACAGGAAGTGCAGATAAGTATTTCAGGGTAGAAACAACACACCATATAAGGAGACATAAAGTATCTTGTGTCATATGCAGAAGAAGACCTGCTTTCCAAGCTAACCCAGCAGCACCCCAGCGAAGAGAATCCTCCACGATACAAAATCGGTCACAAGCGGCAAAGAATATTCCCAAGCAGAAACTAAAGAACCTTTTCAACCATATGCATCAAGATAGAGCACTAGCACAAAACCCACCAGGATGTCTGAAACAAGATATACCAGCAAGTAGACAGTTACTTGGCTTAAAATTCAATTTGAGTAAACTCGAGAAATATTACTCTTCACAGAGCAGGTGCACGTCAGTATTCGCTGCATGTATTGTTTCTCCACATTCCACAAGAGCATGAACTGCCTCAGCTCACTGTCAACTTCAGAACGTAAACCTGTCATGGCTATAAAAGAACCCATTGAAGCAAATCCCCTCAGAGGACTCCAAAACTAGTCATGAATTATGATAATGCAGGGCCAGATGCATTATCAGGTTTCAGTATCAGACCCATTCTGTTCTAGGCATTTATCTCCAATACATTTAATGAGGGAAAGCATAGCGAGTTTGGCTTTGCTTTGAAGCTGCAAAAGGTAGTGCATCATGTGATTTGTACTATAACTTAAGATCATTGCTCTCTTGTTCCTAAATAAAACCAATACAGATCTTCAGGAGGCCTGGAGCATAGAGAGCAATCAGGCAAAATCACCTTATCCATACAGGTGTTGCTCTGCCTTGGCAAGAAACACATTCAGTAAAAAAAACTGCAGATGGAAAAAGAAACCCTGCTCTAACAGGAAATGCATGGTTCAATTGATAAACCCAATAGGTGATATAGCTAACCGAAAGTTACAACATTGACTTGAATTAAACCATAAATAGCTTCTATTGTCACAGAATGAAGTCATTGGAACTAATCACTAACTCCCCCTCCCAAATTCAGCAGCTACTCAAAAGCTATTCCTCGACTACTAACCTTGCCTTTCCAATCATGCGTCACTATCATCGCTATCATCCTCGTCGGCAATCCCTGGAGCATTAGCGATGTAGAAGCCAGGCTGCACACCACGCCGCCGCGTCCTCGACGGAAGAATGTTGTCCAAATCAACCTCCGCCAACGGATCATCCTCTAGCTCACTGTCATCATCGCCTCCTCCATTCTCACTCCCGTCGTCGTCATCACTCGAATCATCGTCGTCATCAACGCTATCGCTATCCTCCTCTTCCTCCTCAATCATAATCCCTTTCCCCTTTCTATCCACCACCGCAGCTTCTTCATTCTCCTCCTCGTCTTCTTCTTCTTTGCCGACCTCAATTCCATTGATTTCGTCAGCTTTCCCTGCACCCTCCTCCTCGCAAATTGAGAAACTTGGCGCGAAATCCTGACCGCCGTCGTTGCCGGAGGCGTTTTCTGCCTCGGTGGGCGACAATTCACCGTTGTTGCTATTGGAGGATTGAGTCTTCTGTGTCTTGTTAGGTTGATCCAGTTCGTCTTTATCTGGGATTAGGGGATCGAATTGCTTCCTTTTGGCGGGCAATGTGGGCTCGCTAGGTTCTTTGACTTCCGCCATTGTTGGATGGATTCCTGCTGCTCTCTTCGGGAGCTGAGGAGTTGGTGGTTTATATTTGGGAATTTCCGCACAAGAACTCGGATTCTAGGGTTTAGCCGGAAAGTATAACTGGAAGTCTGGAACGAAGGGAAGCTTTAATTTTCGCTCCTTCCACCTTCCTCCAATTAATATTAAAATTTCACCACAAAAATTCATCTTAACAAGTATATCCCCAATTTTTAAATAAAATAACTTCTAAAAAATTGTATTTTAAGAGTTGTCAACGTACTTTTAATTTCGAGTTTAGTATGTATTGATGGTTGTGTTTCTTATATGCGATTGCCTGATTCTAATTTTGAAGTTGGATAGGGAAGAGAGCTCGGTAATGGAGATTAAAACGATGGAGGAGATTACAAGACGAGCAGTCGAGGTGAGGGAGGTAAAATGAACCTTTTGGGGATGATATGGAAATGCAAATGAATTCGCACGCCTGATGGCGCGTGGGAGAAAATCGAGCTTGGATAACAATACCTCATATTTTTATCTTCACAGAATTATGTTGATTTTATTAGTCAAATTATTTTATTGTCTAAAAGTATACATTTTTTCAGCCTCAATAATATGTTTACGCTTTTGTAATATACTTTGTTCTAGGTATGGATCGTCATAATATAGCAAACAAATCTTCCCATTTACATGTTAGGTGAACTTATACCATTGATTTAATCAAGTTGATAGTTGAGTGAGATGACCATTGGTAAAGATAATAAAACATTGTTACTTGTTTATCAAGCATAAGATTTTTCTATATCTCATAGTTTTGGAACATTCCACGAACTCTTTTTTTAGGTCGGGGTTGTAATCGATGTTGAGTTTTTTTATATTGGGCACCAAAGTCAGTTGACCGCCACTTTTTACCCCAAACTTCTCTCGTGATATCAACTTCGGTCATATTATGCAAAAAGGATATGTCGATCGATCTCGGCGGGGACACTCTCTGATGCTCAAGTTAGTGAGTGGGTTGAGGGAAGAGTAATAACCTCGAAAAGAAAAATGAGGGAATGTAGTTGAGAATGAATATATGCGCTAATCATAATGAGAGTTCACGAGTCTAGGCATGGAGATTTTTTCTTACCACATCTAGAAATGAAGTGGCCTTTTATAGAGGCCTCAAGGCAAGCATGAAGGGGGTACCTTATGCTTCTGTGAAATTTTTGGAAAAAACACCCTTGACTTCGTCTGACTAACTTTTTGTCCCGATGCCGCGTGTCTTCCTCTGGCGCTTGATGGTACGGAGAGGGGATACGTGATGCGGGTACGTGTCCAAGGGTGCTGAGAGACCTAGGGTGGGCGGAGTGAGCCAAAGGTGGTTGAGGTGACCCGAGGGTGACTGGAGTGACCCCAAGGTGACTGAGGTGATTGACCCCGGGGTGGCCGGAATGACCCAAAGGTGACCGGGAGTGGCCGAGGTGACTCGTTGTTATGGACCCCAAGGTGGCCTGGGGTGATTGACCTCGAAGTGGCCAGAGTGACCCCAAGATGGGCTAGGTAACTCGGGGTGATTGACCCCAAGGTGACTCGGGGTGATTGAGCCCGAGGTGACCCGGGTGATTGACTCGGAGGCATATTCCAGGTACCTTCGGTGCTTCAGCGATCGGGTTCTCCATCCCTCATTCCTCATCCCTCCTACCACATTCAATCGATATAGACTGAGGGTCAATGGGTATATCAATGATCTTGGGTGGAGCTCACTGCTCCAGAATCGACCCCTTGATCAGTGCCCTGAAGATGTGAGAATGTTCTACGCAAGTATGCAGTGCGGCCCTGGACGATATCCGTCGTATTTCACCACCACCGTCTACAATTTTAGCGTAACAATCATTGTTGATGTGTTGGCCACTCTGCTGCATCTTCCTCACGATGGTTATCTAGCTGGGACAACAAAAGACTTTGATAGCTATGGGTTCCATCCCATAGATACTATGTCTTACCTGGCTCGTGACTATGGGAAGCACCAATTCTCCATGTTCTATGTTGAGCGGCTTCCTGATGAGCTGAAAGCCTTACACTTCTACATCACTCGTATGTTCCTCCCTCGAGATGCTGCCACGGCAACTACTCTCAAAGAGTCTGACTTGTGGATTCTGTTTAACGCCAAAACAAGCTGCCCGATCAGCTACGCCACACTCATGTTTAATCACATGATTAAATATCGAGAAGAAGAGTGCAGTGGGAAGCTGCCTTTCGGTCCGCAAATCACCTCCCTGCTAGCAATCTTAGGGGTCGATCTGCGTGGGAAAATCATCAACCAGGATGTCCATTCTGACCTCCAGGCCCAGCATTTCCTGCGTCGCACCCTCTCGGAGCTTGGACCCCAAAAACTTGCCAAAGTTCAAGGGGGAGACAAACCTGCTCAGTCTGAATCAGGTGATGATGAAGACAATAGTGTTGTAGCGTTACCTGCGAGACTTGACAAGGGAAAGGAAGTGGCAGAATCGTCTCGCAAGAGGGCTCTGGACTTGGGTCACCTCCGGGAAGGGATAAATCTGGAGAAGGAGGGAAAAGGGCTACTTCATGATCTAACCTTGGCTCTAAAAGGGAAAGAGGCCAGCTCTTCCCGCAAAAAGGTCAACAAGGTCTTATTCGTACCTTCAGAGGATGAGGAAGTCGATCCATCTGAGTATGCTTCCTATCCTGAGTACACCTACTAGGAAGCTTTCACCTAATTGGCCTAGGGGGAGATCCACGAATGTCGTCTTTGTCGGTTTAATAATTCTTGTCTGGTTGACTGGTTGTTGAAGTCGGGTTTAGATGGTAGTTGAAGTTCTGGTTTAAGTTTTTTTAGTAAGTCTTGCTAAAGTCTAGTGTCAAGAGTCAGTTGATGTTTGGTTCTGTTGCTATGAATAAAATGGACTCCCATTGTCATCTTTTGAACTTATGATACCTGCTATCTTGATTAGAGGATTGGACAGGCTGCACCTATGGTTTGTTAAGTGTGCAGGTTCTGATGGTGAGCAGGTTAAGAATGAACTTTGACAAGTTGAGACAGATTCTGGGACATCTTGTTTAGGGGGAGAAGTTTGGCCATTGACAGCTTAGGGGGAGAATGTTGGAACAAGCTAGTCAAAGGCCACTTGAGAAGGAAAGAAGATCAGGAGCAAACATGGAAAGAAGGAGAGATCAGATTAAGGAGATTTGGTACAACAATGCAAATCAAATCAGAAGATGGAATCTCAAGCATATCATCACTAATAAGGGAAGGAATTTGAATTAGCAACGGCTATATTATAGCCTATAAAAGGCGATTTGAAGGAAGAGCAACATCAACCTTTTCGGAGATCAACAAAGCTAGCTAAGACAAAAGGAGATTTTGTGAGAGAGTAGCAAGGTTGATAGAAAAGGGGGTTTCTCAAAGGGTTCGGGGAGAATTGCTTTGAGGGTTAGTGTTGGGGAAACACTGTTACGAGTTGCTGGGGAAGCAATTCGGGGTTTGAGAAGAGAGTGTTTGATCAATCGGGTTGAGATTGATCAAAGGGTTCTTGGGTAGATAGATTTACATCGAACTTCAACGAAATATCTTTAGTGAATCGCAGGAGATCACACAACAGTGAGTCTCCGACCGTGGAGTAGTCAGTATTGGGATTCTTATTCTCCCAATACTGGAAACCACGTAAAAATCGTGGGCTGTGTTCTTCCTTTGTTTCTTCAGTTTCATTTTTATATGTGCCTCTGTGTGTGCTCTGTTTCAAGTCTGACTGTGCAGGGAAATTCGATCAAGAGGAGTTAAGGAAGACGAAGTGCCAGAATTGGGTTGGCGTACCTGTTGCTATCTAGTTTGATTTATTTCACATCTTAATATTCTGGGTTTATATTGTTGTGTTCTGTGAGTTCTTCTCCTGTTCTTCACTCGAAAGGAAACAAGCCTCTTTTTGATCGAAGCCACTCTAGCGGGAAAGGAAGACTGAGTTTGAATTAATACTCTGTCGTCTTTGGTTACTCACTTAGAAAAGCGGTTGGGTAGAGTAACAGACAGGACTGGGTGTTTGGGCTCGAATATTCTATTTACTTAACTTAAGCTTTTGGGCTTAGGAGCCCATTCGGTTAAGGGTTAAAATTCTAATAGGTGGGATTTCCAATTAATGATCTCAGTAAGAGAAGAACACTGACCAATTAGCTTAGCCTAATTGTGTTGTAGGGCCATAGGGTTTAGTTATTATAATCAAAATCAAAGTTGAAGGAAACTGAAAGCTATTAGTTGTTCTAGAACATAGAGTTCTGACTTTTACCTGAGATAACGTTTGAACTAAGTTTGTGGCCAAGTAAGAGGAGTACAGGTATAAAGTCTCGCGCTCGACGCAATCAACACAATGTTGTTTATGAATGGAGAGAATGAACAAATTTTGTTCATGCCTTGAGCGAATGGACCAATCTTGGCATCGAATAAACCTTAATATGGGTTATAGACATATACGATTCTTGTTAGATCTCTGACATTGTATTCGATATTTCATCTAGTTTTTCATCATTCTCGTTGTCATTCTAGCCATATACGATTCCCATTGTCTGACGATTCCACTAAGATTACTTTTGCTTCTCGCATGCGTTTATTTATGCATTGATGATGGCGTATATGACAGTCGGGTGGCACCCATAAGGATGATAACACCCAAATGAGAACACTTTGATGTGGGTCAGACATACTATTATCATGATGATGATCTATAAGACAACAATTTGGTAGGGGAGTCAATCACACAAGGTGGTGATAGAGTCACAATGGTCATGTGACCACGACAATATAGTGGCGATAGGTGAGATGACGAAGGCGAAATATGATCACACCCCCATTGGCTATTGTCACTCCAGTGAAGAGGAAATGGAGACAATGATAATAGTCGATGCATCTCATCTATCAATGTCACAATTCGTAGGAGGTTGGCACATCATAGAGTCCCATGAGAGACAAGCCCAACGTTTTGGCTAATTCAATTGTAGTTGCACAAATTGATGCTTTCATGTTGCAGATGTTGTAAGGTATTGAACTTTTTTCTAATCGTAGTGCAATGGTTGAGAAATGGCTCGTTACCCAAATCCAGTGTAATAGTTGGATAATTACACTTCAGTCAAATGTTAAATGCAATGATTGAGTGACGACTTTCCCTCAATCATGAAGTGCAATGATTAGAGGATTTATCAACCTTAGTGCAACGGTTGAGTGAAAAAAATATATGCATGCAAAATGACCCCAAGGTGACTGAGGTGATTGGCCCGGGGGTGGCCGAAATGACCCAAAGGTGACCCGAGGTTATTGACCCTGAGGTGGTCGGAATGAAGGTAGCCCGGGGTAATTGACCTCGGGGTGGTCAGAGTGACCCCAAGGTGGGCTAGGTGACCCGAGGTGATTGACCCCGGGGTTGCCGAAGTGAGCCGAGTTTGTTGACCCCGAGGTGGGCGGTAGGGGCGGGCAAACGGTTCGGTAAACCCGAATCGAACTAAATCGAAACCGAATTAAACCGAATCGAAACCGAAATAATGCTATTCGGTTCGGAATTTGGAAGGAAAATATAGATATTTCGGAAACCAGGGTTCTTTCAACCGAACCGAATTTCCGAATTTCCGACTGAAAAACCGAAATACTACAATTGCAACCTCCAAATGGTGGATTTTTATATTTGTAGTTGTTTTTATACTTAAATATTTGAAATGTTTTATGACTTATGTGTTGAAAAGTTTGATTTTATCATTGATTATGCATATAATTTCATATTTATTGTTTATATTAGGAGTGAAAAATAATTTAAAAGTGAGAATATACAAGTAACCTCACAAATTCAGTTTTGTGTTAAAAACCAAACCGAACCGAATTATAAATTGGTTTAAACCGACTGAACTGAATTATCGAATTATAATTCGGTTCAAATTCGGTTTGAGGTTTGGGAGAATTCGGGGACCCGGTATTCATAATTTCGGTTCGGTCGAAACCGAACCGACCGAATGCCCACCCCTAGTGGGCGGAATGACCCCAAGGTGGCTCAGGGTGATTGACCCCGAGGTGGCCGGAGTGACCCCAAGGTGGGCTAGGTGCCCGAGGTAAATGACCCCGGGGTAGCCGAGGTGGCCGGAATGACCCCAAGGTGGTTATAGGCGATTAAACCGGGGTGCCCAGAGTGACCCTAAGGTGGGCTAAGTAACTCGAGGTGATTGATGAGGGTTATTTTTTTATGGGTTATTGATGAGGGTTGTTTATTAGGGACTTGTTAGACATATAATTAGTAGGATAATAATAAATAATGTTAGTTAGGTAGGGTTAGGCGGCTAGGTATAGCCGAATGGGTTAGGGTTAATTGTTAGGGTTTTGGGTTTATTTCCTATAAATATGTACTTTGGGTTTACGTCAGAATCAATCAAGAATAGTATTAAGCAAAGTATCCTTCTAAACATAATTCCTCTCAACTACTAATTTCTATTCTCTCCTAATCTAAGGCCTCGGTCGATTCCCAATTCTATTCTATTCTTCTCATCTCAATCCCTAATCTCAACCCTAAATCCCTAATTCTCATGAGTGCCGAAGATCAGTATCGAGAATCCCTAGAAGCGGGGTTCTCACAGTGGTATCAGAGCCTGGTTACAGGCACTCGTACCGGAGCCATGTCGAGATTCGAAGAGCTCTTAGTTCAAGAACTCACAAAGCTTTTGAAGTCAAAGCTGGAAGAGGTGAGGAGGAACAGTGTGACCTCGTCCTTACCGCTGTCCGGGAATATTGCCTGCGTTGCTCCACTCAAGGCTGCAGCCGCCGCATCGAAGGAACCTACAATAGTGGACGAGAAGACAGTTGCAGTAGCAGCTGCCTTTCCTTGGACATCACCATCATTGATGGTCATTGCTCCACCGATCGAGACGAAACCACCCATCGATGAGTCCCCGGCAGCAGAGCCTCCAACAACGAAAGAAGGCAATCACTGTTATCCCGATCAAGCACCGCCGAGGGCATTCCTATGACCATCATCGCAAATGTTCCTTCCAGCTCGGCTAAGAAGCTCGCCGGAAATACGGCTGCGGTGATGATTCCACCTTCTCCGACAAGAGCTCCAACCGCTGGGAAGTCACACTTCCCGCCCGAAATCTCCACCCATGGTCCCGGAAGTAACCAGGAGCACAAGGGTCAGATTAGGTCTACGACATCGACTGCCCTCAACCCGAAATCAGTTCCACTAATGTCCCCAATCAATAGTTGGAAGTTTCGTAAGAAGAAGCATACAGGAGCAACCCTTGTTCCTCGTCCGTGGAACGACGACGACGCGGAATGGATGGCCAGGAACTCCGGGACATGGGCAAAGCTCCACTGAAGCAATGAACGACAACCCAGAGTCGAATCGATGACGAGCCTCAGGACAGGCTTGCCGGATCCGCGAATCCCGCGAGCTGTGCATCAATCAGCGGCGGCTCTCGTTGCGTGGACGATATCCGTAGAGACGATGAAGCAGGGGATCAGCGTGGCTGCTTCCCTTGCGCGATTGACATCGGTTCCAACCCGGACGACGACTGAGAGGAGAGAAGCGGAGCAGGACCACAGCGAGTCGCGCGGGTGACGCCGACCAGCCCACCCATGGCAATGAAGGGAGAGACGCCAGAGAAGAAGGAGGAGCAGAGCCGCCAGGGTTCTTCGCCTGCGGCGCCATTCCGAGGGCGGCGCACTGCCGGAGAGGAAGTAGAGAAGCAGGCTAAGACGGAGAAAGAAACGCCGGTGCCCCAGAGGAAGAAGAAGAAGCGTGGCGGCGACATCCTCTGTCCGTCGCCGAAGACGACGTCGGTGGCAGCCCAAATCGTGCAGACGCCGCGATCTGATGTCGAGGAGACGACGGAGCTGAAGGCGGCGGCGGCGGGCTGGCCTCGTGGTCGTCGAGTATCGCCAAGGGAAGACAAGCCGTCAGAGAAGCTGCTCACGCCAAGGAAGGGAGTGGAGGAAAGGGAGCTGCCGACGGGGAAGATGGCTCTGCCGGCGTGGAAGATGATGACGGAGGAGCATCCAACAAACGAGGAGAAGGTGGAGGGTGCCAGTGTCTGCCACTCCACGAACCCTATGTCGCGGGAACTAGATCCGCGCATCATGGCAGCTGGGCTCTCGATGGGCCGATCTGATCTGCAATGGAGGTTGTCATTAGGCCACGGACGAGAGAAGTGCCTTAGAAGACCGGGTCAACAGTTGGTGTGGCGGACCAGCAAAGTGGGCCCAGTCGAGTGGACATAAGCGACGAGCTGGACTTGGCAAAGAAATTTGTTGGGTTCGGATTAAACAAGGCAGAGCAGCTAAGCGGGCTTCAAAGGAGCCCACTGATTAAGTGTTTCTTGTATGGTTTTGGGCCGACATTTGAAGAAGTTAAGCCCAATTTGGGCTGGGTTTTGAGGAAAGCAGAATTGGGTGAAGTTCTTAAGTTGGAAGATGGGCCTACAAAGGAGCCAAGTCCACACCAGATTGAGAAGAAGAAGAAGAGCCCAATGAGGCCTAACCTTGGTTTGGGCTCTAACTCTTTCTTTCCAGTATTTGTGTGCCAAGTCAAGGGTAAAAGAAAAGATGATTGGGAAAGGCTAGAGCTTGATTTCACCATCAAGGTAGAAGAGAAATTGACGGAGCATTACCTTAAAGACCAAAAGCGGGAGTACAAGGAAGAAAAATTCTCAGATTCTTATTTCGTGGATTCCGAAATGAAAAAGGGGGAATCATTCGGCTATGAAGAACGTACCACATGTCACGTGGAAGAAGAGTCATGGAAAGTGGAAGTTGCTGGAGAAATATTAATTTATAGAATTGAGCGCAATTGGAAGCGAAGAAAGCGGAAGATCCAGACGGAAGTTGACTGCAACCTTGAGGACAAGGTCGCTTTCAAGGAGGGTGGAATGTTAGACATATAATTAGTAGGATAATGATAATAAATAATGTTAGTTAGGTAGGGTTAGGTGGCTAGGTATAGCCGACTGGGTTAGGGTTAATTGTTAGGGTTTTGTGTTTATTTCCTATAAATATGTACTTTGGGTTTACGTCAGAATCAATCAAGATTAGTATTAAGCAAAGTATCCTTCTAAACCTAATTCCTCTCAACTACTAATTTCTATTCTCTCCTAATCTAAGGCATCGGCCGATTCCCAATTCTATTCTATTCTTCTCATCTAAATCCCTAATCCCTAATCTCAACCCTAAATCCCTAATTCTCACGAGTGCCGAAGATCAGTATCGAGAATCCCTAGAAGCGGGGTTCTCACAGGACTATATGGGAAAATTCTCGCCAAATTAAATTTTTTTTTTTAATTTGGGCTCCATAAGGTACAATAGGAAAATTATAAAAACAATATAACAGTTACATAAGCAAAAGTAATCCACTCCTCGACGAAATTGAATTACTGCCATATCAGCTTCCAAAATATGTCTTAGTGATAATTGAACCGAAGAGTATAACATTTCTCCTTGGATTGGATCGTAGTATGCCCCAAACCTACCATGCCATCAGCTAGCTTGTTTCCCTCTCTTTTTGTGTGTGAAAGTTTTGAATCTCCACTCTTGTCTCATAATGCTTCGACAATCTGAAATCAAACTACCAAAAGGGTAATGCAAAGAGACGTCGTCATCTCATGTAAACAGTTGAACCAACAATAAAGAATCTGAACTGATTTCCACTTGTCGATAGCCGAGTATCCATGTCAAGGACGTTCCGTTCCTAAGCGCTAGTTGGTAGTAGACTAGTAGTCATGATTCATGGTAGGCTGGAGCAGTGGCGGATTCAGGAAATTTTTATAGGGGTGTCCTCTTCCAAAAATTAAATTAAATAATTCATAAAATAATATCTGATTAGTGCAAATATACCATATTAGACAATAATTCTCGAACTAATCGCATATTCAATTTCTAGCATTGTTCCTGATGTAACTCAAACTTGAAAGACTCTTTCAACTCTTGCACTATACCTATAAAATCAATTCAAATTAAGGATAGCTCGAATGAGTTTAATTGTTAGGTTTTGAAAATAATTGGGAATAAAGAATAGTGTTATTACTATAACATATTGTTTAAAATAAAACAACAAATGAGTTGCAACCTAGAGAATATGATTAAAAATAGTAGTGTCCTAGGTTTGAATAACACATAGTACTACTTATATATTTTTAATCATACGCAAACTATTACCGATGATAGGATAATCGTTTTTCAAAATTTAAGGGTGTCCCGGATTACCAATTATAATTTTTTTTTATCCATACGAAACTACTACCGAGGGTTGGATAATCGTTTTCCCAAATTTTGAAGAACCATGTATCCGCCCCTGGGCTGGAGTGAGTCAATACATGAAAATAGGCTCATTGGGCCTAGCACTTTCGTTCCTCGTTGATGCGGATCAGCACACAAAGCCCAAGCATGGGCCCCATGGACCAGCCCACCACGAAGCGAATATGAAAGTTATTTGACTTTTCTTTGTGGTGGGTATATATTCCCCGGCCCCGCAAATATATACATATTAAATTAAATGGTTTGACAATAGAAGTGCATGGCTTTTGCATGGCGAGCACGTGGCTGCATTCTTCTGTTTGGAGTCTAACTCTGCGCATTCACTTCTTTGCTACCTTCGAACGACTATATGATTTAGATTTACCCTAGTAAATCAAGCCTAATTAGTAATTGCCATAATATTTAGTCAGTATATTTGGAACGCAAATTAACAACATGTTGTAGGTAACATGGTACGTAGTAAATCATGGCATTGCAGGCATGATTAGGAAGTTAAATTATAGGGTCCTCCATCGAATTCTTGATCCCATATATCGATCTGTGTCGTCTGTCGATCTCTCTCTCTCTCTCTCTCTCTAAACAGAGGATCATAAGATGAGGGAAGGGTGATGAAGAAAGAAAGAATAAAGGGGAAAACAAAAGAGGAAACTGGCGAGGTAAAAAAGAAGGAGAGAGAGAGAGAGAGAGAGAGAGAGAGAAGGTAATGAGAAGGCCATTATATTGATGATGAAGATGTGCAGAGCTTTAGCGACACTTGTTAATGGCGAACCCTCCACTCGTCGGGAATCTGTTGGGCCACACCTACTGAGTCTCCTCCTCTTGTCTTTGGCTTTCTTTTTTTGGTGGCTTCTCTGTCTCTCTCACGCAGAACGAGAGAGAGAGAGTGTGAGAGAGAGAGAGAGAGAGAGAGAGAGAGAGAGAGAGAGAGAGAGAGAGAGAGAGAGAGAGGGGTTTTAATTATAAGTAAGGGTAGCTAGCAAGTGGGGGCGTTGGCCGGCCGGGAGGGTTTTGATGGTCGGACAGCGGGCAACGGTGACCCATGAATCGGCAAAGTACATTTGGCAGTGGGGAGACTGGCCAGTTGCTCCTCCACCGTCACCTTCTATTCAGCCCTAGCCTTCACCCCCACGTTACTTACTAGCTAGTCTCTGCTGCTAGCTACCTGCAAAATTCATTTCATCTTCATTTGTTTGTTTGTAGTTTAGCCACCTACCTACCATGTTATAATTGGAGAGGCGAGCGACCTAGCTAACATAGCATAGCAGGATTCTCTTTCTTTTCTTTGTTTGCTGGATGACGACTTTGTCTTTGCTTTATGATGATGGTAAAAAAATATACATATTAAGCATCAAGGGAATGACAAGATAGAAATATCAAATTTGGAGTCACGGCGAACTCGAATATGCATGGTCTCCCAGCCATAATATAGTCTAGTCTCATATTGCATCGTTTAAGCATATGAAGGATCAATGGCTGATATCTTCCTCACTCTCGAGTTGTTGAACATATTAAAAGTCTAGTACTTGATATCAACTATGCATATCACGGTTTAAAATGTACAAGAATTCATCATACTTTTGTTGGTAATACTACTTAGAATTGTGTTTGAGGTTGGAAGATGGTACAAAAACTACATCGATCAGTTCTAACAAAACAACTCTAATATCACGTATCTAATCCTAATAGCTAGATAGAATGAGGAGAAATGGGAAAGTGGTATTGGGTAGATTAATGGGGGGTAAATGGCATGGGAGACAAAGCAAGGAAGAAGAGGAATGGGAGAGTCACAAATGGCATGCAATGCAAGAGAGGGCAGCAGATCATATATTGTTGCTGCTGTCTGCTACAATGCACTGTATAAGCGCCACCATCATATATTCATATCATCCTTCTTCCTCCTGTTTTGCCAAAAATAGTAAATAAAAAAAAGGAGAGGAGAGGGAGAGGGGTAAGAAATCAAAAAGACCAAATTCACAGCCCCCCAACACCAATTACCTCACTCTCACTCCCACTATTACTGCTCCATCTCTTTCCCAACACTTCGCTTCCCTCCCTCCCTCCCTCCTTTTATGATCTGCTCACTGAAATCTAAAATCCCCAGGCAGTACACAGACAGACTTACTATTCCTAGAGAAACCTTTTCTTGCCTCCCTTCCCAATTAAGCTCCATATCTATACCTAGATAGATAGATAGAGTCATCAGATCAGATCAGATCAGATCAGATCAGGCAAAAGGAGAGCAAAGCAAAGCAGCACAAGGGCGCTGTACAGCACGGGTAGATGATGGTCGTGATTAGATAATCGATCATGATGGTGGTGATGAAGATGGATATTGATGATTGATTTGTGCAGACGTGGAAGGCCAGGAGCCGGCCTGTAATTGGATGGAGCCACCTGGCGACGGAATCACGGCCAACATCATCACTACTTGTACTGATCATCATCTTCACTCCTCCTCTTCTTCGGGTCATTGTATTCGGGTCGGGCAGGGGGTCATGACCCGCCTTGCTTCTGCTTCTGCTGACGATCTCCTGCTCTTCCCCTCCTCCTCTTCGTCGTCGTGTTATGGAGTGAAGACGAGGAAGAAGAGAATGGCGAGGCAGAGAAGGCACAGCTCCACCATTACCCATCTCTTCTCTTCCTTCAACACAACTGCTGCTGCTGCCTCCCACGTGCCGCCTCCTCCCCCTCCCCCCGCACGTGTGAGCTCCACTTCCCCACTCCCCTCCACCTTCACTCTAATTTACTTAATTTTTTTTCTTCTAAATTCTAATAATAATCGTCAGTCATCCCCACTTAAGTTTCTAACTAATGAAACAGACAGACAGACAGACAGGGGATACACTAGCTACTACTCTGCTTCAGTTCAGCTAGCAAACCCTTTCTTTAATTAATTATTTAGCTCCTTCCTTCCTTCCTTCCCCAGCTGCCAAATACAAATAGGCAGCTAGCTGATCAGCTCCCTTAGCTTGTTGGGGCGGCAGATGATCGATCCAACGTAACCCATCAGTCCATGATTACTAGTCCTTTTGGGCATAAGTCTCATGGATATTTGTATGCATTCATTTCAATACAATTCATCCTCACGTACATATACAAACGTCCACCTTACTTTCCGTCTTCTAATATAATTTATAGCTCGTGGATATTTGTCGGTTGCCTGCAATGGAAATGGGTCACACACATTGCTCCTTCTCTTCTTTTAATTTGTATCCTTTAACCATATTAAAGATCATACGGGGAAAAAAAATTCTTTGATTAGTAGTTTGTTTGTTTGTTGTTAACGATTGCTTGAATTGTAAGATTCAATAAATAACGTGGAACTGCAATTGCCGTGATCAATCGTTGAACAGGAAATTGACCCAAGGAGCTTGAGGTTCTTGTTCCAGAAGAAGCTCAAGAACAGCGATGTTAGCTCCCTCAGGAGAATGGTCCTTCCCAAGGTCTCTGATCTCTCTACCTTAACTACCTAGATGATCCTTTATACTAATTTCTCCTATATTTGTGCATTCGTTCATGTTGAGATCGTCACTAGCTAGCTACTTTCTCAACATTATACATATATTCTCTTGTGATTGCATATATGATATAAAATGAATGAATGATTCAGAAAGCAGCAGAGGCACACCTCCCTGTGCTGGAGTCCAAGGAAGGCATGTCCATCACCATGTATGACTTGGATGCCACCCATGTCTGGACCTTCAAGTACAGGTTCTCTTCTCTATTAATTAATTATCTCCCTCCCCCTTATTCCCAAACTAGCTAAATGCTGCAGGGCTAGCTAGTCGAATATAATGCACTTGATTAACAAGGATGAGATGAATAATGTATAACAGAGCTCATCTGTATTAATTGTCTACTTCAGGTATTGGCCTAATAACAACAGCAGAATGTATGTCTTGGAGAAGACAGGTAAAAACAAACCACCATACCCGGCCTCTTTCCCTATGCTTGAATTGGTGACTGACAATATCCTAACCTTCAAAATCAATTGCCGTGATCAGGTGACTTTGTTAATGCACATGGACTGCAATCAGGAGACTTCATCACACTTTACCAAGACTGCCAAAACCAGCAGACCTATGTACGTAGTTAAGTTTCCTCAGCAAGAACGAACGTTGCCACAATATAGACACATATATAAATTATTCATGTTAAGCGTATCATTCTGTATGTGATCAATGTTTTCTCTTTGGCAGGTCATCCAAGCTAGAAAGGCTTCTGAGGAGGAGAGCATATTTGCAGACATAATGAACAGTGATGTCATGAGCGTGGTTCAGGACCTTGATCATCCCCACCACATTGCTGGAAAGACCAACTCGCCCCTCTACTACGATAGTATTAGTAATGCAATGGAAAGCGCGGCTGCCAGCTTCTCCTTCATCTACGACAGCACAACCACCTTCTCCAACGACTCCCCCTTGGATTTTTTGGGTGGATCGATGACCAACTTCCCCACAACAGGGAACCACCTGGAGAGCTTTGGTTCCATTGAGGCGCTTTCCCTTGATGACTTCTATTAGCCAGCCCAGCCCAGCCAGGGGAATATGTTTGCCTCTGCAGTATGACTATCTTTAATTTGCATTGCACAAATATATATATGCGTGTGTTTTGGATGATGAAATTGATTTTGCTCAGCCCTCCCGCAAGATATATATCTATTAAGGGTTGGTACTGTACTAATTATGAATGTCTCTTTACCGACTGTGGCCTTCATACATTTACAGACAGAGGCATGTTGGTATGCCGTATGTATTAATTGTAATAAAGTGGAACACTAGCTTAATTAGCTTCCCAGCAAAATGTAGTTTGTGGGAACGTAACTTTTCAAGTGTATGCAATGTAGCTAAGTCCGATCCTTTGTTTTTCTTAAAAATACAATCATGTAATTTATACTCATAGAGACAAAAATGTTAGTTTGTGGGAACCTATAACTATAAGTGTCCACATGATCACCAATTCATGAGAAAGGTATGTAACAGTATGTTTTTTTTGAAGAAATGTAACAATATGGTTATAGTGACAATATGCTAACTAAACTAAGTAATTTGCAATGAGAGTAGCTACATATAATTTGTGTTTTGTTCAATCAAGTCAAAACACCGAATGGACGCTTCACATTACCAAAATCATCGTGACAAGAACCCACACAAACACCGAACTTGACCCTTTTCCAATTTATTGCCAACTTGCAAGCCTAGCTCCCAATTTGCGAGCAAATATACTAGTGTAAGAACATACTCATCTCATAACTAAAAGAATGAGCGAGTGTGAGCATGCGAGTGCTAATTGAGCAACTTTCATTAAAATGATGATGTTCTTTGATGCACTCAACTAGTGTAAGAACATACTCATCTCATAACTAAAAGAATGAGCGAGTGTGAGCATGCGAGTGCTAATTGAGCAACTTTCATTAAAATGATGATGTTCTTTGATGCACTCAGAATAAGTTAGATAGAATGACAAAAAAATGATTATTTTGATGTATATTGCTAAGTATATCTAACATATAACCAAAATATTGTAGTTTTAGTGATTGTTAAATGTTACGTCATTAACTACTACTACGGATTAACCAAAATCACCAATTTATCACCAAGCCCGTCTAGCTCAGTTGGTAGAGCGCAAGGCTCTTAACCTTGTGGTCGTGGGTTCGAGCCCCACGGTGGGCGTGAGTTTTTCGTACTGGCTTCGCTTTTAACCGCCGGCGACAATAATTTCAGCCGATTGTTTTAATCATTCAATCTTCCGACGAGGATGCGTTGGCATGATCTAAGTGGTCCGTGGAAAGGCCTTACGGTGCAGAGCGTCACAGGAAGGCCAGCGATCTACACACGCACGTTCCTTCCCTTCCCAAGTTCCACATCTCTTAGTTCTTCCTTTTCTTCTCTCTCTCTAATCCTCCCTTGGCGAACAGCAATTTCTTCACCTCCGATCGTCAATGGCGTCGAGATACTGGGTGGTCTCTCTGCCGGTGAAGGACTCTGCTTCTCCGCTATGGAATCGCCTGCAAGACCAAATCTCCCGCCATTCCTTCGACACTCCCCTCTACAGAGTAAACCATCCCCTATCTCTTGCGATTTCCCTGCTTCCGATCCCACCTTTTCGAACTGCCCAGATTACATCTTCCGTGTTTTCCCGCTTTTCCTGTTTCAGTTTAGCATTCCTAATCTCCGCGTGGGAACCCTTGATTCGCTTCTCTCCCTCAGTGATGACCTGCTCAAGGTTTGTTGATCTCTTTTCGTGTGTTACCTTCGCAATTTTGCGGTTTCGTAATAGGTTATGTGGTGTTTGATTCGCCGAGGGCAGTCCAATAGCTTCTTAGAGTCGGTGTCGCACAAGATTAGGAGGCAGATCGAGGATTTGGAGAGAGTTTCCGGCGCAGAAAGTAATGCTCTCACTGTTGATGGTGTGCCCGTTGATTCGTACCTCACCAGGTGAATAATTGAGTTTGATCCTATGGGAAGTTTGGTTCTTTTTGGAAGAATTGGATCTCTGTGTTATTGGTGACTGAATTATCTGTGTTGCGATGATAGGTTTGTTTGGGATGAAGCGAAGTATCCTACGATGTCTCCTCTGAAGGAGATCGTTGATGGAATTCATAGTTCAGTAGTGAGGATTGAAGATGATCTCAAGGTGACTGACTGCTGGTTTGCTGAAACTTTTTGTGTAATTGGATTTGAACTTTGTGAAGACTGAAGGAGATCTCCCGCTTCCTGTTTTAGGTTCGTCTAGCTGAGTATAATAATGTTCGCAGTCAGCTCAATGCTATTAATCGCAAGCAAAGTGGAAGGTACAATATTTTCCATTTGATTGCTGTATGTACAAGAAGTTTAGCTTTCAGTTTCTTAACTAAGGGAGGCATTACTTTTGATTTGTCTGTTCAGCTTGGCTGTTCGCGATCTGTCCAGTTTGGTGAAACCTGAAGATATAATTTCCTCTGAACATCTCATAACCCTTCTGGCAGTTGTCCCCAAGTATTCACAGAAGGACTGGTTGGCTAGCTATGAAACTCTGACTAATTATGTGGTAAGATCCATGTCTCTCAGCTTGAATAGTAGTTGAGTTGCTTTTTTCTATATCACTTGAGATCTCTAGGACTGACAACTCTAGGTTTAGGCTTATCGTTCCAGTACTTGAGTCACTGTTACTTCTTTTCTTGTATTTGTGCTTTGGCATCTTATCCTGTTCGGCTCTTCCAGGTTCCAAGGTCGTCCAAGAAGCTGTTTGAAGATAACGAATATGCTCTCTACACTGTAACACTATTCCGTCGTGTGGCAGACAATTTCAGAACAACTTCTCGGGAGAAGGGATTCCAAGTGAGTAATATGTTCTCGTGCATTTGATATAGTGCCATTTCATGCATGTAACAATTTTTGTAATCCTACTTGTAGTCATCATGTGGCTTGAGATGTGTTTTCAAGTGTTGAACGAAGGATTTAGTTGGGAATTTTCTGATGTGGCTGTTCTGATCATGTGCTTCAGATTCGTGACTTTGAATATAGCTCCGAAGCACAGGAAGGTAGGAAGCAAGAGATGGACAAACTAGTTCAAGATCAAGAAAGTTTGAGAGGCTCTCTTTTGCAATGGTGTTACACTAGCTATGGGGAGGTAAACATATTTTTCCTTGCTTTCTTCTATTATAATTTGAGAGTGCAGCCGTGCTAAATAGTCAGTCAATGCCTGGTCTTTGCCTGCAATTTGATATCTATTGTTTCGTGGACCCGAGAATTTGAGCTTTTTGTCAAGAGCTAAAGATTACTGTTAGTTAATTGGAAGAGATAGAATCTATCTTTTGGCAAGTGAGATTTAGGCAATTGCTAGATGGCATGTGTCTACCAGAACCAAAGTTGGAGAACCATGAGGTTTCAGTCTGAAATTTTTTTATTTCTAGCTCCTGTTTGTCAGTCTACTATTTTGGGTTTGATGATCTCTCTCAAAGAAGATGGAGGTTTCAGCCTAATTTTTTGTTTTTGGGCCTGACATATGTCCCTCAAATGTTCAATTAGCTACAGTGTTGATAGCTGATCCTCTTTTCCTGCTCCCTCTTTTCCCCGCAGGTTTTCAGCTCATGGATGCACTTCTGTGCTGTGCGTATATTTGCAGAAAGCATTTTGAGATACGGATTACCACCTTCTTTCTTGGTAAATATTGCCTTACATAGCACCTCTCTCTTGTTTCTCAATGGTTGGCCTTCTTATGGACTGTTCGGATGCTTTCTTGCAGTCATGTGTTCTAGCCCCAGCTACCAAAAGTGAGAAGAAAGTACGCTCTATCCTTGAGGGCTTGTCTGATGCTGCAAACAGGTGAGGTTCCGTCCATGCTTGGTAGCGTATTTGAATCACAAGAAGGCAAATTATGGTCCTACAGGCAATGCTGGATTTATTGTGGTTGATGGGTGACTAGTCTCTTTGTTGAAACTTGAAATGGTTCATTTTCTTTTGATTTATGCAGCACCTTCTGGAAATCAGAAGATGAAGCAGGGATGGCAGGCTTGGGAGGCGATGTCGACGGACACCCTTATGTGTCCTTCACGATCAACCTCCTTTGAGCTTATATTTAAGATCTCCCCATCCGAGTTCCCTGTTTGTGTCAGAGACCCGAAGTATTTTTATTGAACAGCAATAAAGAGAGACGATGATGAAGAATGGTAGTAGTGTATATTAGCACTTGGTAGCTCAAATTCTTTGGTTTTTAATCGCGATTGGAGGGTCTCTGTATGATTCCAGCTGGATCTTATACTGAGAGTGTAAGGCAAGGCTTGCGGGAAGGGAAGGTCTTAGTTAAACTACATGACCATTGTGGAAGAGTCATTTACATTCTTCTCTTTGTCCTGCTGAGATTTTGGGGTCATCATATGCTTTGGCGTCATATCTATCTATGTATTTAATCCTTGTATTGTGTATGAATGATATCTTTCTATTCAGGTATGCAAGCTTGCCCTCTTGTATTGTGCAATATTTGAGGAACAAATCCTGTGATCGTTTTCGCTACTGAGATGCCAATGTTTCCAGTTTCTGCTGATACTAATTACTAACATGCTGTTGGTGAGCACTATACAACTGAACTGCTGTGGAGCTTAGAAGAAAATAAATTCTTTGCAAGTAGTCGTTCGGCTGGTTCATAAGTTAACGACTATAGGCTTCGGCTCACATCCTACAGTACCAAATTTTGCCCAACAAGAACCAGGAAACAACCTCCATAAGACAGCTGCTGAAACGGGAATCACATTGCATAAGCCAGTAAGCTACCATTTGAATTGAATAAAATTGTGCTGTGCAAACGCATCCTAGTCACACCAATTGTAGCCAAGGTTACCCTTTTCTTTTTACTAACCAAATAAATGCATTTGTCTGAATCAAATTTCCCAAGGGATGCAGAAACATCCCCCGCCCTCAAAATCCAAAACCTAGAATAGTCAACTTCGACAAAAATGGCTTATAACGTCTGGGGTATCCTACCCAACAAAAGGGAGTAAATCAACAGTGTCATTTAAGGCTATGAATCCACCTTCTAGTTCCCGCTTATTTGTCCTATAGCTCTTTACCAAACTTCACAGAAAGCAACCAAAATCTATCAGATCTTCAATTCATCGTCCTAGGCCTCTGCAGTCTCGGCAGAAGGAAGTGCAGCTGGTGCAGGGGTAACACCACCAGTGGTTGGCCTGCCAAACCCAAACAGTTCAGAAATCAGTTCCCAAATTAAACTCACTGAATCAGGATAACTGACGAACGAGGGCACTAGAAACAGATACTTACAGGCCAACGAAAACCTTGAATGCATCATAGATACCCCATTGAGCTCCAGTGAGAGTTCCAATCATGACAATACGCAGAGGAAGCCCACGAGTGAACAGACCAACCATCCCAATCTTCTTCACAGCCTGTAGCAGCAGAAAAGAGTGTGATGGCCAGCAACGATTTGGAATAAGTAAACTCAGCAAAGCTTCACAGGGCAGAATCAAGGACTCACATCACCAACGGTAGCTCCCTTGGCATTGTTGAGGAAAGACACAAGGTTGTCAGCTGGATGAGAGACAATTGCGCACAAAACACCAGCAACATACCCACCAGCAAAGCTCACACCAAGCTGCAGTCCTTTGCTGCATTCGCTCTTCGGCTGGGGGATTGCATGTTTGTAGATGAGCTCCACAATCATCTCGAAGGAAGCAAACTTCATCATGGTGTCTGCATAGGAAGATAAACAGTCAAAACACTTTGACAGACGAGAACTAAACTACCAACACAAAGAGGGAGGATCACTGCTATAGGTACCAGCATGAAATTGACTTAACCAAATCCCATCCTAAGTAACATTGAATGTCACGTTATCATACTTTGACAAGACTCTACTTATGTCTGCCAATTTTAAGTTAGATAGATGCAGGATGACATTTGATTTCTTTGATTTAGCATTCAATACATAAGCAATCCACATCAGCATTATTCCATTTATCTCAAAGTGACCAGAACCGAGAGCAAATTTGAATAAGAGAAATCATTGTGTTTATACGGGCAAAGAATAACTCTAATGGCCCAGGCTATTGAAATTTCTGCTGACCACACATTTCAGATATACCAAACAAGACTAATTTGATGGAAATTGGACAACAAAAGACCAGCTGAACGTAACCAAACCTCGAAATACTTCAGCTCACAATCTATACAACAGCAGCATTCTCTTCCTATAAGCATAACTATAAAATAGTCTAGAATACTACAAGCCGCTATCAAAGAGAAAACGAGGATAACAAATTACTGAAAGAAAAACAGTTTCCAGGACTCCATTGACAAGGAATTTGAACCTTGTCGCACAGGATAACGGTTCAAGTAAAACTTGCGATGACCACACATTTCATACACAAACAAAACTTAATGGAGATTGGATGCAAAATCAGCTGAAATGCAACAAAATCTCATTATCATCAGTCTTCCGTATATACTACAAATGCCTAACCTTCGATTCAGATACTAAAGGCTAGTTTCAAACACATTATAAAGAGCACTAATTACTAAAGAAAAGTAGGTAAGGGTCCACTTACAAGGAATTTGGCGTCCCCAGAGAGGAACAAGACCCTTGTACAATCTGCATGATAACAGTAAAAGACAATGTCAGGAATGCGCCGAGCTGTGATGGATATTAAACAACTCATTCACTCGAAAAAGAAGCAATGGATATTAAACAATTCATTCAGTCGAATAGAAGCACATACCCCAAAGCACCTTCAGATCTCACGAACTTGGGCAGACCATCAGAGAGACCTCTGGCGAACCCAGGCTGAGTCTGCACTCTAACCTTCACTGCCTCAAACGGGCAAAGAGCAATGTCAGCAATCACCTCAGCAGAGGCAGAACCAGCAAGGTAGATCAAGGTCTTGTACTTGGCAGAATACTCGGGGCCAGCAATATCAGAGTAGTACTTCTTGAAGAATTCATAGAAGCCAAACTTGCAGGCGCCCTGAGCACTGTAACCAAGGAGAGTAGGCACCCATCCCCTGAAGAAACCTCTTACACCTTGCTCCTTGAGCAACACCCCGAAGCCAGACGAGATGCTTTTGTATTTGGTAGGGTCAATCTGGAAAACAGCAATTCCATTCGTCTCAGCAAACATTCTTCCTAACACATATCTATAGCATATCAAGGAATCGGAGCGAGAAATTCACACGGAAACTATCGAGAACAGCAAACACGAGAAGGGCAGATCAAAATGATTTCCAGATATTCAACCTCAATCGACTTCAATACGACTATTACGAGACCGACGAAGAAAAGTTACGGGTCTGAATTCTGGTATATCGATAAACAGGTCAAGCGTAGTCAAACCAATCAGAATCGTAGATCTGAATCAACAAAGAAATGGACAATTTTAACGCAAGAAGCCTACACCTAACAAGGAAAACGAGAACGAAACAATCCACGAGCTAAGAGCAACAACGCAGCCAAACAAGGATCTGAAATCCAGAAATGAAGAAAAACGCTACCAGATCTGAGCAAACTTTACCTGCATATTGCACTTGACGAGGTCAAGAGGAGTGACGGCCATGTGAGTGAGACCGCAGCTGAGGATACCGCCGGCGGTACAGGCGGCGTAGAAAGCCGGAGAGTACATCTCGATCTTCCCGGGCTCGCTGGGAGCGGGGATAGCAAAGCCACCGGCGGCGGCGGCGGGCTTGCTCATGAGGGAAGGGGAGTGGTGGGAGAAGGCGGATTCGGCGGCGGGACTGGAGTTAAGGAGCTTGGAGAGGGTGAAGGACTTGGAGGAGACGGAGGAAGAAGAGTAGAGGAAGCTCGGGATGAGCGAGTTCTTGGTGGAATCGGAGAAAGCCATTGCTGCGTTTTTCGTCGAAAGGGAGGTGAAAGCTTTGAGAGAGAGAGACGAGAGGTGAGAGAACTCTGCTATCTCTCAGCTGCCAAAGCTTTAGTTTGCTGCCGAGAAAGGTGGAAATGAAATTTCCTGACAGTATATAATCGATCGCGAGTTCGGACCAACCCTGGCTCGGCCTGGGTCATGACGAGTCGTTCCCTAATCCGCGTGAATTGAACGAGACCGATGCAGAGCGCAGGCACTCACACACACAGCATGCACCTGAGTTTCGAGTTATTTACGGTAATGCCACCGACTGGGACACTTCTGTCTGACCCTCTTCCCGCCTCGTTGACTACTCTTGTTAGTGGTTCCTGAATCCTTATCACTTATTTAGGGGATTGCTAATCGTCGCCCTAAAAATTCTTATTTATCGCCCTAATTATATTAAATTTACTATAATGTCCTTAGTTTAATTTTTTTTTCTATCAAACACTTAATTCTGAAACAAACACATACATAGTTACATACGTCCACCAGTCGCCGAAGCCGGAGGAAACATTTTGGAAACCCACACCCAACATCACCATTTGAGGGGTTTACTGTTCATCGCCGCCGTGCCATCTCATCTCCCGGTAGATGTCCTGATAATACGGGCGAATCAAGGGAATTTCGAGTAATTGTTGCAGGAGAGAAACGGTGGGGCAAGGTGTTTGACCAATGGTCTCAATTCTCAAACTCTCAACGAAGGTAAATAGTTTGGTGCATCAAAATTCAAAATGATCTTTTATTTTATTAAAAGGAGCCAGCTTTTGCATTGCTCTGAATTTTGATAGGCGATAGCTTGGGGATTTGTGATTTTGTGTTTTTTTGTCCAGTGTGTTGCAGGAACAAGACTTGTTTCACCACCGAGATCGGAGCCTATCTGCTGTACTTAGTTGCCAACTTGCCGTGACGAAAACGAGCTGGACATGTTCAATGCGGCGCGGGTGGAATACAACATGGCGGGGAGCAAATCCGGCAGCAGGACATTGTTGCTAGGTTTTAGTTTGTTTGAAGTTAGGGGTATAAGTGTCAATTTAGTGTGGTTTAGGGCGATTTATTTTGAATATTAGGGCGACGAATAGCAATTCAGCTTATTTATGGCTAAATTGTAAGTTTGGTCACTATAATTAATAAATAATTTCATGTTTGCCACTAAAATTAATTTATTCCATTCATAGTCACTAAGATTCGTTCAACAGTTCAAGTTTGGTCACTCTCCGTTAGTCTCCGTTAACTTTTTCTGATGTGGCAGTCAACTCTAATATTTGACCGTTAAATGAGTGACGTGACAATTAAAAATAATATTTTTTAATTTTCCACCTCGTTATTTTTCTCTTCTACTAATTCCCATATCCCATATCTGAATTAACGATAATCAGTAATCGCCGCTGTGGTGGTGGTTTCAGTGAACATCATCTTCCTGGGATGGAACTGCATCGGAGAAATATAGGGATCTTAAGAATCATTCATTCATGTCTCGGCGCCACCATGAATATGAATGAATCATTCATTCACCGAAACCACCAAAACCATGGGCATGAAATTTGGGGAAGGGGCGGAGGTTAGGCCTCGTCTTGATAGTTGATAGTTGGGGTTTGGACTTTGCAGTAATTGAATGGGTGGAGATTGATGGAGGATGCGAAGACGAAGAAGGAGACTTTCTTTTTTATTTTTGTTTTTCTTATGGTTTCTTTCATATTCATGGAAGTGGAAGTGGAAGTTTCACTTCACTGGTTGGAAAAGCAAAGGGAATTCGGGGGTCACGTTCACTGCACCTTCACGCATTTTCTACGAAATCCAAGCCCGGTTGCACCTCTACGCCATCGTCGTCACCGTCGTCTACTTCTGCTGGAGTCGATGAATTTTTTTTATAAGGGTACTGGCGCCGATGAATTGTTCGTCGCCGGAGGAGGAAAAGAAGTGGAAGAAGGGCACATCTGTCTCGGTTTGGAAATCGCCTTAAGCGGAGGAGAAAAAGAAGATGGAGAGGGCTCATCTGTCGTCTTCTTTCTTTAGTTCCATTTCCATTCTAGCGCTCCGGTCCTTGCATTCCGTCGGAAACCCTAGCTCGCCGGAGGGATGTGAAGCCGCCTTAAGCGGCGTTGAGTTCAATTAACTGGAAGTCGAGCTGCTGCTGCCGCTCTCTGTTCCTTCTGCTGGAATGTTTGCTGCTAGCTTAGTTGGTTAGGGGTTCAACAAGGGCAGGGGAGAAGACAGTGAGAGGGGTGAGGTTAGTTGGAGAAGAGAAGTTAGATTTTATTTTTATTTTATTTTTTAGTGAATGGGATAATGATGTGGAAAATAAAAAAGATTAAATTTTAAATTTTTATAATTTTTAATTGTCGTGTCACTCATTTAACGTTCAACTATTAGAGTTGACTACCACATCAGAAAAAGTTAACGGAGCTAACGGAGAGTGACCAAATTTAAACTGTTGAACTAATCTTAGTGACCATGAATGGAATAAATTAATTATAGTGGCAAACATGAAATTTTTTAGTAATTCTAGTGACCAAACTTGCAATTTAATCAATTATTTATTCTACATTCTCTCATTAAAAACTACATTCTCTTTTGATTCTTGAAAAACCTTAATTTTTAATCTGGTTGAACTTTTCATTTGTGGCGATTCTCGTCATCATCAATTTTGATATTATTATTATTTTTGAGTACCTTTAAATTAATTTGTCCAACCTGAATTTTAATTTTTCATGTACCAACCAATGAAGAATATATTTACGACGATACTCGTTATTGTTGATATCAACAAAAATCTTCACATTCAACTCTTCAATCACTGGAGGATGAATCCATTTGAAATCGTGTAGCTCTAAACAATCGTATTACATGTATGAATCAAAACAATTAATACATTTTTTTTGGAAGAAAAGAGTATGGTAGTATACAAATTGATTCCTAAGTTGTGGGATGGTGGTCAAGGTGGAAAGCAATAGGATGGTCAAAGGTGTAAATAATGGTAGAAGGAAGTGGCATATGTTAAAGCAGCGGGTCAGGAGCGGCCAGCGATAATTGGTTGGGGAAAGGGCCGGTGATGGACGAATATTCCACCATCATGTCTCGGGAATGTCAACAGGCCGGAGCTCCGGTAAGGGAAAGAACGGCGGTGGCATATTGGACCGGTAACTAATTCCTATCTTTTGATTTAATTAATTGGTCTTTCCTTCTTTTCTTCGTTTCTCTGTTTCTGGTTGGAATTTTATGGATTCAATATCCAAGTTTGTAGAGTTTTCAACACCGTCCATTGTCCAATGTGTCCATATTCATTATTCAGTCCGTAAGTACTAAGCTGTAATCAAGTTGTACGTAAAAAGTAGTGTTGTACCTGTGTCTGTTTTTACTTTTTACATTGATAATCAAATGGGCTTCCTTTGGGAACCCATCAAGCCACTCTTATCATGGGCTAATAGCCTTCTCACCATAAAACCAGCCAGAAAAGACCTTACGAGTAACTAGATTTGAAACCCAGCCCGTTAGCCGGATGCATTATTTCAAAAATATTAGCAATCATTGTTACATCGTAAGCAAGATATATTTTTATTGGTATCAAAAGTCAAAATATCCGAACTATTCAATTACTGGAATTTTTTTAAAAGGAACATACATCATAGTATTTTCTAATATGCTAACCGGTTCATCAACAAAAGTACCTTGCCCGTTGGCTGGATGCATTATTTCAAACATATAAGCAACGTTTGTAATTGTACGAAGTAAGGTATATTTTTATTGATATCTAAAGTCAAAAGATTTGAACTATTCAATTAATGAAAAAAAGGAACATACATCATAGAATTTTCTGATATGTTAACTGGTTCATCAATGAAAGTTCTTACTGAAAATAAAAAATAGAACTCATGAAAGGGAACTAACTCTTAAAAAACTTCAGTAAACTACACTTCAAATTACTTCTTGATATAAAAATTACTGTAATTTTCTTATGAACTTCTTTGTTATTGCTTCACCATATGTATCATTATCTCTGTCAATAATTGTAGTTTCATATTTATCACTGCGAGTTTGCGACCTCTCTATCCATCATCAATAGTCTACCCCTTATTCTCAACAATGTCACAACGTCACTATCACTATTTTTGGATTCACTACCTCCACCATAAAAAAACTATTTCTTCTTCACCTTCATTTTATTGAAATTTTAGTTAGGTGTAAAACTAAAATGTTTGCAAATATGAAACCTTTATCAATTAAAGATTCTTAATTGATGTGGCTACTAACCAATATTTTAATGTCCCACATGTTTAGTTTTCAAAGTAAAGGTTATAAATATTTTATTTGGTTAAGAAATAAAACTCCTACTACTATTGCACGTATTGTTAATGTATAGACATATTTATTTGGTTTAGAAGTCCAAATATGCTTTATTTTAATAGTTTATATGCCAAAAACACCCTTCCTACAAACTCTCATAAGGCTCGAAATTTTGAATAGAATAGGTTCTGATGGAGAATCTCCATATAATAGTGGTAGGAGAATACCTCTCCGGCTTCAAGGTGCCTGACAACACAGATCCAATTGAGCTAGCTAATATATGAACCACCATGAATTTACGAAACCAGGTAGTCCGACTACTAAAGGAAACAATCTCTAGCCAGACCTTACTGAACCACAAAAGTTCATTCTTAACGTGTGCATTTAGTTTCCTGCGGCAGGTTTCGTGCTCTCCCGGCCAAGAGAGATTCTCTCCGGCAAAATTAAATATGACTGAACCCAACGAACAACAGGGAACATTCTTCCAGCACTTGGGACATGGAGGCAGCAGCAACCCCCTCAGCCCTCAGGCTTCACCACACTCTCTCAGGTAAAACCAAAACCTTCTAGCTAATTTCTTCCTGTGGTAATAAGGATATGATTAAATGTTATTTTGCAGGGTCGAACAAGAGACTGGAAGCTATGGAAGACGGAACTACCTCTATGACTAAAAGCAGTAAGAATGCACCAGAACGAATCCCAAAGCTTGAAGGGTTTGGGGCATCTTACAGTTCTTTAGCTGAAAGATGAGACCACCTGCTGTCATCAAATCTATGCCATGAATCCAGCTCAATGTCTAGAGGAGCCTCTGAAGATCAAGTGCTGGCAGCTGAAAGTTCTTATCCACCAGATGCTGCTGCCACAGATAATGAGATCATGGTGAACCTAATCACCCAGCCAATGCATTCACAGGGCACTGATGACAGAGAACCAGACTGGGCTGAGCTCAAGTTTCAAGTTGCAAAGCTGATGGAGGAGAATCTGTGGCAGCAGGCAGAGTTGGCAAGGAGAAATGTCGAGAAGAAAGTGACTATCTCCAGGCTTCAATCACAGGTTGAACATTTGAAGCGTCAGAATATGGCCCTCCAGGATTCTATCAGCTTCTATGAAATGGGGAAGAAGAATCATCGATCATCAACTTCAAAGTTGCACCAACTTTGGGACAAGCTCTTCAGAAGAGAATATACAGATTGATTATAGTCGCTTTCCCAGATCCAACCAGATCATCTACTGTATATAACTTTAATCGAGAATTGGCATTGATGGTTACCAATAATCTCCACATGAACAAAAACCATCTTTGAAGTGGTGAAACCGCTTTGAGTCTCTTACTATTATCTCTCGATTCACAATCTTGGATATCAGCTTAATCACAGTATGACAATCCCCACAGACCCTTAGATTCTTCATAACTTGAATCATTGCTCCAGGAAACGAGTTCATAATCCCGAAGGCAACTGCTAGCTTCTCACTATGGCCTCTCAGATTTACTTCCTTCTCCTCCTCATCAATGTCATGTGGGACAGAAGTCATATCAGGTACATAACCAGCTCGCTGCAGCTTCACCCCAAGTTCCTCCAGATACCGGTAAATGTTCTCGTGGTGAGGATGCTCCTTATCTCCAACCAAGAAAACATGCACTCTGCCATTGAGTTCGATTAAGCTAAAACCAGGAGTCTTGACCAGGCCACTATCTTTCAAGAGCTCTCTCATCCTCTCAACATCTTTCCATCTCCCAGCATCTGCATATATATGGGAAAGCAATACATAATATCCGGAATTACTCGGGTCTAGTTCGAACAACCTTTGAGCTGAAATCTCCGCTAGCTCCAAATTCTTGTGAATTCTGCATGCTGCTAGCAGAGAACCCCAGAGGATGAAATCAGACCTCACCTTCATCCTCTTTATCAGATCATATGCCTCGTGAAGATGACCTGCTCGGCCAAGAAGATCAACCATGCAACTATAATGTTCTAACCTGGGTTCCACTTGAAACTGATGGTCCATAAGGTTAAACCAATGCCTGCCTTCATCTACCAGACCAGCATGGCTACAAGCAGCCAGTACCGATATGAAAGTTATGTAATTTGGTCTTACACCAACCCCTAACATTTGATAGAAAACATCCAAGGCTTCTCTCGCAAGACCATGCATACCATACCCTGCAATCATAGCTGTCCAAGACCTTACATTTTTCACCTCCATGACATCGAATGACTTCCTAGCCATCTGAACTTGCCCACATTTGCAGTACATGTCTATGACAGAGGTTCCCACGACTACATTGTCCAGCAGACCCATCACTATGACCTGTGATGAAAGATCGAAATAAGTTAGCTACTAAATGAGCCAAAGAAGAGATTCTTAATGAATCAATCACCCTAATCAAATAAGGAAGAATATCCAGTACCTGATCATGTACGCACTTGCCTGCTCGCAATGATCCACAATGTGCAGAAGCTAGCAATAATGTGGATAATGTCACTGCATTGTATCGGGTGAGGCCACCTTTTACCATTGCGCTGAAAGATTCAAAAGCCTCTCCAGCTAAGCCACTTTGAGCATACACGGTGATCATAGAATTCCAAGACACTGTATCTCTATCAGTCATTCCATCAAACACCTTTCTAGACATTCCCACGGAACCTCCCTTGGCATATGCATCCAGCAAAGTATTACCAACTACTACATCTCTATCGAACCCACACTTCACAACGAACCCATGTAGGCCTTCGGTCATCCCCTCCGCCGAGAGACGAGAGCAAGCCGTCAAAACCGAAACCATAGCAAACGAGTCGACTGAACTCTCATCGTCGTCATCACCACGGCTCAAGAGCTCCTTAAACAAGGATAAACCTTGGAGCGGATACTCATTCTGAATATACCCATTGATCAACGAAGTCCAAACGACGATGTTTCTTTGAGGAATTTCGTCGAACAGGTTTTTAGCATCGCCCAATTGGCCGCATTTGGAGTACATATCGATCAGTGCGGATGACACGAAGAGGTCGAATTCGAAGCCGAACACCAAAGCCTGTTGGTGGGCTTGTTGGCCGGAGCGAACATCAGACAAGGCAGAGCAGGCTTTGATGGCGCAAGGAAAGGTAGAGCGGTTTGGGATAAGATTGAGCTTTCGCATGGAAGAGAAGGCGCGAAGTGACTCGAGGGAGTCGCCGCTGCGAGCAAGGTCCGCGATGAGGGAGTTCCAGGCATGGACATTGGTCTTCTCGAAATACTTGTCGAACCAAGTTCGGAGGTTAGCGTTCGACGCCGTCGAATAAAAATGGCCGTGCCGCCGGGGATTTTGAGTAGCTGGCGAAGAAACAAGCGGAATGGGACGTGGAATCTTCCTTTTCATTTTTCACATCAATTTTTCTATCGAATTAAATCATATAGGGTAGGGTATATGAGCTGAGTTTCCATATTACAGTTTGCCCCCCAAAGTTGAGTAGTAGTTACACTCACGTCCTATTAGAATTAGAGTATCCATGTACCATTGTACCATGTTTACTCGAAAGTTGAAACTAAATTAGGGGGTCATTTTGAACTTCTCATTTTGCAGCCTAAGAATGTCGAGATGGACTTTTTTCCCCAGGCCACATGACATACTCCAAACACTGAGCTAAAGTTTATTAATTAGAATTTCTGAGAATTGTAAGGGACTTAGTATGTCAAAATAACATAGAACTGAAAGCTTAATAAGCAAAATCACTTAAAAGGTAGGAGAATTGTGAACCACTGACCCACCCTCGCAATAAAATGGATACTGCATCCCTCTCCTGTTAACCACTGACCCACTTAGCTTGTTAGCCCATACTATGCCGTGGGTCGACAATTTGATATTTGCTTTGCGGGCGTTTAATCAGTTTGTTGCTTTTATGGTATGTTCTTGTTTGTTTGGGGTGGTTTGGTTTTGGTGATAATTTGGTTGGGTAGTTACAATTCGTGCTTTTATAGTTACAATACAAGCATTGTGCATAATGCATCGTTTTTCTTTTTGAATTTTCTGCACAAACAATACATGCATTATTTGCTTGATTTTACACAATCACTCAAAATGAGTGATAGTTAAATCTCAAGTTTTGGTTGAGATTGTTGATATTGTTTGGTAAAGATTGTTGAGTTTTCTTTTGTTCCAACTATGTCCCTACATTTTTATATGTGTTGTTTTTAGTATTAAAAACAAAGGGTACAAGTGACATTTCACTCAAAAAGTAATATAATCTATTTCAACATTCCAATAACTATCACAGAAACCAAACGATGTAAACTACAATACACCAATTTTCTTATATACATGTATATTATTATGCATGCATTGATGACAATGCATCAATTTAACTATCACCAAAACCAAATAATATTATGACCTAGCCTTTATCTGTTGTTTATCTTTCTAATGAATTCTATATCATCATATTATTCTAATTTATGCTTCCTCACTATATTGTGCCAAAAATAGTTGAATAAAGCCAGTGTGAAACAATCTTCTGAATACCAAGTGTTGTATTTTAATGAGAGATGGCTACGAAAACTAAAAATTATTATGTTCCAGCCTTTTTGATTGGAACTAATAAAGAAACAATTTCAGGAAATAATAAACAAACTGGAGGCGTAAAGAGCAACCGATGATTTAATTTGCAGGCTATAGAATATAACTTGAAGCTATGGAAAGTACCAAATAAAATGGACAATCTGCTAGCTAACTGTCAAATCTGCAGAGAGGAAAAAATGTCCTACCGCAAGTCCGCAAGTTATGCAAGGAACTAATTAATACAACACCATTGTGGGTTTCATAGTTAAAACATTCAAGACGATTCGATTTCATTCCTTATATATTGTTGGTCTGCTACTCTGCATCTTATTCCTTCTTCAAATTTCCATCCTTGTTACTGAAATGAAGCTTTCATGAAACTAAAGTTCTTCATTATCATACTTATAGGTATATAGCTGCATTATTGAGAATTAAAATTAAGAAAATCTACATTCTTCAAATAAAGAAACAACACAGGCAAATCAAAATGAAATCAAAGGCTAGTCAACCACAAAACCAAACATTGTTTGGTTGGATGTTATATGAGAAGTAGACCGAAAATATGCATTTGTTTGCTAAATGTGAACATAAAAATGATGCTCAACCACCACCTAGCATCAACCAATATAAGCGATTCCATTGTATGGCATGCATATCTACTACTTGTCAAAACTCAAAATGATTTTAGAGAGGGCAATATAGATATCAGTCAACGAATCTCCAAGGTGTACGAACATTAAACGATTGAATCCAACATAATACATGCTCAGCCCATGAAGAGAGAAGTTTAAAGTTAAAAATGCAACCCATTGATACGTAGGTTCTCTACATGATAGATATTTCATTCCTATTTTTATTGTCAATTGTTATGCTAGAAAAAGGCAAACCATCCATCTATTAAATTCACTCGTTATGATTGATAGATTGATTTGTCTTTTGACCAATTCCATCCATGGATGGCAAATGGGTAGCACTTGAACTCCTCTCAGCTGCATGTATAGGTGTCAAAACGGAACCCGACCTGATTAACCCGCCCGATCAATCCGACCCGCGACCCGCCTGCAACCCGAATTGACTAAAAGTCAATAACTCGTAACCCGCCCGACCCGCAACCCGACTGACCCGCAACCCGATTAACCCAAACCCGATTGACCCAAACCCGATTAGACCCGAACCCGATTGACCCAAACCCGATTAACTCGTAACCCGACCGACTCAACCCGAACTTCACATAATCCACTTGAATAATTATTATATTATACAATACATAGTTTTTCAAAATAACGATATATATATAACTGTTTATGGGCTAGTAACTAAATTAACCATTAGTTACAACAATCATTTGTTTTAGATAAATTCACTTAATTTGTCTACTTGTTTTCTATGCTTCTACATTTATTGCAACTTCAACACTACATGATCATTATTTTACAACACTTAGTAAAATTTTGGTGATCAATAAGAAAAGAAATTCGATGAAGATAAACCATAAGTTGACATTTGAAACCGCAATTCACTAAAATGATTTTACAACAACTATTTTATTAATTATTGTATAATTATTTGAAGAAAGTGTTAGTTATAATTTCACATTAATTAAGTAAAAGAAGGGGAAGATAATAATCATTAAAAGAAAAGGAGGGGACCTTCTGAAATTTTGGGTTTCTCGCCAAAATTGCAAACAGGTGCCAGACTATTGAGCGGGAGAGAGAGAAGGAGAAAAGAGATCTCAAATTTTTGGGGGGATTGACTATTGAGTGGAGAGAAGAATTATTGGGCGGGAAAGTGGGAAAAAGAAAAATAGCTCTCAATTTTGGGAGGGTTTGCGGGGGAAGAGTGAAAATTGAGCCCCGGACTGAATTTTCCAATTTTGAGCCAAATTCCAAATTATAAATTGTGTTGGTTCAACATAAACCGACGCAAAATCAAGGAAAATTGAGTCGGTCAATTAATCGACATAAAAAGGGACATAAAATTATAAATGTGTCGGTTAAGTGAATCGACACAAAGTAATCGTCATAAAACCTCTATTTTCTTGTAGTGATAATATTATATTACGTGAATGAGATAGTATTGGCGTGAATGGTTATCAATTTGCATCAATAGAGGACAATTGGCGTAAGAATATAGATTTAGTTTTGGCGAGAAAGAGTATGACTATGCATGAACAAAAATGTTTTGGTGTGAGTGATAGGGCATTAGACGTGAATAGTTTAAAATTTATATAAATCAAGTTAGTTTTTGCGTGATCGCTGATCAATTTGCATGAGAACGTTTCATAGTTTGATGTGTATGTATTGTTGAACTTGTTTCCTAAAGCATTAGACTATTAGTTCAAGTATTATGAATCCTTATTACGTTAGTGGTTAGCTAAAATTTATTGAAAATGATACTACTGGTCTTAACAAGTTTCATACGTTATTAAATTGATCGGTAGATGGCGAAAGAGATTATTTGAAAAATTATGATACTCGTATCCGATAATTGTCATGTTGTTTGAATGATTGGATATTTACGTGAATAAGATAGTTTTGACGTGAATGATTATCAGTTTGCGTGAATAACAAACGATTTGCGTGAAGACGTGAACAATATAGTTTTCACGGGTTTGTTCATTCAAGCCATTGTAGCTTTCAACAAAATCATTTAGGGTAAAGACTATAGAGTCATCGTATAATTTATATGTTTATGGTATAAGGTATTAATGGTTTAGCCATGATTAGTCAAAATCATAAATAATAAGGATCAAATTTTTTATTAACATATGTTCATGAATCAAACCATTAGGGGTTTAGAGTATAGACTATAGAGTCGGATTAGATTATATGTTACTGAGTAGAGTTACAATTAAAGTCACAACAATTTTACTAAATTTTATAGTTTAGGGTAATCAACAAATCATACGTGTAATTAACTAGCTAAACCAACAATTTCTCTACAAAAAAATTTATAAAGAATTTCACTTGTTTTAAAATAATTAAAAAATCAATATGAATTGAAAATTCACCCCAAAATATCGGTACACCACCATTCCTGATCTGCCCGCCTACAAGTCTGCAACCTTCCCGACTGAAATTTCACCCAAAACTCAGTCGATGCGCTGAACCGAACAACCCGCAACCCGACCCGTCCGACCCGAAACCAAAAATTCAGAAACCCGATTTGCCCGCAACCCGATTGAACCCGCAACCCGATTAATCCGCAACCCGATTGAACCCGTAACCCGACCAACCCGTAACCCGACCAACCCATAACCCGACCAACCCGTAACCCGATTGAACCCGACCCGAACCCGCCCGATTGACACCTATAGCTGCATGTGGAAGAATCCATTACAATTTGGTCGGCTTAATTTAAGCTACTAGAGTATGCATTACACAAACACCAATCATGCAAGCATGGTCCCAGTAAAATTAATAGGCATGCTAGCTATGGTTCTGCAACTTAAGAGTTAACATAAATTATTGAGAATAACGCCTAATCAACTAATGACTAAGCAAGGAATTATCCTCAAATCCAGTTTTGCGACTTAACCGGTATAGTTCTGCAACTTGAGAGTATATACAAACACACCGTTTTGTGGATTCGGTTCAGCAACTCAATTTGGGGAGGGGGAAGTTCGTCGACATGGTACTTTTAGATACTCCCAGTTGGAGGTTTATGCATAAACTGAGTAGAAATAACTTAGGTGGTGTCTTGGCATTGGGGGATCATTTACATGAACTCATATGATAGCAAGAAAAGGTAGTGCAACAACCAAATTTAAGCCACCATTTATAAGCAACCAACCATGAGTTTGGATTAGTGGTAGTAGTGAGGCTGAAGAGTGCAGGGCATTTGCATAAACCATAAACCGTGACTCAATCTAATTTCATTCCAACAAACAAAAGTAATCAATGGATGATGTCTACCTATTAATTTGATTTGATCATATCCATTTGCGGTACTATACTTGAACATTTGCTCGAGAAGCACATTGAAATTGGAAAAATCTAAGAAAATGATAATGGAAAGAGCGAGACAGAGCACATAGAAAAAGAATTAAGGACCACAAACATTAGACTCACTAGCAACAGATATGGGAATTGAAAATTTTCCTGAGATTAAACCAATAGGGGGAAAAAGAAACAAATTCGAGGATTACCGGCGTTGAGTAGAGAGAGAGATCAGTTTTCGTAGGTGTTGGAAAAGAGAGAGCACTTTCATCCAAGGAAGACATGAATTGGATGCATAAGAGGATGATGAACTCAGTATCTTCTTCGTCCGTGACATGAAGTGAGAGAGGATAAATCTGGTGGTGGAAGAGATACATGGAGAGCTAGCATTGGATTCGGAATCCATGAGCTGAAACGGTAAACACCGCGTTAGAATCTGGAAAAAAAAATCATGAGTACCCCCATAAGAAAAATGGTAGTACTTTCAAACAAACATGATAGTTACCTTAACACATGACAAAAATAATATGCAGTGTTCCTTAGTTAATCGCCTGATTCACCTCATCACCTGTTTTTTTTTATGGATGGAGTCTCAAAGCCAATTTATGATATGTTTTCTTTATCACTAGCTGAGATGTTGTCGTCTGCACACCAAGAATCTGCAGCCAACGCAACATCATTTTGTAAAGCTAGCACCCAATCCTAACCTAATATGAGCAATCTACTAGACATAGCAAATAAGAAGGGCTTGAACAATTCATCCCAAAAAAGAAGGGCTTGAAATCAACAATTTAATGGAACAAAATCATGAAGGTGGAACACCTGTTGAGATATAAGCATAACCATGTAGAGTACATCCATAATAGCTATTGTCTCTGTAACTGTTTAGTTAAGAACGACAATCCAAGCGAAAACTGATACTTGTAAATTCAATATAATTGTACTAAAATCAACGTAGTTCAATCACGAACGACAGTTGATAATGTTTTACTAAGGAACCTACCAAAGGGCGCCAATGGTACGACAGTTGGTTTAGCTTATAATGTTATTCAGCCCAACAAGTCTCCGTGGAAACAAAGTCCTCTTAAAAACAACTTATCAAAACATAAAAGCAAAACCAGAGATCTCAATTCCATATAAAAGCTAACAACTTCCAGTGTAGACGAGAACAATAAACATTTTGAACCGTCGCAGCACCAGCACAGCAAAACATACAACGATTAGCAATAAAAAGAGATATAGTTCAAGGCAAGGGGAAATGGATTGAAGAAATATGAGAGCAATAACCTTCAAATCTAATTTAGCTTAAAAGTAATAACCTTCACAACTAATCAAATCTCCAAAATCACAACATGTAATTATTCATCTCACTCTTCCTACTAATAGGAGACAATAAGGTGAGGATACATATTTAAATGTTAGTTGGGCATGTTCATCATAAATTTCAACCCGACAAGTCTCTGTAGTTGACGGTTTATTCATCCCAGCTAAGGAGAACATTCCACATTGAGAAGAAAGAATCTAAATCAACGAAAAGCTAAACACTAAGCAACAAAAAAAAGGCAGGGTTTCCCATATCTCTGCACTACCAAACCTAAAATCACACACTCCCATCCAAGCACCCTAGATATAATTGGAGATCGGGTATACAAAACGAAGTGATTGAAACACAAAAAATCAGGTTCCGTCGATAGCAGGGGAGAATTTTCACCATGAGGACTGGGCTGAATTCAGGCGTCAGACAAAAGTGGCAACGTGGCAAACACCAGACCTTCCACATATCCTTTCTTCTTATTGGTCGTGATTTTTGAAGAATCGGAAGACTGCAGACGAAGAACAACAAACGACAATAACTCCGGCGGGGAAAATGTTGGGTTAGCAACTTGATTTCAACGGTTGGAGGGCGGCATACCAGTAGGGAAATAAATGGATGGCTCGTTGTGTTCCAAATTGACACATACACATTTCTTTATTGGGCCGCAAGCCCATTTATTCCGACAATTCATAGGCCAACCACCAAATGAACTATAAATATTTTGTCCCGCCCTCCCAAAATACCCCTCCAAAAATCACTCTAGAGGCAACAACGCTTTTTTATGAATAAGGCAACGAATTTTGAATGGCGGTGGAACTTATAATTTCCCGCTATTATAATTAGTGTAGATAGATTATCAACATAAACCATTAAATTGATCAGGGTATAAACTACAAAATAAATCAAATTAGCTAATTGACGAAGAAGACTAGAATACTCGAACACTTGACGACTTCAAGTACCACAAAATGATGATGATTATTATTATTGGTATTGTGACAATTTGTAATGATTATGATCTAAAAACAGAAAGTATGAATGTGGTTTTGCAAAAGATGGTGTATACCGACATACTTTTATTAAATAATTAGAAGATTTATACCTTGTTTGTATGGGAGATTTGTAGTGGTGTGGTATTTGTCAACAAATAATTTATTGTTTGTGAATGTGTTATTTGTGTGCTATTTATGTGATAATTGGGTTGAAATGTTTGGATGAAGAGTTTTTTGCAATGTGTTAGTCTATAACTAATAAGGTGAACAATCAATATGTCATCTTTGTAATGAATGAAGAACAAGCAAACAAAATTATTATACTCTGTGCAATTTTGAAATAACACCAACCCCGCCTTATTTTGAATACTTTATTTTGTGCTATTTTTAAATAATCCTGACCTCAAATAACTCAACCCAAAAATTTGAATCTAAATGAATCATTTTATTTTTTGAGTTATTTGGACCCAAATTACTCATCCAAACAAATAGAATAATGATTTTAACTATAAAAAAGTGTACGAACTAAATTACTAGCCAATTACTTCTTCAAAACACTATGACCATCGACGAACATAGTAATAGAGTCGCCTTCTCGAACAATCCCACCTAAAACTCCATCCGCCAATGGATCTTCAATAAACCTCACAATAACCCTCTTCAATGGCCTCGCTCCATAGCTTGGATTAGTCCTTCTCTTATCACCTTGTCCTTCAACCCATTCCCTACTTTCAATTCAATCCCATTGGAAGCCTTGATCCTCTCCGCCACATTACTAATTATAATATCTACGATCTTCTTCACCTGCTCCTCCTTTAAAGCCATGAAAATTACAATCTCGTCAATCCTGTTCAGGAACGCCGCCCTGAAGCTCGCTTTGAGCTCCTCCGCAACTTTCAAATTCACTTCATCGTCGGGAATCCCCTACTCTGAGATCACAATACTTTTTCCGATGTTGGACGTCATATGATGATAATGGCATTTCTGAAACCAACCTTTTGTCCAGTCCCCTTTGTCAATGATCCGTAATCCAGAACTTGGAGAAGGGTGTTGCAGACGTTGGGATGGACCTTTTCTATTTCGTCGTACAACACGATGGAACTAGATTTTTGGCGGATTGATTTCGTCAATTGTCCACTGATTTCGTGGCCAATGTAGCCAGTTGGAGCTCCAAAGGGACGGGAGACAGTGTGATTCTCCATGTATTCGCTCATATCAATGCGAATCAAAGATTCCTTGGATTCGTAGAATTCAAATGCCAATGTGTTGGCCAACTCTATTTTTTTCCGACGACGGTTGGGCAATAAAGAGAAAGCTAGCCACGGACCTGGTTGGATCTCTCACCCACGATCTGACCCTTTGGACTGCTTTGTTGACCGCCTTTACAGCAACGTCCTGCCCGATGATATGGCTTTGAAGCTTCTCCTCCAAGTTGAGAAGTCGCAGGGACTCGTCCACGGTGACTAGGGTTGTTAATGAGTCGAGCTATTCGTGAGCGGCTAGGTCTTTAACTCGATAAAAGGTGCTCAATTAAAAAAAAGTTCGGCTTGTTAATAAACAAGCTGAGCTTGAGCTCAACCTTGTTCGGCTCGTAAGGCTTGTAACACCTTAGGAAAATCCCACATCGACAAAGCACGGGAGAGATCCATGGTTCATAAGTAAGAAACTGGCCTTAACTTACAAGACGCATTTTGGGGTGTATTGGAGGAGTTCTTGTGAGAACTCTGAAGTTAAACGTGCTCAGTATGTAGTGCAACAAGGATGGGTGACCTTATGGGAAGTCACCCTGAATTGCACCCAAAGTCAAAAACCGTGCAGGTGTAGAGGCCCAAAGCGAACAATATCTTGTCAGGAAAAGGTTCGAGATATTACAAGTGGTATCAGAGCCTCTCCACATCCCTCTTGAACGATGGTGGGAAAACCTCAACGAGGGCGTTGAGTCCCAAGGGGGGTGTATGTAACATCTTAGGCAAATCCCACATCGACAAAGCACGGGAGAGATCCTTGGTTCATAAGTAAGAAACCGACCTTAACTGACAAGACGCGTTTTGGGGTGTAATGGAGAAGTTCTTGTGTGAACTCCGAAGTTAAACGTGCTCAGTGTGGAGTACAAAAAGGATGGGTGACCTTATGGGAAGTCACCCTGAATTGCACCCCAAGTCGAAAACCGTGCGGGTGTATAGGCCCAAAGCGGACAATATCTTGTTGGGAAAAAGTTTGAGATATTACAAAGCTCGTGAACTAGCTCGATTAGGTGGCTTGTTGAGTACATCTCATGAATTGTCTAGTTTTGAGCTTATGAGATGTCCCAACATTATAACTAGCGAGCCAACTCGACTACAACTTATGAGAAAATCGATCTATATTTTATGAGTTGGTTTGTTAATGATGCATATAATTATTAAATTGTAAATATCACTTCATATTGTGTATAATACATTGAGCATATGTGAGCAAATACGTCTCATATATGACATTACATTAGGTAATAACATGTATCACATATGACATAAATATTAGGGTATTTATTTTATAAATTATCTTGAGACGAACTTTTGATTTTAATGATGTGTCAAGATTTAATAAATGATCTGGCTCATGTTCGACTCGACTCAGCTCGTTTATAAACGAGTCGAACATGAACAAGGCAAAGCTCGGCTCGACTTGACTCATTAACAACCCTTGCGGTGATAGACTCCAGAGGAATTCCAATCGCCATCGAGATTACGAGGCAGATGTCCGACTATGTAATGAAGTTGCTTGTGTTGAGATGACTTCTCGCTTCGTCTTTGTTGATCAGGTCGATCGCCTTATCTTAGAGAAACCTATCCCTTATGATTTTATTTGATAACATTACGGTGGCAACTAGAGCCTTATCCTCGTAGCGAACACCATGAAATGACTCATATTTGTGGCGCAACCCTTTCAGAATCTCCGTAGCTTTAGCAATGGATGGTTCGAGAACGTCGACGCTCTGGAACCACCTCTTCAAAGCTCCATCCTTTTCGATGTAGCTTTTGTACTCTTGCATAGTGGTCGCTCCAATGCACTGTCTAAAGTCGAAATTTCCCATTGTTAAGTAGAGTGTAGGAACAAAGCTATTTAGTAATACGTTACAAAAAGGAGTAGAGAAGAACCTTAAGTTCTCCTCTAGCCAGAGTTGGCTTTAGAATGTTGGCAACATCCAATGCGCTACCGCCGCCACCTGCTCCGACCAAGGTATGCAATTCATCGATGAAGATAATTATGGCTCCTTGGCTTATCTTCACTTCGTCTATCACTTTAATCAGCCTCTCTTTGAATTCTCCTCTATTGGCCGCCCCAGCGATCAGACGTCCCATGTCTAGTGCATATATCTGATGATCATGGCGGTGGTTAATGATTTATACGTATGAACAAAATGGGGCATAAATCTCATCTCATAGTACCTTATTCCCTAGAAGTTTGGGAGGGACGGCTTGACCAACGATTTTAGCAGCTAGCCCTTCCACGATCACCGTCTTGCCAACATCAGGGTCTCCCACCAGGCATGGGTTGCATTTCTTGCACTTATAGAGGAATTGGACCACCCTTTTGATTTCCTGCTGGGTTTCTGTCACAGGATCAAGTTTTCCCTGCATTCCAATAGATGAACCCAAACGAGCAGAAAGAATTGTTAACTACTAGAGATTCGATCAATGTAGTGTTTATTTGGTTGTAAGAATTCTTCATTCGTGCCTCCTGAGCAAACTTCGTCACATCCGAACCATACTTATCCAGAAAATCAATGCGTAGATTGTTGTCACCTTGTTTCTTCTTCTCCAACTGTTCCATCTTTCGTTGTATAGTAGGGTCGGGGGTGGCTTACTATTTTACTAATATGTTGGTGTGAAGGAATGAGTTGAAAGCAACACCATTCTTCCATCTATTTATACATGGTAATGTAGTGGGTAGAAAAGAGGTCACCAATGAAATGATAGCGATTGGAGTTCCCCAAAGGCATCGAGAACATTGCATCTTTGCATGGTGAGTTAACAATAACGAGTCAATAAGGTGTCTGCAGCTTTCCCTAAGTACAATAGCATCTCAGTTCTTGCCCTTGATCTCCCCACCTGCATTTATGACATAGTTAATGAAGGATTGTTTCTTGATCGCAGAGTCATTGCATTTATTCGATAATTCAACATCCATTAATCAAACATGATGTCGATCTTGCACTGTGAGTCGTTTACTTTTTCTACATTCACTAGTTTATCAATCAATCTACCAAGACCTCCAACCAAATACTCCAGTCAGAAACCAAAAGTAGAGACAGGAGATAACCAAGACTCATAAAAAGGTTCCAACTCCACAGTAATGGGGCATCCATAATAGACTGTGCTTTTCAAAAAACCATCCTACGATATGTTCACCCTGTATGCATGAGTATAGCGTTATTAATGAAGGAGGACAATAGATGGATTTAACTTATTTCTTTGACCGCCACAAATTTTATTTTGTTGGCCTATTAGCCATAGAAGACTGATTATCTAACCTAGAAACTTGGCAAGATTGTTGTCGGTCTACTACATCCACCCTTAAGTTGATCATGTTAATTTGTGTCTCTGTAATTCACCTCTTTAAAATCTACTTTCACTAACTCGATATGTATTGGAAGATGCCAGAATGGTGATCATTGATATCGATCTTGAGGAATTCGATAAGGTAAAGCGGGTGAATGTTCATGACATGATCGCGGGATCAAGCATGTTGCTCGAGTGATGATCCCTATTGAATCAAGATCCATCTTGTTCACGTCCAGCATTAGCGAGATACTGGGTGTGGTGAATAGAATCCATAATCCATATCAAAACAATTATACCTACAACAGTGAAGTCGATAGCTAGCGAGTTCTGCAAGGTTGCCATAAGGATCAATTGCATATCTGATAGACCGTTAATTACACATGTTTTTACCCCTATTCTTGACCCGTTTGAGATATCGATTCTGGCGTTTTAGGCCGATTTCAAGCTAGGTTGTTCTTGTTTGTGATATTTCAGGTCCTAGTACGTGAATGAAGGTTTAGGAACGAGTTCGGGATCGATTGGACGAAAATTGGACATTCGGCGGGAGGCTGATGGAGCCACACGGGCACGCCTAAAACCTACACGGCCGTGTGGCCTGGCCGTGTGGCATCAAATTGCATGGACAAAGTCACGCGGGCCGTGTAGGGGACCCCCTGTGGCCGTGTGGAAATTCCAGGGAACTCACACGGCCATCCTGGAATTCCACACGGCCGTGTGGGTCGTGGCCGTGTAGGAAGTATGAGTCACTTATCAAAACGCCGCAGTTTGTACATCTCACACGGGCAGCTGGGGATGTCACACGGCTGTGTGGCCTGGCCGTGTGAGTCGGGATTTTCTGGGTTCTAACCCAATTTTCAGCAAAGGAGAAGGGGTTCCGAGTTTTAGAGAGACAGAGCAATTCCTAGAGAGAGAAAGCGACGAACCAGAGTTCCCAAGTGCCCTAGCCTGATCTTCATCACCATTGGAGCTCGGCTCACACTTGGAGAAGTGTCGATTGACGACCAGGAGCAGAAACCCATCCTTCACAGCATGATTTCTGCATCTGAGCTTGCTTTTGCTTCTCTCTCCATGGAGTAACTTCTTCATTCATCTGGGTATGGAGAACCCTAGATTTGTATGTTAGGTTTGATTGTATGAACCCAAGTACAGATTCTATGATTTGATTATATTCAATTGGGGTTTGAATTGTTGAATGACATGAATCCTGATCAAATTCCTGTTATTTCTGCTTTGACCTAGAAAGAGAATATCTGCCTAGGTTGATAGAGCACCCTTGATTGAAGGTGGTGAATTGGTGACTTTAGTCGAGGAGCCAATTCACTATTCTGTACCGAAGTTACTTCGGTAGTGGAGGTTTTGTTCGTTAGGGCCTCAATTTGTTTACTCCGGTGGAGGTTAGTCGCCCGCTGGAGACTCAGATTGAGAGGGTCTGGAGACCTTTAGTCGAGACTTCAGACTGTTTAAGAACCTTCCACAGTATAACTATCATTGAAACTAAACTTGGTGAATTACAATTCGGCTTAATTGCAGTCTAGGGGGAACCATATCCGGGTGACCTCTCTCGACTTGAAACAACCTTCTTGCTTGCTTTGTTTGTTTGCTTGTTTGAACCTGCAATAAAGTTTCACCGCTAAATAATAAGAATTCGCTGAGTAGTCATCACATCTAGGACCCGGGTTGACATTAAAACCCAAACCCGCTATACTACGTTTTAGGAAGTGGTTACACTTGGCCATTTTCTAGAGTGAGAGTAGGAGCGAGTCAATATCACCAATGTGCAATTACAACTCCAATGTCGGTTGACTAGCTCAGTGTGATATAGCAGGCAAATGAGCAAAGAGCAAATAGTGGAGATGAAGAATGGACTAAGGGAGGTAGGGTGAGATGTGTGAGGATGTGGACGTGGCTAAGTCCACACTATACTTTACTTCAGAAGAAACCAAGTACATTATAGGGCAACCTTATGATTGATGGAGGATTCACCATCTTTCAAACACATTACACTCCTTTATCCTCAATGACATTCTCTAGTTTTGTTGATTCCTTTACCTTTGTGTGTGTTCCCTTTTTCTGGTTAGATTTGTATTTCCCAAGCTAGCTTGTACAAATAGCAAAAAGTATTCAAACTTAATGGATCATATATATAAGAGCTAAATTTTGCAACTTAACTACGAAGTTATTATTACAATGAGTCAAATGACGACTTATTGTGTTTCTTGAGCTACAAATTAAGTAGTCATTCATGATTTAAACTAGCACCATAATCTCTATTAACTAGACAGAATGAAACAGTCAAGCTTCTCCACTAGTGAGAAGCCAACTTTACATTTGAACAAGGCAATTACAGATCAGTGGTATTGAAGCATACTAATTCGGTGGCGACTTGACAGATATAAACCACATAACAACCTGTTAGGAGTAGTTGCCGGACCGAGAACTACAATATGGCGCAATAATGTTTTCAGAAGCAGCACTCCTCCATCACCCAACAGCAACAGACATCAACCAAACTACACATTGCAAACAATATATGGTCAAAAAGTTCCACCACCTCCATCAAATTGCACAAAATTATGATTGATATAAGACCGACTCTTTATCTACTTAATTCACGATCTTTTTTCAAGTGTTGATAAAACATCAAGTCCATGACAAGGATGTTAGTGTACAATGAAGGGCAAACCAGAAATCACATATGTGGAAGCACTCCAAGAACTTCTCTCCATTACCAATGAACCACTTTAGCTAAACTTAGCTTGACCAGAATTAGACTAGCAGAACCCTTGGGTATTTTTGATTAATTTCAGCTAGTAACGATGTCCATTTCCGCTCTTTTTATTAGGAACCTAATGTCCCAAGAGAGAACCAGTGGCACCGCAAGGGCCCCTGTGATAATAATCTCATTTATCTTGAGTAATAACAAATGCCCTGTGCCATGCTCTTGGTTGTCAGAGGAAGAGAGTACTTGCCAAAGTTGTTCCAGCAAAACTTGGACAAAGGAGTAGAAAAGAGAGCTAAGAAGCGGAATAAGGAGATTGAATGCATCAAACCTACGCATATACTTGGTAGCTTTTATGTACCACGATTAAGCAACTTGCTTTGTAGTGCTTGATTGCCTATACTACAGTTGATTTCCTTAAGATCATCACTTAACAACATAGCAGAAGGCCGATGAAACCATCACATTTGCAGGATCAATTTTTTCCCGAAAACCGGGTTAACATTTGGAGTTGTCTCGCGAACTGATTTTTGAGTCACAGAACGATCCAAAACACTACCCTTTAACCACCTAGTCCCACGATCCAACCACTACCGTAATTCTAAAGTCAACCTCACAAACATTTTGTTTTGGATTGCCAAGTTTCGAGCTTGAGCTGAATCTAGATCAAGAAAAGGCACCCCTCAAGACCACTGACCGAAGAAATCATCCAGAGGATCAGCCCAAAATCCAAGTCACAATCGGCGAACCTAATTAAATCAAACCTTCTGATTCGAAGACAAACATACTGGGGGAGAAAAAGGACATACCAGCCGCGGAGGAACGAAGCATCGGAATCTTCATTATAATAATGGTGGTTGTGGTGGTCATAGCTCTGGTAGTTCTGGTATTGATTGGGTGGATGACGGGGCGGCGGCGGCGGCTACGCAGGATACCCTGGCGTGGAGAAATACCCTTGGTAACCATCGTACCGGTGCTGATGCTGAGGTGGACGCGGTGGCGGGTACTGAGGAGGGTATCCGGGTCGCGGAGGTGGTTACCCCTCAGTCTCAGACTGCGGCGGAGGATATACTTCTTGCGGCGGGTACGACGACACGTCCTCTATTGAAGAAATACCCATATCAGGTTAAGGGAAGCTGGAATATTAGAAGGACGATAAAATTGTGGGTGGGAAAGCAAAGGGATTGAATTTAATTTACCGTGACGAGCAGGAGGAGGGTACAGATCGCTCGGGAACTTTGGTAGCTCATTCTTGGGTTTCATGGGCTTGATTCTGGTGATCGAAATTCAGAAACTAGATTTGCGATGAAGGAGAGAGGGGGAATTAGAGGGAGAGAAGGATTGGCACTGGTTTTAGATATGATAAAAGAACAGAAGACGAAAGACGTTCACGCTGCTGCGACGACTATCAATAATTGTCAATTGGAGTTGGTGGGGTCACGGGCCCACGTTTAGGATTTTTAAAGTGTTAAATATCAATTTGGCCACCGAACCTTTTTACATGTACGGTGTACCACATTGGAATGTAGAATTCGATATATGATCATAATGATCTACTTTTTACCTCTAAACAATTTCAATTTAGCGACTTTAATTAACAACAAATATGAAATTTAGATTTATTTTGTGAATTTTAAAGTTAAATGTTAGTGTTAGTTGTTGGATTCAAGAATGAACGTTTAATATTAAGTTATTTTTTATTCAGTTTCAATGTGTGGCTGTTGAAGTTAAATATTGTATTTAAATATTATGATTTTTCATTTGGTTAGAAAATTGTATTTTGTTTCAATATAATGTATATTTTAGGGAGTTTATCTTCACATATGTTACATATGTGCCTCAATTCATTTTTTTTTTTGACAACAAACATCATTCATTTCATTCCAAACCCAAACAAAGGGGAGCACAACGATTACAATAATGGAGCGACAAGGTTGGCAATGACAATCCATTCTGGAGGAAGGAGATCAATGACAATCCATTCTCAATTCATTTGATGTTAATGGTTTCCCATCATCTCTACATATCTTGCTAAAACCGACATGAACTGACAACAGGTTGTACCACGATTGGATCTTAACACTTGCTATTTCACAAGCTTGCATTAAAGTATCAACTTATATTTGCGTAGATCGAAGATGGTCATTCACTCGACTATATATGTCTTAATAATTCACCCGTTCTTTTTGATTTGGCATCTATAGGTAATCATGTGATCTTTGTGAATTGAGACGTTAGTCCTCTAGGTGAATTTAATGTTTTTGATAAAAAAAATTCTGATAATAAGTGAATTTAATGTTTTAGTTGCTTAAAACCCGAGTTTAGTGACCTGTGTAACATATATCAATTAGTAAGATGATAAAATTGATATTTAGACTTATTTTCTTTTTCTATTGAGACAGATCTCCGAAGTAATGAGTATACTATAAACTTCAAATTGAAATAAATAAACAGATGAAGCATCATAATCAAGGTTGTCAACCCGCGGGTTGACCCGGATCCGGTTGAGCTAGTGGGTTAAGGGTTAATGGATCACCCGGTTTAGCCCGGTTTAGCCCGAAAATATGGAAAGCGTCATTATATTGTACTTATCCTGATAAATTATATCAAATCTCATCTAACATATGAGTTATAACATATAATATTACACCAAAATAACATTTCGTACTTAGATTCAACATATAGTGAAAATTCACACACACTTATATAACATTAATATTCAAATGTTCAACTTAGGATTCCAAAGATTGAGTTAGGCGAAAAGAAAAATTGGAAAATAGGCGCATTTCGCAAAATAAAGAAAAAAATGACACAATTTGACCTCCAACCCGGTACCTTGTGGAGGTCGACCCGGCGGGTGCGTGCGGCCCGTTTTTCTCACCGGGTCAGGGTCAAAGTGGGTCAACCCGCGGGTCGACAACCTTGATCATAATTTGATTTTAAGTGACCTTAATGTATAGTGGGTAGTTGTGTTACCTTTATCTATCTTATTGGAGTATTAATTTAGCAGGTTAAGTGGATTAATTAGTCACTTTGAACAGGACCCAATCTGGAAAGACGCAAAACAAAATACTCAACTTCCAACACATCAAAATCATTGTTAATTGTTCAAGACTTCAAGACCAAGTCTCTGTTCAAGAATATGATTTGTAAAGGAACATCAAGGGGACACTGCAATAAAAGTAGCTCGTAACTTCATTAGACGCGGCTAAGTAACCTAGAAGGAAGCTAGAACAATGTGAAAAGTCCACACGTGAACCTGACCCCTATAAACATTTATCAAATCTAAGAACGTACACATGTCATCGTCCTATACGCCATAGCAACCTTCCCTTGTTCAGCAATCAGCAGGCACACTAGCCTCATTCGCGTTGGTTTACAGTATAAAGCCATAAACAAAGACCAGAAGGAGCTGGGATGGACTAGTCATTTTAATTGCTATAGCATCTCCATCTGCGTTGACCCAAAGCAAACAAAATGATCAATCCTTTCGCTACAGAGCCCCTTAATCATTCATCGTCATCCTCAACCTCAACCTCTTCACCAGCCCCTGTTTCTCAAGCTCATCAGCAGCCGACGGCGGCAGCAGCATCTCCGGCGGAGCAATGGGGGACTTACGTGATGGGTGCCCCGGCGGCGCCTTCTTCCCACCCGGACAACCAGAAAGCCGCTGCCTTCTGGGGCGCAACCAGCTCTACGGTGGCTAATACTACTCCGCCTGATCCGCAGCAGCAGTACAACAATGCTCATCATCAACAACAGCAACATCCTTACTTGGTCTATTCTCCGGCGGAGAAACCCGCCGGCAGTCCCATGGAATCCATTCTCCACGTCTTCAATTCATGGACCAACAAAGCTGAGACACTGGGCAACAACATCTGGAACAACCGTACGTTTTACCGGATTTCCTGCCTGCCTGCTTCTCTTCTTTGTTTTATCATTGATCCGACATCTCGGGTTTCTGGATCTAAATATATTGGCTGGCTGATTGTTAACTTACTCACTCTGTTTTGCTAAACCAGTGAAGACGAATTCCTCTGTCTCGGGAGCAGCTTGGGGCAAAATGAATCTGACGGCGAAGGCTATCTCCGAAGGCGGATTCGAATCCCTGTACAAGCAGACTTTCGCCACTTACCCCAACGAGAAGCTCAAGAAGCGATTCGCCTGCTACCTCTCCACCGCCACCGGCCCTGTTGCCGGAACTCTGTACCTCTCCAACATCCACGCCGCCTTCTGCAGCGACCGGCCTCTGTCCTTTGCCGCGCCATCCGGGCAGGAGACATGGAGCTACTACAAGGTTGCAGTGCCGCTGAACAAGATCGTCGGAGTGAATCCTGTGGTGATGAGGGAGAAGAATCCGCCGTCGGAGAAGTATATTCAAGTCGTGACGGTGGACGGACACGACTTCTGGTTCATGGGTTTCGTCAATTTCGACAAGGCGGTGAAGCATTTGAGTCAAGGGATCTCCAGCATGGTAACCCCAGCTGTGGCCGTCTAGCTCAAGTATATCGGATGCACTCTTTAGCAATAACATCATGTACTTGTTCTCGCTGTCAACTCAGAATTATGTCAAATACTCTATTGCCCAACATATACTTGATGCAAGTAGCAAATTTCGAACGACATTACCTCGCATTAGCATAGAAATTGAACCGCACTTCTACTTGTATGACCTGTGAGTTTATGAATTATGACCCATAACCTTAACCCTGTTTGGTGTGAGTTGGCAAACCTGTTCATGATGCACAACTCATTAGAGAAGCCACTACTAAAATGACCAAACTCGTCAGGACTCGGCCTTTTCTCACACAATGTACGTTAGAAGTCATCAAGGTAAGAAAACACCACAATACATAATTACAACGCCACCACATCGCCAAAGCCAACAAGAAAAGGCTAGAGCCAACTTCTGTCTTGCTATCAAAGGAAAGGACCGCTGCACCAGACACACAGAGAGGCGATAAATTTTGAATAATTCACCATATTCAGTTTCTATCACGAGCATGCTAACCTCTCTTTCCTTGCAATTTTCAAGAAACATAGATTTGAGGAGAGTCGAAATTTAGGAAGAAAGTGCGGATTTCCATGGGGGCAAGTTCCACCACAAGGTTGACAGGATCAACTGCTCCTCCCCTCATCACTTTGGATTCTTCTTCCTTTGCAGCTACTTTCCAGACTAGCCTTCTCTTCTCCAACTCGCTCCTCTTTTGATTGGCCGACAGACTCAGCTCCGTCACCTTACCAATCTGAATAAAAAGATGAGAAAGAAGAGACATCCACATTGACAACATTAGTGACTTGTTCCACGAGCAATCACACGAAGAGTCCTCCTTGAGCTTTGCTCTACTGATAATGCATCTCTCACCTTTTTATTTGGGAAAAGCATTTTCAGTTCCACCCTCGCCATTCCAGAGTAGTCCTTGTCTTCTCCAATCTGAAATCCAAGAACAAGTAATTACAATTCATTCATTCAGATAGTTTAAAGAGAACAAGCATAACAGTTTATAAATGTTGAGTTCAGAGGATCAACCAAAAGCACATTAGAAAGGGTGCAGACCTCATATAAGTGAGCCAAACGGAGGAGAACTTCCCCAACTTTGAGTTCCTGCAATGTTTATAAGAGAGAGCTTCTCTCATTTCCCCATACTGTTAAAACTTAAAACAAAGTGAAGAAAATGGAGGGGCAAGGAGAATAATATTACTACTTTACCTGTAGGGTTATCACAGCAACATTATTGGGCAAAGAATAGGATGGATCAACTCCTGAAAATGAATTTACATGGGACTCCATCCATTTGCTTGCATCCTGATTTTTTTTTTTTTTTTTTTTTTGAGAAATAAGTAAAACATCACATTTGAGCATTATGTTACATTCTAATTTGGCATATTCAAATAAAAATTTTCTGGCCCACCTGCTTTGTGAATGCTACTAGAACTGGAGAATATATTTCTTGGCCAACAGTGCGGCGCCACTTGGCACCTTCACCCAACTGATCAACTCTGAGGAACATCTTACCTACGATCTGCAACAATATGTAAATGAAGCCATTCAATAACTTTGGACCTGTAATATTGACAACACATTATTTGGTAAACAAATGCTAGCTTACAGTTAAACCTTCACATTCATCGAGGAGACAAACAGTCTCATTTAACACCTCCCCAACGCCTCTCATATCATCATGAAGCATTCTCCTAGAAACAGCATCTGTTGTTAGATATCGATATCATCATATACTATATATCTATAGACATATAGATGAGTGAGAGAGCCGAAAATGCCATGAGCATTTATTTATTCTCAACTGAACCACTATGGAAATAAATAAGTGAAGATAAAGATGTTGGAAAGGGAAAGGGAAAGGGAAAATAGAACGAACCTATGTAGCATTAGTTCTATTTGACCATCCATAAGACTAGAGCCTCCAACTGACCGATCCACCAATACTGACAGCTCTGTAGTATCATTTTGTACATATATTCCAAGGTTAACCTGCAAAATTCAAGAACAAAATGATATTGAACAATAGTACGTAATTTCTTCTTCTAACAATTCTCGACTTCTAGACTAATCGTTCACTATTACCAGTATGATGTAGCTTCCAGCCTAAGTTATACGAAGTATAATCCATCTAGGCCTATCATGCATGACTGTCTAAGTGCCCTAAAATGGAATAAATACATATATGAAGTAGCATGAGTTTAGTCCAGTTAATAATATCCTTTAAAAAAAACCCGGTTAATACAACATACAGGATAATAATTTCCGGCAACAGGTTGATTCACTTCGAGGTCCCAGTCTGTCCTCTGATCTCGGACCTGCAAATTATATGGAATATAGTCTAAGCCTACAAAAAGTTTCTATAGCTTGCATGGAAGCAATCAAAATACACTGAAGAAAAGGGCATAAATATGGGGGGTTTTAACCAAGATAAGCCCCCATGGCATAAATATGGTTGACGAATCATAGAATGGACAACAGAAGCAAATCCTACAAACCCTTTTAATGAAGTCGCGTCCGTTTGAGTCTGTGTAAAATGTCTTGTTGGTTTTCATGGTGGTTTTGATTTGAGTTGTTATTTCTTTCCCAGTCCCATCATCCAAAGGTATAGGCCCAATCTGAGGTTAAATGGAAAACAAATGCATCAAATATGACCCATCAACCATAGAATAAAAGTTTCCTCGTACTTGGAGAACCAACTTACAACAAATTCAATTTCAGCGTGCTCCTTCCCTTTGTAAACCCTAGTGACCTGTGCATGCATGACTTTTTAATGAGTTGCAATGCGTGTTGTCAAGATGGTTATCAAAGAATCAGGAAGTAATATGCAAAAGCTTGTTTCACAAAAATCTTTCCGATAAAAGGGATGGGGTCTCCTTAGAAACAATGAATTGCATATATCTTAACAACCTGAGATATCCAAGGATTCAGCTGCTGATGTACTTCATCCAGCAACGGGCCCCTAAAAAAAGTTGAAGGAAACTTGAAAAGGAAAATTTTATTTCAGTTCAGATATTTGATTTGGTGTACCACATAGTTCTCTAAAACCGGTCCATTCTAAGAGGGGGGAAATGTCACCTGACCCAAATTCTTTACTGTGAATGTCCCATTTGGCCGGAAAACATATGCCCCAGAAGCCTGTAAAAAGCAAGGGGAAGGACCGAGATTGCTTATTAAGAATTTCACAGAATAGTGACTAGAGCAAGGTACACATAGAGATAAATGAAGGTTCTGGAATTTGGAGTTTTAGTACCTGTGGATCTTTATTAGTACCATCATTTCCAGTGTAATAGCCGTATGATTGTTCAACAGAGGTAGCAACCTTCAGAAACAAAGGACGTATCGATGAGATATTAACAGAGTTGCATGGGATTTTCTGAAATTTCACTTACCCTCTAAGATTGAAAAACACCCTAAAACTATGGGAGGAACACAAGACAGAAGCTGGACTAAGTAAAGTACTGCAGAGCTACAAGTTTAAGGAAGCAATGTACCAGACTTCTGCTATTGATAAAATGAGTAAGCTCCCCATTGTCTACAGAGAAACGTAACTTCAAATTTCCTGGGCCAACTTCAACAGTTCTAGCTTTCATGTTCTCTGCAGTGTGCACCAGTGAGATGATTGAACTAGAGCCTTCAACAGAATTAGATTACAAACCGGAGGACTATGTCAGTCGCAAGGAACAATATTTCTCCATCACTGACTTCAGTGGAACAACTTCGGAATATTCTAACCTGTCTGATTAGCTACTGAGACAAAGTAAGTGTTGAAACCAAGGGGTGGCAGAGATGCAGAAAATGCAAGCCAATATTTTGGCATTTCACTTGGGAAATGGCCCGTATATGCTTTGGCATATATAGTCCTTACTCTCGAAGTTGCATTCAAGAGTGGGACTAGCTGAGATTCAATTTGTATCCCATTAGAATCGTGAACTTCTACATTCTCAGAAGAAACCTGTGCCACATTTTTTATACACCAGGTCAGCCATTAATGAACCTGTGGGCCTTTCCAATTACACAAAACAACTTTCACAATAGTTATAGGCTAGCGTGCAGTTGGCACGAGAAATATATTTATGCTCGAGTGACGATAGATGATAATATATAACTCGTCCTTGGTTCGAAGTTTGGTGTCACCATTGAGAAATTGGTACAAGAAGCTGTGGATACACTTCTTGATAATGGAATTCGCGGACAACCAATGAGGGAAGGTCATAGTTTAATGAAATACTAACCGGAATCCGAATCACTTCCTCCCTTTTCCATCCTAGAGGATTATAAGCCACAATAACCTAAAAGATTTAAGGATATAATTATAAGATGAAAAAAACACTATCTTTCTTCTTGCAGATCACAAAGTAGTTACACAAGGGAATTAGGATCTTACCAAGCTCTGCTCATCAGACGATATGGATTCTGTAGGAGGACAATAGCTTATGTTAAGTAAAAGACACTGCAAAGAAAAACGACAGAGAGTAATTCAGCAATGCATATCAAAGACATACTTTTATCCAACTGACCATGTTTGTTCAACTTCACAACAGCTAAAGAATAGAAGAATTGACAATAAAACGCAGAGTGCTTATGGTAGTAGACGTGTCATTTTGGTCATGCACTCTTTAACTAAGTTTACTTATAATGATGAAATGAAGTCTCTTTAGGCAATTAGGAAACAAGGATACATGGAAAATGTATGTATGTATATATGTCGTCCCAGTAAAACGTAAGAACACATGTTGAAGTAAATATATAGGGGGTTAACAATGCCTGCTCAAGTTCCGTGGAAATGCTCCCTTGTCTTGTACTTGATCTTGACTCTGTCAGGAAACCAAGAGAAGAGGCAACTAACTTCTCAGCCTGCAAAGAATCCCAAGAAAAAAGGAATGACATCCTATCGAAGGTTGAAATAATGTGCCAAGAGATAATATATAAAACAATGTGCACCTCCTTGTAACCAATTGAAATTCGCAAAGCATAATCAGCAGCAACATGCTGCCTCTGTGTTCCACTAACAGCATCATGATGTTGTGCAATTGCCAAGGCATCTGCAAGCACCCCAAGTTTGGATGCCACACCACTCCAGCCTCTAAAGAACTCCAGCTGCCTTGCAGCCTATTTGAGACCAAAAGAGAGCAATAACTCTAAGAAACTAAGCAGCATTCATGGATGGTTTTACAAAAATGCTAGATGAAGAAAGATAAAAGGCTCCGGATCTCACAAGGTAATAACCACTCATTGTTCTGACAAAGCCTTTAAATGCTGGCCTACTCGTGAAATAACCTGTCCAGTAGGCATTTTGGTGATCTGCATACCTGTAATGTCATCTTACTAATTTAGTTTATCAACTAACTCAAATAATAAGAACAAGAACCAAAAGATCAAACTCACGGAAAAAAATCTCCAGTTTTTAAAGGCCATTCTTCATTTGCCGCATGTTTGGCATCAGTATACATCGATGGAGTTGAGTACAGAACATTTACACGGCCATCCTAAGATATTCATATAAAAGCCCTTATTATAGGATTCAAACTACATAGTAGAGCTGTAAAATAGATGACAGGTGTTTATCATCTTTCTAAATGTAACACCGTGCAAGGAACAAAACCTGGTTCACATAATGGATGAACTTGTCCATCTGTCGATACCACGAATTTGCATACTGATAACGAAAATCAGTTCCCATTAACCACATTATATGATTCGTTCGTGTTACATTGGCCTGAAAATTCAAAAGTAACCTGCTTATAAGTTGAGGTAGTTGGTTGGAATAGACAAAGAACACCCATCAACAAGCTTTTGATGAAGCAAAGGAACACTACCTATTATTTGATTGGAACAGCATTGCAATAATACAAAGCTACATTAAGAGTTAGCTAATGAAAAATCCTGGTGATTGTATAAAACAGCTTACTATCTACCCTTTTTTTTCTATGAATCTTACTATCTACCTTATACCACCTGATGCATCAGATTGGCTCCAGAAAGAAATATAATTGACATTCAAAGTGACTACAAAACAACCAAGAGCTTACCTGAGCCAGTGCAGCAGCCACAAAGTCACTTACTCGCTCTTGGACATTATAGTCGAATAGTAGCACATCATCCTTCAATTTATAAAACGATATGTTAAACACAAGTCAACAGAAGAATCAGAAAAATCAACTCATTCATACAAATTGTACCTGAATAGGAGGCGATACGTCGTTAATTTCAAATGTGAATCCATCAGGCGGATCATAGTGTCGAGGAAATATACCAGTGAATATCTGTAGAAAAAATTAACGACACAACAAGAACGTAATGCCAGGACATCATCAGACAATATTTATAACTCCTGACCTAATATAACCATTTCGTGATTACTAAAGCAAAGAAACTAAAAGTAAACGTGCAACAAGGGAAGAAGGTGATTATGCATTCACCTGTGAAGTTGAGCCAAGGGACTGAGAACCCCGCCATATAACCTCAAGAGTCTTATCCTGTAATCGCTTGGCTCTGTCTTGGTAATCAATTCTAGCAAAGAATAGAGAGTCGAATCCAAACTGAAAATTGGAAACATCAGACCATGCATTATCCCATTGATATAGTCTATGACTTGCTCGTGATCAATTACCTAGGAGGAAAAATCCACGAAGAAATCTAAGATGCTGTACCTCAGCACCAAGCAAATAAGCTTGTACAGCAGAATGTCCAAATGGGTCAATCTGCCAACCAACTCTGGGAATCTGACCAAATTCATCCTTGATAAACTTATGACCAAGAGTCGTCTGATCGATAAGGTCAATGTAGTGTGGAGTAGCCTCATCATGCATACACATACCTCCATTTCTGCCATCAAGAAAGGCTTAAACTCAATACTAGAGGTCAATGCTTAGCTGGAATGCAGGATTCGGTAGCATGCACGCAAAAGAAAATCACAAAAAGGGAAATGAAATTAGAAGTGGTGGTACTGACATGAATTCAAGTTGACCAGAGTTGACAAGCCCTTTGACCTTTTCCTTCATTCCACTGCTTTGCTGCCGCCACCATCTCTGAAAGAACGCCTGAAAACCAAAGCAACTGAGGAACCCTCTTCAAATGAAACCAGAAAGAGAAACTGCAGAAAGCAAGAGAGATAAAGTAGTAATAACCCACCATCTCCACATAGATGAACTTGCGATTCTTGTCCTCGAACAAAGAGGACATAACAGAGTCCAATACATTCTGAACGCAAGCACCCTACTGACCAAATCGTTCAATCGAATCAATCAATCAAGTCACATTCAACAATAACCCAACGCAAAAGAGAGAAGGGGGTTAATTAGAGAAAGACCCGGATAGAATTATTGCCGCCGAAGTAGTATTGGTCAACAGTCTTCAACCAACCAACATCATCGTGGGAGTGAGGGACGAAATGGACGTTGATTTTGCCGGATACGACGGAAGCAGAAGTGTTATATGGGATGAAGGTGGAGTAGATGGCTGAGGGCGATGAACAGAATGTGCAGAAGAGGAGGAACAACAAGGGAAACGCCATGGATTTTGACCTGAGACAACGATCAAAATTTTTTGCTGGGTTTTCTTTCTTGTCCAACGATAGAGTGTGCACTCGCTGTTAACAGCAGCCGAGAATGGATATAGTTGAGTACGGCTTGGCGTGCACATTTGGGATGCCCCGTCCCTGTTGTCTTCTTCTTCACGCTTGAATTGATTTTGTACGTCTTTCATCCTAGATCAGTGGCTTTCCCACTCTCTCCCATGGCGCGTACATTTACCATAGTGAGCTGGAATTGGGAGGGAAGATGAAGGAAAATTTTCGGAGTTGCGCGCTCCTGAAAATGCGCAGCTGCCACTCGCGCCCTCCTGCCTTACAAATCTCCATTTGACATTTGTCCATTTCGAATTTTGGAATTTGGATGCTGCCTGAAATAACACATTCGCCACGTCCTCCACGAGACCCGCGCGACACGACCCCATAATTTTTAATTTTCTCTCCTCCGCCTCCGGCTCACGCGCCGCCACCTTCCCCCCGCTTTCTCTTCCATTTCCTCCTCCCATTTCCCCAAATCGACGCTCAAATTCTCCCCACTTATGCAAAGTTTCCAACCCTAGTCCTCACCTCACACTCTCTCTCGCGCCCATTCCTTTCCCCTCCATCGCAAGAGAGAGAGAAAGAGAGAGAGCTAGGTGCTTCATCAAAGCTCGACTATGGTGGTTCCCTCCCTGAACTGCGTCACCGACGGCGCTCCCCCTTCCCCCGGCGACTTCACTCCCCTGAAATCAACCCCGCCTCCACCCCACACAGACCAACTCCCTCGCAGCCGGCGAGCTAGCGCCCGGATTCATGAAACCAAGCAGCGCCAGGAGGCCAAACAGCGTCTGGAGAAGGAGAGGCTCATCCGGAAGCGGGTTCAGCTCCTGGATGAGCCGGAGGAGCAGCAATCCAGTGCCAAGAAACCGCGGGTCTACTCTTGCCGGCAGGATGGAGAGGGTATTAACGGGGTTGAGGCGAAACCCAAGGCCGAGCAGCAGCAGTTGCCGGAGCGGGAGCGGGAGAAAAAGGACGAGGAGGTGGAAAGGGCGATGGATAATGCAGCCCGGCAAATCGCGCTAGAGATGCCGACGAGTGACGTTCTGCCTGCCAGTGGTTTAGCCTCTGGGAAGAGTGCTTATGCTCAAGTGAAGGACACTCTGAGAACGTTCAACAAGTACTACCTATCCTTCGTCCAGGTTTGTTGCTCTCTTCCATAACAATGTACTCTTGCATGTTTCTCGGAAGACCTACGTTTACATCGTACGTCTCCGTAGCTGCAATGCTACTCCATTTCGACCCCTTCCGATCATGGATTCTGGGATTAGGGCCAGATTATTCTTTGTGGGTTTGTGTTGGGCTGTTGACCCTTAGTGGCTCTCTGCTTCTATTTTGCCCCGTTCCCCTTCTGGGTTTGTGGCTGCATTTTGTCACTTCACTTCTTTGAAGATGAGATGTCTGTTTGCATTTGGTTATGTTCGTTGAAATTCACATTGTTTCCTTGTTTCTTGTGGCGGATAGGAAGAGGAGAGTAGGTGTAAGAAGAAGGATACCGCCAAGAAAACCCCTAATTCCAAGTCCCCTTCCAAATCCAAGAGTCCAAAATCAAAAAGTCCCAAATTAAAGGTGAACATAAATGCCTCTATTATGCCTCTATAATTGTATGTTTGATGCCTGCTGTTCTAATGGTTTGCATTTTTTCATGTGTTATGGATACTTCAGAAACCTGGGCGGGGTGTGAAAGCGACTAAACCTGACACTAAGTCAACGTCCAAGCGTCCTGACCTGAAGGCTGTAACTAAAGTAAGTGCAAATTCTCCCCAACCTGGGCTGGAAAATGTTCATGCTTGATCTTGAACCAAATCTTGGTTTTTTCATCATCTTCTCTTTTGGCTTGAATATCTTTTGCAGATGTTGGAGACTAATGCTGTAATGTATCCCAAGAAAAGAATTGGCGACCTTCCAGGTTTGGAACTCTTACTACCATCTTACCATGTGGCTTGTGAATTTTGAAACTTAAACACTGCTGGGTTTCGTGTCAAGCTTATTTCACAACTCTTTAAAAGATTCTACTGTTCTGATTGGGTGATTCCTTCTGTGATGAGTTTGATTAAATTTATAATCTAAAACACGGTTTTGTTTTCTGTCAAGTGTATTTAACAACTCTGTATAAGCATTTGTACTGTTCTGCTTCAGTGCTTCCTTTCTGTGACAAGTTTGATTAAATGTGCCAATGGCAGGAATTGATGTTGGTCATCAATTTTATTCAAGAGCTGAGATGGTTGCAATTGGTTTTCATGGACACTGGTTGAATGGAATTGATTATATGGGTATGGGCTACCAAAAGGTGATGATTCAGTCTCTTTTTGTTGTATCCTCGACAAACATTTCATTTAATCCGTCGTGCCTGTCGTCTATGTCAATTGAATTGGGAGGAGCTTCACTGTTACATGCATCTTACAGCCGTTCTTCTACTACCTGTTACAGGAGTACAAGAACTACACATTCCCACTTGCAGTGGCTATTGTCTTGTCAGGAATGTATGAGGATGATCTAGATAATGCTGATGAGGTTACGTACACTGGTCAAGGTGGGCATAACCTAACTGGTGATAAACGACAGATTAAGGATCAAGTTATGGAGCGTGGAAATTTGGCACTAAAGGTATGGGTTGCATTGACCAGAAGTTTCTTGTACATTCATGATTATTATTTTATACCTACCTTACCATCTACATTTGATTGAGAATATAAACCGAGTGTGAGCTTTCTGTTTGCTGGTAGAAGTGGTAAGCCAACTTCTGCTTTAACCACCTTATCGCAGCCACCAGTTCATTAGACTGATACTTCTGATTAGCAGCATTCTGCTGATGTTTTGGAAAGAAGAGCTCCTTTTGTGAGAAACAGAAATATGTTAGCAGCATATCCTCAAACCAGTTCTTGCTGGGGAATGTAGCTTGTAATGAAAGAAGCTATATTTGGCATAGTTGCAAATATTAATTCAGGGGTGATATTGAAGTGAAGCCTTGAAGGATCTATGCCAATTGGACTTCTTACCTCATTATTTCTAAAGTAGGAATTCCTCGCCAGACATTCTGCTATGTAAAGTTACTTGACTTTGTTTATTGCTATTTTCTTTGCAGAACTGTGTAGAACAATCTATTCCTGTACGAGTGATTCGTGGTCATGTGTGCAAGAGCAGCTATGTTGGGAAGATGTATACATATGATGGCTTGTACAGGGTAAGGCTCTGATCCGCTATGTTGGGAAGATGTATACATAGTCATACACCATAATCGCCTGACAACAATTCTGTTATGCGGTCTGGTAGCCTCGTTGCTTTTTATTTTTATTTTTTTATATTTTTGGTTGTGCTTGTGGTGTTAAGGACGGTTCAAGCAATGTTAATCTAGCCAATGATGGTAGGACTACCTTCAATAGAGGAAGCTGGTTCTCTTTATTTATCTCTCTTATGTCTTAAATAGAAAATCTCTGGTGGTGTCAACTACGAGGAGGATTTTTCTTGATGCAATGCTTAGAATCATTTTTATTTTATGAGGGTGACATAAGTTTGGTTTTTAATTGAGTGCTACTTAAGGGATTTGAACCTAAGACCTTCAGATTCAAGACCAGTGGTATTCCCATTGGACCAAGCCCTTGTTCACTGTGGTACAACACACTGAATTGTTAGGACCCATGTAGGTTACCCACCCCAGGGCAGCGTTTTGTTTTCTGTGAGTGGCTATTTAATGGTCTATAGAGGATGCATTGATAATTAAGAAAGGGGTCGATTTAACTTGGTAGATTGACGGGACTGCAGTTTTTTTTTTTTTGCTGTGATCTTTGATTTTGAATCCTTGGCACTACGGAAAGATTGTTCAGATGAAGAGTACCGTGAAGTCGTTGCCATTAACTCTAGACAACTGAAGTTGTGCAATTGGGTTTCATTTTGGTCAGTCATGTAGTAAAATTACTGTTCTCCACCATTTCCTGAAGATGTCTTGAAATACATATATTGTTATACTGACCTAATCCTTTTCATCAAGATTTGAAGCTTGCCTTACTTATTCTGCTTGCATTACACCCATAGTTCCTTTCTATGATCCTTTCTGGGTTATTGGCTGAACATGGTCCCAATGTAATTGCTCTATATTGTCATGTCTTCATAGTGTTTCTCTGTTATCTGTGTCATTTGCTGTTTGCTTTTCCCCACTCATAATGAGTTAACTGCCATCCAGGTTTCTCGTTACTGGGCTGAGAAGGGTATATCTGGATTTACAGTGTTCAAGTATGCTCTTAGGAGGCTCGAAGAGCAGCCAATATTGACCACTAATCAGGTTCTTTACTTGGCTTATCTTCTACTTATCCGTTCTGTCTCTCATTGTTCATCTCTATAGTTCTCTTACGTTGCTAATGTTGGTCATATGCATCCCTTCAAGCTCTGTATTTTCTGTAGCTTTTCAAGATATCTTTTACATCTTCTAAAAACTAGAAATCCTGACAGATCCAACTGATTGTGTAACTATATGATGCGGTGACGTGCTGTTTGGAATCAGTATGTCTAGTTGAGATTTCCTTTTGCTTGTGAAATTTTTTATTTTTAAGAAAAGAATCAGATTCCCGTTTCCATAACAGATCTCGTTTATTATGTGAGGGATTCTATAAAGTATAAACTGGTAACAAAACTTGTGGAACATACTTGTGAAGTGTGTGAATCCTACAGTCAATAACTTTTACAAGCTGTTGGACCAAGAACCCCAACTTGTAATCAAAACGCCTAAGATACACATCAAAAAAAGCAATGGAGAACCACATACCAAAGAGATCTTTGAAGCTGGCATGATCGTAAATGCTATTGGTTATTCTTTCATGTACCATTTGTGACCTCTCAGGACTTGGAATGCTTTTGACTCCAGCTATAATATGTTAGTTTCATTTACATCTGTACTAGAAATGTGCTAGCTTTCTTTTCCAAGGGCTGCTTCTCGTTTCAGTAGTGACGATATTCAATGTAGTCAAAAGCGAGTTTTTACGTAGAAACGTTTTGGTGATCTAGAAGCGTAAAATCGTAAGTTTTTAAGTTTTAAACCGGAGTTTTTAACTACATAAGTTATAAAAACTGAGATTTTATGTAGAAGCGTTTTAGTGAACCAAAAACGTAAGTTTTTTAGTTTTAAAGCGAGATTTTGACTACATTGACGATATTGATGTCATGTTATTTCATGGCTTTGATCTGGTATCTTTCATCACCTTTCCTGACTGGACTTTTCCTAGTTAGTTCACATTTTTGTATTTACTAATTTGTTCATGTTTCTGCTGTCTGGCTTGATCCTCGTACCTATCAGGATACATATATTATTTAGTTGTCCCTAACATCTTCTCTTGTAACATAGGTACATTTCACAAATGGGCGCGTTCCCCAAGCTATTTCTGAAATACGAGGGTATACTTCAATTGTTGTTGAACAGCTGATGGTTTTTAGTTTTTACTAATTATTTGGTGTTGTCTGTCCAAGAATTCACTCTTCATGCTAATTCACACAGGTTGGTGTGTGATGATATTACTGGGGGACTAGAGGATATCCCAATTCCAGCCACAAATCAAGTTGATAATCCACCTGTTCCCCCAACAGGCAAGTTGAAACTTTGTATATTGTGGTCAAGTGCCTACCTATTCCTACTCTTAAGTCAATGTTAATCCATTTTTATATCCATTTAAGTTCCCTTGTATAAATGACTGGAGAAGCTGGCAACTTTGTATTCTCTAATTGTCCTTCTCCTTTTATTATTGGTAAAAATTCAGGCTTCAGTTATTTGAAGTCTATCCAAGTTGCCAAGAATGTGAAGCTTCCCAAAAACACAGCTGGATGTGATTGCAGAGGGAACTGTGTGGACCCGAGGAAATGTGCTTGTGCAAAGCTCAACGGCTCTGATTTCCCTTATGTGCATCGCGATGGCGGGAGGTTAGCTTGTTTGACATAACAGACCTCTTATTTCGTGCTTCGTTTCTGGTTGATTTGTGACTCCCATCTTTCTGTTTTTTTTTTTTTTTTGCTAAATCTTTCTTTTACCTCAGGCTAATTGAGGCCAAAGATGTTGTTTTTGAATGTGGTCCATCTTGTGGCTGTGGACCAAGCTGTGTTAACCGCTCATCTCAGAGGGGAATGAAACATCGTCTTGAGGTTTGATTTTTCCACCTAAAATGTATTATATTGATATTTGATCTGTCTATATATTTCTTTGCTTTGCCATGTCTGGTATTAATGGTCGGCCTATAATCTTAATAGGTTTTCCGTACACCAAAGAAGGGTTGGGCTGTGAGATCATGGGATTTCATTTTTTCTGGATCACCAGTTTGTGAGTATGTTGGGGTGCTCAAGAAAACAGAAGATGTTGATACTCTCACTGGAAATGAGTATATTTTTGACATTGACTGCTTGCAGACCATGAGAGGCTTGGAAGGCAGAGAGGTACTTAAATTCAACTTTTTGCCTAGGTTGTCTTGACCAGAAATGCTGAATTTAAACCTTCACTCATCTGTTTGTACTATTTGGCCAGTGTTTGAATTTCTTGCACTGTTTCTTACTCTTCATATTTATTTATTGTGTGTGCAAAATGATCTTATGTTAGATGTTGAGACTGTCATCTTGCTATTGCTTGTTCGGAAATGGATGCCTTCAACTTTGTGACATACCTGCATCATCTGTTATGCTTAGTTGCTGATTTTTATCAGTAACAGCTTGTGATTGTTAGGCATAATTTGTTCGTAGTTGATAATTATCTTCTAGTAATTTTAGAATATTATCTCTCTTGTATTAGAGTTGGAGAGCTAATCTCTATCGATCCACTCTGTAAACCCTATATGGTTTCAATGCTGAATATTTATCTTATTCCTTACACTTCACACGGTGTTAGAGCGGAAGGCTCTGGTGCCACTGTTACCTTGTATCAGTAGTGATACCACAAACAGTATATATGGAGTACACAATTAAAGATAAACTCTAATGCTAATAATTTAATGATAATAACCAAAGACAATAATTGATCATTATCAATGCCAGTAGTTATGGATGCCTTGGTTTAAATGTAATGACTTCTCTTCTGGCGATTTAAATGTCCATATGCACGTTATTCATGTTCTTTGTTTCTGTTTTTTGCCAAACAGAGACGTCTGAGAGATGTTTCGCTCCCAAATGGTGAAACCATTCCATTTGAGGAGTCGAAGTCAGACAGTGTCCCCGAGTTCTGCATTGATGCTGGTCGCAGTGGAAATGTGGCCAGGTTCATCAACCACAGCTGCACTCCAAATCTGTTTGTCCAGTGTGTGCTGAGCTCACACCAAGATATCAGGCTTGCCCGTGTAGTTTTGTTCGCAGCGGACAACATCCCTCCACTGCAGGTTACATGCTCTTCTCCCCCTGGCTGCTTTTCTGTATTTTACTATTTGAATTTTTTTTTTTTTTTTCATTTGCACATTCTCTATGAACTGATTTGTTCTGATGCTTGTTCTTTGTTTTGTGTCGGTGTAGGAGCTAACATATGACTATGGCTATGTCCTGGATAGTGTGATGGGTCCTGATGGCAAGATTAAGCGGGTTCAGTGTTATTGCGGCGGAGCAGATTGTAGAAAGCGCTTATACTAGCAGCGTAATTAGTAGCTTTGCTTATGTACCTGGTAGTGAGCGTAGGTTCAATTGTAAATTTGAGACAAAGATAGTAGCTATTGTTATCTAACTCCACCTCAGGTTGGCGGCCTGTACATGAGGGACTGGGAAGATATTACCAGAATTGTTGGTAGGGTGGGCACTGCTAGTGAAAAGTTGGGAGAGGCGAGCTCTTGTCATGGTCACATACACAATGATTGCAAACTTCAAACTTGTAAATCGATACATTTTGTCTAATCCCTGAAAGGAGGGAATATTTCAGCCGACCCATTCTTTCGAAGCCTTGATGTCATTGTTCCTACTAAAGAGAAATGTTTCTATGTTTTTTTTTATAATGATATGTTAAATGAGTTAAGTTTTAAGTTTTAACACATTTCGTATGAACAATCGATACAGTATCTGTAATAAAAGAGAATGTAGGGCATGTGATATTTTACTACAATATGTTTCACAAACTCTTCTTTCCATTGTTATCGTTTGAAGCATGTAAGTAAAAAGAAAGTGCAACACTGGCAAGAAAAATACAACCTATCATGGAACGGAGTTCCAAACACTTGGCATTACACAACAACCATACGTCTACACTAGGTCGCTGGTGGTATTCTCTACTCATCTACTTCCAACTTACCCTTCATTCTATACCTACGACCTGGCCTACCTGACCCTGAACCACCATTTCGCTGTTGAGCTCCCACTTCTGCTTCGTCCTCATCCATAGCACAGCTTTCTTCACCACCTTCCAGATCATCAGCTGCTGCTATCACAACATTTACACCCTTCTTCCCGCCGCCACCTTCCTCCTGCTTGCACTTCCAATCATCCGCATTGTTCTCCTTCTTCCTGGGCACAAAGGGAACTGACTTGGGAGGATCGCCACGAATGGATTCATCTACTTCTGGTCCAGGTTTCGACTTCTTGATTAGCTTCAGAAAGTCCATGTACGCTTGTCTGTTGGTTCCTTCATCAACATCAGACGATTCAAAGGTGTACTTGGTGTATTTCGTAGGGTTTCTCATGTAGTCCGGGATTCCAGAAGGATAATTTTTTGGCATTCGGTATACCAGGGGATCTTCCAAATCGGCTTCCATAGCTGTATCCTCAGTTTCCTTCTCGCCAGTATTGCATTCATGGCCGAATCTAACACGTTTCTGTAACGACTTGGAATCATCAACAGCCTGATCATCCTTCCTCTTGAGAATGGATTTGAGGTTGCAGTCCTGGAGGGAAGTTTTGTTGGGTGGTGCTGATTCATTGTCTGAAACGGTCAAAGAGTCGATCTTTCGAGCTGCTGATTCGTCGTCCTCCTTCAGCCTGAGTTTAGCAGCGTTGTGATTGGCCCGGCGGTCCCTAGCTAAGGCATCTTCCAATGAACTAGAAGGACCTGTGTCAATTTCATATTCATTCTTGCTCAAATCCTTCAGATACACGCGATCTTCAGACTTTTCCCTGCCCACGGCCACCTTGTCGAATTGGTCTTCCTCTTCCTAAACAGCATCATACGAAAAAGAACCAAAACCCAATTCAGGTGAAATCGGATGAATAAATTAGGGTATCCAATCGTTATCTTCAACAAGGAAAGGTGAATGAGAGAAATTTTAATTGCGTACCTCAAAATCGAGAGTGCAGTCACGGCCAATGGAGTTCTTAATTTCCCATTCTTCTTCGTTGTAATCGTCAGGCCTTTGCTCAAAGGACTTCTTCTCATCGTCATCATCATCCTGAACCTGGTCATCTAGGTCATCCAGGTCTGTTTCAATCTGACGCCGGAAGCTTGTCTCCGAGCGGGATAGACCTGCTTTGGATTCTTTCGGGGCAAGGAATCCTCTCGATAACGAGAGCGACTCTGTATCATCGTCTTCCTCGTCATCGCCGTTGCTCTCGACCTTCCTCCATCGGCTCCGCTCGATTTCCTCGTCAGTGAGCGACCAGAGAGAGCGGAGGGAGGCTGAAGTAGGCGCCGGTAGGTTATCGGTGGAGTTGGAGGAGGTGAGTGAGCCGAAGACTTTGTCGACTCGAACTCGAAAGCTATCTTCCATGTTGAGTTCGATGGTGGCGGTCGGAAAGCGAGATATGGCTGCGAAAATGGCGATTGCGCGATGTGCTTGCTTGGTTTGGATTGACGATTTGAATGGGGCTGGCTGCGAGATCTTTCGTACAACTGCTGTAGCCTGGACGGGAAAATGAATATATAGCCCCTTTGTTGGGCTTCTCCTTTCTTTAATTGGGCAGGACTCAGGACCTACGTTTCTGAAACCCAGTATGAAAAGGAAAGCCCCTATTTAAGCCCAACGTACCCGGTTGGGAGAAAGGAGGGCCCTAATTATGGACTTACAGAATTAGATGGTCCTCATTGTACTTGCATCAAATATCGGTACTCAGATTTATCATGATAGGATAATAAAAACATTTCAATTATTGAAGACTTTAAGATAATGTCAAACAATAATTTCATTTCAACAATCATGTTGTTAGGGTAGATCTAATCAAATTTCATTCCATCACACCATGGCAGAGGAGGAGTTTTGAAGATCTAGGAATGTGAGCAGTAAGAGCTGAAAGCTCGACTAAAAGGAGAGGTTAGAATATACTCCAATACAATTTTTTCTTATTTCTAGGGTCTCTTATACCAAGGCTTTAAATCCTTCTTTGTGTGCAACTACACAAGCTCGTGATATGGTACCCTAGTAATTATACACACATTTGACACAAGTAACCAAAATGGACTACACACCCAAAAGAAATCAACTCCCAATGAAAAACTAACCATATACAAAGAACATGTACTTTTGTGAATTACACTTTCGTTCTCAAATCAATAGCCACAACCATAAACCCCATGGCATATGAACAATGTTATCTTTTGCAACCTCCCTCCAAAGAAAGTTCCTTAAGTTGCATGCCTTAAACTGAATATAGCATTAGCCACATTACCTGAAACACACCTCATATAATCACACTTTTAGGTTCTTTTCTTGTAATGTTAAAAACTCACACGGTTGTGAATCATCAGACTGACAATTGAATGGTGCACACGGCTACAAGGAGTCATCATGTGCGGCATCTCAGCTACTCATTATGGATGACGGTGTAAGCTGTGTGCATCTCTATTTGTGGGAACCACAGTTTCAGACAAAAATCATCTACTTCGTTCAAGTAGTAATGAAAGCTTCTCCCTAATAAATCCCAGTCGACCATAGAATGCGAGTGCGAGTGCCCCTTTATTTGTTATTTCTACTTCCCGTGTTACCTGAGGATCAATTAAAACAAGTCAATGAACTAGTATCGCTTGGATTTTCATAATCATGGACAAGTTGCTTGAAAGAAAGCAAGAGGACAACAATCCCAACATTTCAATCAAGGGCATACCAGACAATAGTAGACAAGTTACCAGTAGTCAATATGAGTTCATAACAATGTCAAATACTCGCTCTTAACGGCTCATTCACAAAACTTGAGAAATGTTGCAACCAAATGTGGGATATCAGTAGCAGAAAACAAGTTTACCAAATCAATTAGCAATGTCAAGGACCCAATCTTGGAGATCATTCATAAGTTTTAGAATAAGTGTAACAGAAGTCAAGCTAGAGAGTGAAATATAAAGATTATTCATCGAGTTCAGCAATCAATTGTTACGGGGTTCGGTAGCAGATTAAATGACATTGCCTCCAATGTAATCTGATAAATGAATACAATATCATTGCCTTCTTTTATGAATCGAATATGACATACTAATCCATTTCAAGTATGAAGTTGGTTCCATTTTGTTTCACTTCCAGAGCACGATTTGTCCTTCAAGCTAAGAGTTGCATTTGTCAAATAGGTCAAATAGGTCATGTTGGGAAGAGTGGATTCTTGTAATTAGTTTGAAGATCCTTGATAAGGCAGATGGGCAATATGGTTTGATGGTGCTATGGTAGGTCAATATATTTATAATCTTAGATTCACACTTGATTATGCTTAGAACTTTGTTATTATTCATGTCTATCATGGATGTCTAATTCATTTATTCTAGCGACTAGCAATGTTATTGTAATGACCATACAACATTTTCCACAATTGGGGTTTGGCAGTGGTAAGGGATTGACTGTATTGCTGTTAGGGTTTACTTCTAGATCACTCGCTCTAAAATAGTATTAAGTTGGCATCTCTTCGAGACCCACCGTCAGATGAGTCCAAACCTTGAGTGGTTGATTATTATCAGAGTCCACACATTTAATATGCATTACATTGCCGAATGCCAGTGATTTCGGGAGTTGGTTTGCCCGTGCCATGGATCTCATAATGATATCTCAACTTTTAGTGAATCCAGAGATGGAGAAAACCCATTATCAAATAACAAGAGAATGATAAATAGTTATATATAGTGCAATAGAGCAAGACTTACTGCGAATTATCCTGGTCTCCGCTACTGATGGGTTGAGTTGTGATCAGCATGGACGGTTCAATGAAGTAGTTAGACTAAGAAATGACATCGGGAGGATTGATACGTGATCGTTCTGGAAAAAAATTTAAATGCTTTTATGGCTAACCTTGGTTGTCTACATTAAGCGACCTGAGATCAAATGTGCCATCCAGTGATTGCAATTAGCTTGGAAAAAGGATTATAGAAGAGTGCGGCTCCATATTGATTCAACAATGATCTTTCAAATCCTAATGTTCATTAAGGAAAGTAATGGTAGTGGTAAGCATTACATCTTATCCCAAAAATTCCGGAAACTGATTAAAAAAACTAGAACATAATATCTCTCATACTTGTAGAGAATGTATATGTAACACCCCACCCTAAAACAAAGGGGTTGAACCAATGGTTCACCCGCACAGCGGAATCTCTATTGCGGGTTACGCAAGAACTCAACTGTTTACTACTGGTAACATACCTACCAACATCATTATAATCCAAAATCACAACAATTAATTCTCAAATTACTCATCATATACCAAAGATCAACTCAATCTAGTTCATTCCTTTCATGTAAACCAAATTAGAGTCTCATTCACTACTATGCTCATTACGGTACCATCTACTATGTAATACCCAAATCATCGACTCATAAAACATAAATGAGAGTCATTTCAAAATATGGGAAAACTTCAAAACCAGAGTTTCTCTCAATTCATTCGAACCTGTAAGAAACTGAACAGAAGTGGGTCAGCAACTAAGCTGTGTGTGTGGATCTTTCTCACTACCTAGTTTTTGGACCACAAGCAGCTATTCACATAGTCATATGTGATCGCAATTCAAAAGTCTAGATGCCATCCTAGGTCATCACATATATATATATATATATATATATATATATATATATATATATATATCCTCAATCAACATATCAAATCCATCAACTCATCATCATCGAACCAATTCATCCAATATGATAATTACATAGTTTCATGAACACATAATCAATGCATGATATGAAAATTCTCATTAATTATTAATGGCGCCAAGGTCACCATACACTTACCCCCGCTCGAGCAAATCATCTGTGGTGCTCATGCAACCACAACACTGGCAGAAGCGAGCTAAGTCTACCCAATCCCATAATCATCTAGGGGTAAAAGTGCATACCCTTTCTACCTTTATGTGAATTAATATGCTCACAAATCAAACAATTCCATTTCTCTCGTCTAGCACAAACAATCTGGAATCAATGGGGTCCCACTGATTAACCGGTCCATGCACAATCGATCCAGAATCAGTGCAGTCTGACTCACTCCTACTGTCACTCTAGAAAATGGCCAAGTGCAACCACTTCCTAAAGCGTAGTATAGCGGGTTTGGGTTTTAATGTCAACCCGGGTCCTAGATGTGATGACTACTCAGCGAATTCTTATTATCTAGCGGTGAAACTTTAGTGCAGGTTCAAACAAGCAAACAAGTAAAACAAGCAATAAGGTTGTTTCAAGTCGAGAGAGGTCACCCGAGTATGGTTTCCCCTAGACTGCAATTAAGCCGGATTGCAATTTACCAAGTTCAGTTTTAATGATAGTTATACTGCGGGAGGTTCTTAAGCAGTCTGAAGTCTCGACTAAAGGTCTCCAGAACCTCTTAATCTAACTCCCCAGTGGGCAACTAACCTCCACTGGAGTAAACAGATTGAGGCCCTAACGAACCAAACCTCCACTACCGAAGTAAATTGGGTACAGAATAGTGAATTGGCTCCTCGACTAAAGTCGCCAAGACACTTCCTTCAATTAAGGGTGCTTTATCAACCTAGGCAGATATTATCTTTCTAGGTTAAAGCATAAACAACAGGAATTTGATTAGGATTCATGCCATTCAATCATTCAAACCTCAATTGAATATAATCAAATCATAGAATCTGTACTTGGGTTCATACAATCAGACCTAACATATAAATCTAGGGTTCTCCATACCCATATGAATAGGAAAACTACTCCATAGAGAGAGATGGAAAATCTAGCTCAGATGCGGAAACCATACTGTGAAGGATGATAATCTGCTTCTGGCGCTCAATCGGATCTTCTCCAAGCTCAAGCCGGGCTCCAATGGTGATGAAGATCAAGCTAGGGCACTTGGGAACTCTGGTTTGTCACTTTCTCTCTCTAGGAATCGCTCTGTCTCTCTAAAACTCGTAACCCTTCTCCTTTGCCTCAAATCTGCCTAAAAGGCTGACCCTGGGCAAAACACGATCGAGGGCACGGGCGTGCTTTGCTTTTGCCCACCCGTGTTTTGGGCCAGCGCAGGAAAATCTTGGATCAAGCCTCGGCAGTAAAAGCACGGTCCAGGAACACGGTCATGCTTTGGTTTAGGCCAGCCCGTGCTTTGGCCCCAACTCGACCGAATGACTTCCAAATGCCCCGAAACTCGTGCTTAGGCTTTCCTTCAACGTCTGGGACCTGAAATATGACAAAGTAGCACAACCCGGCGTAAAATAGGCCAAAAATACATGACTACGCCCCACAAACGAATAAGAACTAGGGGTGCAGACATGTGCAATTACATCGTTATCACAGTCCCACTGATTAATTGGTCCATGCACATCTCATGTCAAACATGTCATCGAACCAATTCAAGAATCAATGCCTTCCCATTGAGTTCCCAATTCAAATGGATCTCATATTGCACATCTCATCAAGTCATCATCATCTCAATCAATCCAGGAATCAATGTCATCCCACTGATTCCCAATCAATACATATCTCATGTCGGTTATCAACTCGACATTTCTCAAAATCAACTATTCGACCATCAAATCTCAAATCAAGATTCCAATCACCATTTCCAATTCATACCGTTCAAATAAATTCACTCATACCAACATTTTCCAATATTCACTCAATTTCATAACGTCAACTATCACTAAGACATTTATATTATCCAAAATCGCGTAATCGGTAACGATTATCAATCATTCATTCAACAACTAATCACATATTCTTCATCTCATTAATCATTACTATATAACCTACTCAATTCATTCATTTCGAAACCTCATTTCAAATCAACTCACAATCATAGCTCAAAACTGAAAATCCACCACACAGTTTTCCAAAATAATCCCAACACAGTTTACCAAGATAAACCCGATTTGTGGGTAAAACATCATCATCTCTAAGTTCATTTTCCTCCATCAGAGTTCATCATGTAATTCATGAAATTGAATTAACTAAGACAAAATGTCAATTAAATCCATGTCTGGTCATAAAAAGTAATTTCGAAAATATTATCCCAAAAAACCTCGTATTAATCGTAATTTTACTGTAAATTAAATTCCAATCAAATGGTAACTCCAAAACCCCCCCCAAAATACCAGAACATTCATTTATCATCCTAAAACAGTTCTGTTCAGTTTTCATCTTTCTCAAAAATCTAAAACCATGAAATTATTATTATATTTGGTCTTTAACGCAAATCTCGTATCAAGCTCGTTTTTACCATTTTAAAGATAAAAAACTCCATAAACTATCTAATTTATCCTTTTCATACCAAAACCAATTTAACAAGCCACACTAACCATTTTAAAGTGATTAAAATCTTAGATAAATAAAACACGTTTTTACCGAGCTTTTCGTAAAATTAACCATTGTGCAGTTTTTAACTCAAAAATCATTTTCAAGTGGAATCTTATGATAAATCCGCCCCAAAATAATTTTCGACATACAAAAATATATTTGATCAGTGTTAAACTCAATAAACCCTACTATCCATTTTTACGGTGAAACTTGTCAAATACCGATATTTACAGCGTAAAATCCATAACAATCAAGAATAATCACCAATTCATCATATCAACAAATAATTCATCACCCACAGTAATCCATCCATCAAAATATGCAAATCAATCATAAATAATCCATGCAATAATTAAGGTCCCCTTAATCCCTGAACCGGACACCACAGATGGAAGGTGATTTGGAAGTTGCCAGGTACTCAAAGGATCCGCACCTTCTTCTGGCTTGCTTTCCACGATCATTTGTTGACAAATGTGGAGAGAAGGAGGCGCCACCTTTCTAACGGGGCGGCCTGTAAAGTTTGCGGCGGGAGTGATGAATCTTTAATCCATGTTTTGAGAGATTGCCCTTTCGCGCGAGGGGCATGGGCAGGGCTGCTTAGTGAAGAGCCTGATGGAAGTTTCTTTCAAGAGGGGTTCAAGAGCTGGACTATGCACTACCTTACAGGCATAGGTAAGAGTCTCGATGCTACCCTCTTTGCCGTGATGTGCTGGCTGTTGTGGAAGAATCGTAACAAGTTTGTGTTTGAGGACACTTTAGCGCCCTTTGATAAGTTGCATAGCGAGGATAAGAGACACCATAAGCAGATCACAGAAGCCTTTGCCAAGGCTGAGCACACATTGGGCGTTCTAGGGATGGCTGAGAAGAAGATGATATCATGGAAATTACCGCCCGAGGGCTGGGCATGCATTAACACGGATGGATTAGTGATCCTGGCGCTCCAAAGCTGTACAGCGGGCAGCGTAATTAGAGATGACTAATGACTTGATATATACACATGTTTTTGTCCACCATTCTTACACCGTTTGAGTCTTATTTCTCATGTTTTAGACCGATTTCACGCTAGGTTGTTCGTGTTTGTGATATTTCAGGTCCTAGTACGTGAATGAAGGTTTGGGAACGAGTTCGGGGTCGATTGGACGTTTGGCGAGAAGCTGAGGAAGCCACACGGGCACGCCTAAAATCCCACACGGCCGTGTGACTTGGCCGTGTGGCACCATTTTGCACGGGCAAGCCACACTGGCCGTGTTGGGGACCCCTTGTAGCCGTGTGGAAAGTCCAGGGAGCTCACACGGTCAGCCTGGAAATCCACACGACCGTGTGTCCCTGGCCGTGCAGCATGTCTGGAAGTCACTTAATCGAAACGCGGTGTTTTGAATTCCACACGGGCAGCTGGAATTTCCACACGGCCATGTGGCCTGGCCGCGTGGTCAGGAATTTCTGGGTTTTAACCCAATTTCGAGCCAAAGAAGAGGGAATCGACTTTTTGGAGCAAAAACAGAGTTTTAGAGAGAGAAATTGCGAAGAACAAACCCTAGGAGCTATTTGGAGTGGATTTCTCACCATTGAAGCCCCGATTGCATCCTCAGGAGTGAAGATTGACATCCCAGAGCAGATTCTTCCCATTGTTATGAGTATGAATGCTTTGTATTCTGTTTCCCTCTCTCTCTTGCTTGGGTATGAAGAACCCTAATTCCATGTGTTAGGGATCTTGATTGTAATGACTTGGAATTGTTATACTGTTTGATTTTAATCGATTGATGCATGATTCATTGAGTCAATTGAAGTCTAATCATTTTTTCTTGATTTCTGCTGCAACCTGAGATAGATAGAATCTGATTAGGTTGTTAGAGCTTCATCAATCGGTAGTATTGGTTATACGAGAGTTAATCAATCTACTGCTTTGTACTAGAACCCAATTCCAGTAGTGGAGTTATGTGCTTATTGCCTCAGCAATCTATCTCGGTGAAGGTTAGTCGCCTGCCGGTTAGCCTGCCTGAGAGGGTTGGTCAGCTTAAGAGATTCCAAGCTACTGTCGGATCTTCCGTAGTTTAATCAACATTTAATCAACCCAGGGTAATTACAACTGAGACCTAACTAAGGAGCTAGGGGGACTCATTCCCGAGTGACTCTTCCTTTGCTTTAGAAAACCGAATCATTTCCTGCTTTCTTATTGCTTTTACTTAAATCAACAATCACTTGACTTAGTTGGCTAGATAATAGATATGCACGGAGTAGGCAGTAGATCTAGACCCCGGGTTGACAATTAGAGCTTGCCTGTTACTGCATTTCCGGACTGCGATTACACTTGGTCGCAGTTTGGTGTTGTGTTTAAGCGTGTCAATGACATTGGAAATTTCCGGCAGGCGTTCACAATGAACTTAAGAGGAGGCTCTATCACCCGAGCTGATGGGTATAGCACAGGGACTTCGCTGTGCCTCGAAGGTGGGGATTCGGAAGGCAGTCCTCCAAACAGACTCCAAAACTGCCATCCAGCTGCTCGAGTCGGCAACCTCTACTCATCCTCATTTTATGGTCATTTCGGAGATTAGGCGTATCCTACAGCGTGACTGGCAGGTACGAATCGAGCATGTCTTTAGGGAGGGTAATGCAATGGCAAATTTCCTTGCTTCGACCGACCACTCCGCTCCTCCGGGTATTCACATCAACAATCAGCCAAGCAGCATGCTCAGATATTGGCTTATTTTTTATCGGACAGGGGTTGAAACCCCCCGCTTTGTAACTGGTTGAGGTTTGGGTGCCCTTAGCACCCTTTTTCCCATAAAAAAAGGTCCCCTTAATCCCCACACACCTTAATTTAGCCAATTCCTAGTCGGGAATCAAGTTCTGAAGTTCCAGTAATTGGCTCCTAACAATCCCCCTCGTTCCCACGGTCATGTAGCCGCAAACGGTTTGTCGTTTGAACACCAAACGAAGAAACTGCGAGCCGATTATGATTAGTATGGAAAATTATAGAATAGTACCCCATAATTTCGAACTGTACAAACAGTTCCAAAACTAATAAATCGTATAGTTATACGTACGAACTTGCGAAACTTGTTTCTCCCTCGTCCGAGCTCGGAATTCTTTCATCCACCAAGTGGTCGACCACTTTATAAGAAAATGGTCAACCTTTTCCACCAAGTGGTCTACCACTTGAGTCATTCGGTTTATCATTTTCGAAAATGGGTCGACCTGATGACACACTTACCTTCAAGCGGTCGACCACTTTCCAAGAAAAATGGTCGACATCTTCTATCAAGTGGTCTACCACTTGAGTCATCCAGTCTACCACTTCCGAAAATGGGTCGACCTGATAACACATTTACCTTTAAGTGGTCGACCTCTTCCACCAAATGGTTGACCACTTTTCAAGAGAATGGTAGACCTCTTCTACCAAGTGGTCTACCACTTGAGTCAACCGGTCTACCGCTTTGGAAATGGGTTGACATGATGACACAATTACCTTAAGTGGTCGACCTCTTTCACCAAGTGGTATACCACTCAAGGTATCCGGTCTATCGCTTCTGGCAATGGGTCGACCTGCGATACACTTACATTCAACTTACAACTTCTTGTTGGAGGAGGTAGACCGCTTCCGCCAAAACAGCATATCGATTTCACAAAATGGTTTACATATCTCTTTGGGCAAATGATCCCGCTTTTGAAGAACAGTCGACCAGATAACATAGGTACCTTATACTTACATTAGAAAAATAATGGACAATAGGAGACCAACAATATAAAATTATTTTTGTAGTAATGCAACATCCTATCAATTGTGGACATCCAAATTCCAACGCAGATTATAGGCCAAGACAAAAAGAAACACCCTCTTTTAATTCTTCTGGAATAAAAATCCACAAAAGCGATGATATGAGATATATGGACGTCGAAAATGACACAATTGTATAACAAATATACTCTACTTTTTGAGCATATTCATAACAACAATAGCAACGAAGTTAATCCACCACAAGACAAATAGAAACAAGAAAACTTAGAATTTGAAGGAAACATGAAAATATGTATAAAGTAACTCAAATATAAGAAATAAATATGCGGAACAATTTTAAAATCTACAGGAGAACAATCACTCGAGAATCTTTTCATCTATGCTTGCAGACTTTGTACTAATTTTAAATCTCTTACTAGCAAGCATATCTATTGTTATTGGACTCTAATTATATATATGATGATATCAATATGAATGGTTCATCAGGTGAATAATTATTGAAAGAGGTGGACCGCTTGGAGAAATAGGTAGACCACTTGATGGAAGTGGTATACCATTTTTTTATAATGTCTTTTAGTGGAAGAGGTTGACCGTTTGTTGAACATAGCAAAATAAAAAATAGTACATCTGATCGACCATCCCAACAATGAGGTAAATCATTTTATCCAAATAGGTCGACTTCATTAATGAATAGATCGACCATATTTTTCCAAATAAATCGACTTCATTAGTGAACAAGTTGACCGTTGCCAAAGTCCTAAGGCTTAACATGGTGGTGAATGGCTTTTGGATGCGTGGGCCTTTGAGAACATCACTAATAATGGGCTTCATTGCGTGGGTGCCCGCTGGAATGGGAGGCCTAGAGTCCTCGATGACGCGGCAAAAGCGAAGAGCTGTAGGCCAAAAAGCAGGAAGAGCAATTCAATTCAATCGAAATCCTCATCGAGGTTAGCGGCCCCCTCCGGCGAAGAAGTGTTTTCCGGATTTTTGGGTGTTAACAAGAAGTAACTATCGAATAGCGAAGGAGAGAAGAAGACGATGCTGAGGGTTGGATTACGGCGTCTTACATCTCTCTCCTCCCCGTCGTTGAGGCCCAACCATGCTCTCTCTGCGATCGGGACGCAGAATCCCATTAACCGGGTTTCTGCGGATTCGTCGCCTTCCGCCGATGAGGTCACCGACCGCTTCTTCAGCTTTTACTTCCCCTTCCATGTTCCTCACAGAGGTTAGTATTTCCTCCTTTTTCTTTTCTCGCTCGTCTCCTTTTCTTTGTTCCTTCTAATCTTGATCCGCGAAGCTTCGCTTGGATCCCCTACGGATTCGTTTTAGATGATGGCATCTGATGTTTGATATTGGTGGTTTTGTGAGCTTGATGATTTTGGATTCATCCTTTCTCTCGTTTGGTTTTAGTTGCCCATGGGGTTATTCATTTCGCTTTTAATTTTAATTTTAGGGTTAATGAATTTGCCTTGCAGTCTCTCCTATAAAATTTGACTAGTGAACATCTCTTTATCCTTTATGGAAACGGGATGTGAGTAAATGGAAGCCGTACTTGTTATCCCTCAAGTTTGAGCAGAAATTATACCGTAGTGGTCATGTTATGATGTAATGGATTCTTGTAAAGACTTGAATGTCTCTGAATTAGTATGCGAATAATCTGGATTTATGGTGAATATGATAAAGCTGTATCGTTCCAATTGCCTCTTGCACTTGATTTGTTATAAGAACTTCTTTATTCTTCCATCTGTTGTGTAAAATATAAATAAAGTTCTGGGTATTGTATAGTCCTGCAGAATATTGTTCTGGTGTAACGGTAAGAGAACAATTTGCTGTTGTTCATGTCAGGTTTTGCTTCTGGATCAATTGCCTCAGTAGACGAGGAAGGCATTGCTCCTGGCACCTTAGCAACTGTGCATGCTCTCAAGAATCCCTCACCTAAGATAGTCTATGATGAATACAACCACGAGCGCCTGCCACCTGGTGACCCTAGCAAACGAGCTTTCGCTTACTTTGTCCTCTCTGGCGGTCGATTTGTGTATGCTTCCCTCATCCGTCTCCTCATCCTCAAATTCGTCCTCAGTATGTCGGCCAGTAAGGATGTTCTGGCCCTTGCCTCTCTTGAGGTTGACCTCTCCAGCATTGAACCAGGGACCACTGTGACTGTGAAGTGGCGCGGGAAGCCAGTTTTCATTAGGAGGCGAACGGAAGATGACATCAAACTGGCAAACAGTGTCGAGCTGGCATCTCTCCGAGACCCACAGCCAGATGAGGCCAGGGTGAAGAACCCAGAATGGCTGATTGTTATTGGGGTGTGCACGCATTTGGGCTGCATCCCTTTGCCCAATGCTGGTGATTTTGGGGGATGGTTTTGCCCGTGCCATGGATCTCACTACGACATCTCTGGTAGGATTCGGAAGGGCCCAGCACCTTACAACTTGGAGGTGCCTACCTATTCCTTTTTGGAAGAGAATAAGTTGTTGATTGGCTGAGTTCTCTTGAGTGTGTTTCTTGAGGCTACGCATCCTCAAGTTATTCGTGTTACTTTCATCGAATTTTGGTCTAGATAATGCCGAAGAGTTCATGGCAGACATTGCTTTTTTTATTATTGGTTGAACGTTTCCATTTCCGGAATGTCCACAGATGTATTTCTAGCCTGGACACTGCAAGTGTTTATCTTTTCTGCTTCTGAATAAATTTTCTTTTCTTTTGGAACCTGTATAATCTTGTTCAAATGCACCTCGAATTGCTGATCAATAATCATATTCACCACTGAGATTGAATTCTGTGGAAATAGATACTTGTGAGAGTTGCTTTGCTTAATGAATGTGATGATTACAGGTGAATAATACTAAGGATGGTCATTTCTCAAAGATGCCCTTTACATAGATCATGCCTTTCTCATTCAGCTGCAGTTCCTTCCTCATCTGCTCAACCTGCTGATCATCTCCTTGAACAACAACCTCTTGCAAGGTGCCATCTTCTGCAACTATCATCTTAACCTTGATCTGCTCCTTCCTAGATGCTTTGCTCCAGTAGTATGCTCCCCTGCGCTCAGCAAAATACAATTGGAGATCTTCAGTGGCATTCGTATGGTACAATTGATAAGATGACTGAATTCTTGGCTCCTAACTTACGCCATAGGACTGAAGATGGTGATATAGAACCAGTTGTTGCCGATGTCGGGATAAGTGATGGTGAGGACTAAGGCGACGCTGGCTAGGCTAATGCTAGTGCAGAAGGTGAGTAATGCAGCTTGCCCTCTGCTGGGAACCATCATGCCTTCGAACCTGAGAAGCCAGAACCAGTATTAGAGCAAAAGTATGATGCGAACTGAAATAGTTCCAGCTGCAGCAAGTTGCAGGAGGTGGCTGGCTAGTTTAGAGAAGTACGTGATTGTCTCTCCTCTATCGGCCACTGCAAAATTGTTGCGAGTGAAGAAGGATAATATCTCTCCGGCGACTTGGTTGGGTGGAGCTTTCTTCTGGCCTTCTTCTTGCCGTATAAATGTCTTCTGCACAACCTGGAAAATGAAGGCAAAGCAAGACAACCACACTTGTATAAGATGTTTTGCTATCTATGGAAATTACTGAAGGGGAAGCGATAATCAGTTCCAGCCTACCTTGGATTTAACAGAGCGCTTGATGAGCGACCAGAGACCAGGAAGAGAGATGACGAATAGACCGAGGGAAGTATAGTAGCTAGCCAAGGAGTAGGTAGCGCCTTCCGCCAGCAAGTAGGCGGAAGTAAGGTCCGGTGTCGGCGGCGATGAAATTAGGACCGGAAATTCCTGGAGAGAGGAGCGCAGCTGTAGCCTTGTTCTCGTGGTTATTCTGGTGGATGGCCATTGGCGTTGGTGGCTATGGCGAATCTGTTTGAAGGAGTAGTGTTGGAGGGAGAGTGGAGAAGACAGGATCAGCTTGGTTGCCGTGGCAGTCGCAGTACCGCTAGCTGCTGCTGCCGGCATCGCCATTACCGTTTCCATTCCCCCAGTTTCGATTGATTGGCTTTGGATTGGATTTTCTGTCAAGTTGGCTACCGGTGGGGTTACTTACAATTAGATCCTGGAACCTTACTAAAACTTGCATCATGGTCCTTATAGCCGTCCGATCTTCTTTCTTTTTGGGCCGTGTTATGGACTGCATTGCATGAGCGTTTTAATCATGTGGATTGTATTTCGGAAATAATATTCTGGCTTGGATATCACTTCCTCGTTTGGTTTAGGTTATAAATGATGAGCTTGTAATTTTTTTGGGTAAGAAGAAGGCATCCAAAATCACATTAAAATATGACGCTCTTGGGAGGTTTTCCTAGCGTCATAGTTCAACCAATACATAAGTTTGGGGTCGCACGTATCAAGCTGATGCGTGCCAAAATAAAGATCATGACCCTTGCTAGCCAGTAATCGGCAACAGAATTGCACTCCCTATACACATGGTTAATTTTCACATTCCAGTTACGACTAAGGAGCTCTTTAGCTTGAAGTGCAAGAAGACCGTGGCTGCTGCTTATGTCTCCCCTTCCTTTCAAAATACTCACAGCAGTAGTGGAGTCCAAATTGACTTCGATTTCCCTGTACCCCTTCTCCCAAGCGATCTTTAAACCTTCGACGACACCTTTGAGCTCTGCCCTTGTGATGGTGCAGGATCCCATGTTACAAGCGTAGGCTACAATGCACTTTCCCAGATGGTCTCTCAGCAAACCTCCAGCAGCAGCACTTCTGTTTGAGCTTTGGTAGCTTCCGTCGCTTTGCAATTGAATCCATCTTTCCTTGGGTGGCTTCCATGAGATGAATCTCCTTTTTCTGTTTGAAATCTTGGCCAGGCCTAGACAAGCCGAGTTAGCCACAACATTGGTATTAATGGTGAAGCAGGCAGAGATTCTTTTGATGAGGCCCATTTCAGAGAACGATTTCCCCTCCATAGCTTCTTCATTTCTCTACTTCCATAAACACAAGCAAATAATCCCAAAATCCATCCCTTTGCTCTGATCTTTCATGTTGTTGAGCAGCCATGATTTGAATTCATGGCTGGGATCCTGATCAGTGATGGAGCCTTTGAAATGGGTCTAAACACCCTCAACCTTCTTGCAGCTACGGAGGATGTTCTCCACCCTTTCCTCGGTGTTGTTGCAATGAGGACAGTTATTGTTGGTTGCCAGCCCTCTCTTTGACCTCTCTTTGTTTGTCATCAACCTGTTGTGTGTCACCAACCATATAAAGTGCTTGATCTTGCTCAGTCTTTTCCACTTCCAAATTCCCTTCAAGATCACATCCTCCTCCTTCCCCAACGAGTCCGAAGCAAGACAACATGCAGACTTGAGGTTGAACTTCCCATCCTGTTCAATACCCCAACTATGCTTATCTTCCCCCGAGCCTGGTAGGGGAGCATCAGTACCTGCAATTAACGTCAGGATCTCATCAGGAAGGAGGCTATTGAGTCTTCTCCATTCTCAGGTTCCTTCCTCCATGGTCCAATCCGCAACAGCTGAGTTCATTTCCTCCTCACTGAACTCTTCATGGAGAAAGTCCGCGAGGATGATATCATGGTTAATCCAGGGGTGAGTCCAGAAGCCTGTTGTTGTTCCATCACAAATGCTCCAGGAAGTAGCTTGCTTCGTCAGTGGCATTGCTCTCAGCACAACTTTCCAAAGACTAGAGTGGTTGCTCTTCTTCATGGAAATAATTCTTCCATCCTTGTGGTTAAAATACTTCCCCTGTAGAACCTGCACCCAAAGAGTTTTTTCGTCATTAAACATGAGCCAGACAATCTTAATCATGTAAGCTAAGTCAAGACTCCTAGCAGACTTAAGACCGAGACCACCTTGACTTTTAGGTTTACAAATGGTATCCCAAGCAACAAGGTGGGCTTTCCTCCTTCCTTCCTGTGAGCCCCAAACAAACCATCTAACTTTCCTATCAATTGCATCACAAACCAAGTGTACGTGGGCACCGGGCCGGGCCGCCCACGGGCTAGCACGGCACGACACGGTGAGAGCACGAGCACGAAATAAATGGGCCACCCCGGCACGAGCACGAATAATTTATGGGCCATGTCGGGCCTAAACTTCATGAGCACGGGCACGGGCACGGCACATTATATAAGTGGGCCGTGTCGGGCCTAATATTTTCGAGACTTTATTGAGTATAAGAACGGACATGGCACGAAAATAATATTTATTTGATAGAAAATAAGTATAAAAAGAATTACAGGTTCAAATATTACAAAACACAATTAGAAAAATAATTATTTGTTGTTGTTAGAAGTGTCATAAAGATATATATGTAATTACTAATATAAGTAAAAATGGACAAAGAATTAAACAAAGCCAAATCACACTCGCTATACTTTCAATTTTCTTTTCCCTCATTTGTTACTTTTCTCAAACATGATTGGTTAATACTATCTTCCCCGATCCAATTTTCACCTTCTTATTCATTCTCTCTTTTGTTTTCGTCATTTTCATTAAACACGAATACGAGCATGGCACGAGCACGAATAGGCACGGCACGATTCGAACCGTGCCTCGGCCTGGGCCGGGCCTAGCAAAGTTGACAAATAGGCTTGCATGGCACGACACGAAAACTGACGGGCCGTGCCAAGCACGGCACGAAATAAATGGACCCGAAGCGTGCCCGTGTCGTGCCGGCTCAAGCACGGCCCAACGCCCATGTACAAAACCAAGGCTTGGAGGCTGACAGTTTGCATGTCATAGGTAGGAATGGCATTCAAGACTGAAAGGACAAGTGTAACTCTTCCCGACCGTCTAATGCAGTCGACATGGATAATAATTTGGTTACAATAGTGGTAACTAGCATTTTACCCGACCGTTTGCGTTAAGTTTTGTTTTCTTGTATTTACATTCTTTTGTCATTTTTCTAATTGCTTTTTATTTATGAATTAATATTCTTGTGTTATTCTTTTGTGTGATTTGTTTGTTCTGTTTGAACTGGCGATATAAAGATGTTTACTATTAGCCTATACCTTATGTTTGAAACATGATACATAATTTATTTTTGGAATGACTTGTTAAATTTAGTATGAGTGAATAGTGATGTTGTCATTACCTTTTGTTTCTAATATTTTATGGATTATGTATGTTATATTTATTATACATCGAATCGTTAATGGGAAAATTAATTTAACTGTATTAATTCTCTCTAGACTATTTATTTATTTTAAAAATCTCATCGGACCAGACATGTAAGATGTAAGCACCGAATGTTAAAATTATTATATATGGTTTAAATAACAACACATGTTACTTATTTTATTAGCACCCAATCCTTACGAAGTTGTTAATATTTTAGATTAATATATTTGTATTGCCTGAACTTTGAGTCTTTGACCATAATAAACATTCTCACCAATCTTTTCGATCTATAATATCTTAGCCCAAACTATACATCAAAGTAACGACATTGGCCAAACCCGATATTTGGCCATTATCTTGGACCGTTAAACGCATTGACTAACGGTTAACATGCCACATCATCGCCTGGTCATCATAAAAATTATTAAAATAATCACAATTTACACATATTTTCTAATTTTTAATTATTAAATTAAATTAAAACAATATTAAAAAAATAGAAACCCCCACTGCTCGGCCTCCCTCTGCTCTGTCAACTCCGCTGACGGATACCCCACGAGATCCCAAATTGGCCAAACGTGAAAACCTAAATCCTCATCCTTCTCTATCAATATATTCCCCAACAATGGCGCGAGCAACTCCCTCCACCGCTTTCTTCTTATGCATAGCCGCCGCCCTCCTAATTCTCTCCGTCGTCGCTGACGCTCGCTACGATCTCCCCGATTTCCAGGATTTCCGGTTCAAGGACCCCACCACAACAAGCGACGGCGATCCCGTCTGTAACGGTCAAGTGGGGTCCCAATCGTTACACCGTCCTCCTCCTACCGAGCGAGAAGCCCGCCGCCGTGCACGCAGAAGATCTAGCCTCCGATTCGGCGAAGGAGACGGAGGAAGAGAAGAAGAAGACGGCGGAGGAGGTTCCCTTGACGGCAGTTAGATTCTGTCCAATCAAACGTCACTTCGCCATCCATCCAACCCACCTCGTCCACCGCGGCGGGCCCACAAGTGCCACCACGGCCAAATCGTTAGAGGGCTAAGGTCGTGGACCCCGCGCTATGGCCGGATCAGCCACCTCCCTTACGAAAAAGGGGATTTCGTTTCCGCCGTCGCCGGTTGCCAGGATTTGAACGGCAACGAACGCCACCTCCCTCTCGACAATTAGACCTACGTGCCATTGAGATGGGGGCAACCTGACTACGATCATAGGAGGACTGCAGTTGTCAATCTCAACTTCGATGATTTTTTCTCTATCGAGATGGAGAAGCCCCACTAGCACCACCGCGACGACGACGAGCATCAGAGCGAGAACCTGATCCTAAACAAGATTCACAAGTTTCTGCACCAATTTTGAATACAGAATACATGAATGGTGTCACCCTGGGAGGAAGAATTAGTCATGGCGAGTTGTTTGGGTTATGGGAAAAGGGAAGGGAAAGTGTAAGAAATGAGAGGTTGAGGAAGAAGAAGGGAACATAGGAGAAATATAGAGAAAAGGAAGAAGAAGAAGAGCAGGGAAAAGAGTTTCTGTAATTGATTTTCGATACTTTCTCCTTATATCACTACCCTATTTATATGACACACTAATTACACATTTCTCCCCAAACTAAATTGTATTACAATTAACCCCCTACCCATACATTAGTTCGTTACAACTCCCAACCCCTTGAGAATTAGCGTTTTCCTCAAGGCTAAGATACAAATGAAAACACAGCAGCCTAGAAATGCAACGAGAACAAGTAACATATGGAAAGAAACTGGAAATGATAATGGTTGTTGAAGAGGACAAAAGAAAGTAAGGCCTCTGCTCCATTACAAGAAAGCCACTGAGTATGTTGCCTCCAACACTTGATCCTCAAACTGCAAACTCCAATCCTCAAACTGTAGACTCTTATTCGACAGCCACCAGCAGCTCCTGAAGGTAAGCAATCCACGACACAACCCACAAAATAGATCTCATAAGCATCACTATCCAGCATCACGACTCCATTACAACCATCAACCACCTTACAGCCCACTAGAACGATACCTTTGTAGGGTTATTTAAACTCAGGGAGTTTGCCTCTTCCACGCAAAAGCACTACAATCCAGCAAAACTCCTTGTACGGTTCCTTAAAGTTGTGACAAGCAATCCTTCTTTTAAACTTCACCCTAGGCCACCAATACCCACGAGCTTTTGGTAAAACAGAATCCCATACACCCAGCAAAAACTCATCATCACAAGGAATAATAGGCAAGACATAGCCATCACAATGAACTAACTTTTGTTGCACTTGAGTTTCAGCAACTACTACTTCCTTGTTTGCAATTTCAGTAAAAGAAACTAACTCTGAACTTGGTTCTTTTAGACCTTCTGTCACCCCGCAAGCTGGCAAAACACTCATAAGCTTGTACATTTATACAATAGAAGAGAGGGGGCGATTAATCTTCTTCCAACTATCAATAGAACTAGTCACCATCAAGCCATTTACAGTCTCCATCACCCTACTTCCATCATTTCTTGAACTTCGTTCTAGCTTATCATTTGGCAACTTAACTGCGACCCCCACATTGATCTTAGCCCCCATAGTTGTTCTATCACCATTTTGCAAAGAATGAGTTGCTGCCACATCCACAGCTTGAGAAGTAAGAATATCACTCAAGCCCTTCTCAATCAAGGCTAGGTTGGATATGTGTATGAGTCCTTGAGATGAATTCGATGTTGTCATATCTCCACTGCCCTTGTTAGCCAACCAATTTTCAGTGAAAGAAACTGACTTTCCCATTCCAAAAACCACATTGACAGAAGCTACTTGGTTCTCATTCTGGTCCACCAAGCTTGATTGAGCTGAACTCTCGGTCTCAGTCACATCAGGAATATCAAACTGACCATGTAGTCTTGTATGCGCTGGCTCCACATTGTCCATATGGTTGTTGTCACCTAAATCAATCCCTTTATTATTTGATACTTCACAAGAATCCTCCATATCACTATCTGCAAGATACAACTCTGCAGAATACAACTCGTTCGGTTCTGTCTTCACCAAACCCTGAAATGGTGCAGCAAAATCAACTCCTGTGTGGTTGTGTCCTTTGACTGTAATTGTTGCTTCCTGTTGTTGGCCTTAAGGTATCACCGGTTCTAGCATTATCGCCATTGAAGGAGGGAAATTCTTTGAGGGGAAAGTTATCGTTTGGTGAAACGACGACAGAAGGTATCACCGGAGAGCAAGCTGCTGATGTTTCACCCAACATCATGGAATTTGAAACTCCATTCATAGAAAGCAAGCTCTTGTTCTGCTCATCATTTCGTCGAACAGGTTGTGGACGCTTTCGTTAAGAACCTTTTGGCCCACCAAAGGCTCCACCGCACCTGCAATGGTCATATCTAGATGGTTTGGACCGAGATCCATCCTCTGTAGTATCTTTTGAATGTTTCTCTGTATCTGACCGAATTGCCCGAAGCGAGCTTCAGATTGAGTTGCCATGATGTCCAATATTGTGTTAAAGAGTTGCAAATTGTTTAGTTGTGGACGTCGGAGCGAGATACCAAGTCCGGTAACTGATTGGTATGCTACGCCCGTTGCTCTTCTAGAGAAGCGACACGATCTCCAACCGGTGATTCTGCTTCAACGATCCGATTGGGGAAGAGATGCAGTTGTTAGTCAATCTGTGTGGTTGTCATTTTTCCAAGAAGAGGCTCTGATACCAATTTGTCACCCCTGGGAGGAAGAATTAGTCTTCGCGAGTTGTTTGGGTTCTGGAAAAAGGGAAGAGAAAGTGTAGGAAATGAGAGGTTGAGGAAGAAGAAGGGAACATAGGAAGAATACAGATAAAAGGGAAGAAAAAGAGCAGGGTAAATATTTTCTGTAATTGATTTTCGATACTTTCTCCTTACATCACAACCCTATTTATATGACACACTAATTACACATTGCTCCCCAAACTAAATCGTATTACAATTAACCCCCTACCCATACATTGGTTCGTTACAAATGGTAATTAGGGTTTTAGAATCAAAGAGGAAACGAATTAGGTTCTAGAATCAAAGTGGCAACAGACCTTGAGAATAGGGAAATCGGAAAGAGGAGGAAGAGGTAGTTGGGAAAACGAAAATCGAAGAAGAGGTTGGGGAAGTAGACGGAGGGGAGCAGCCGGTGGGGGTTTCAATTTTGTTTTAATTGTAATAATTCAAAATTAGAAAATATGTGTAAATTGTGAATATTTTAATAATTTTTATGATGACCGAATGCTGACGTGGCATGTTGACCATTAGTTAACGCGTTTGATCGTCCAAGATAACGGTCAAACATTGGGTTTGGCCAATGTCATTACTTTCATGTATAGTTTGGGCCATTATGTTATAGATCAAAAAGATTGGCTAGGATGTTTATTATGGTCAAAGTTCAGGCCATATAAATATATTAACCCTAGATTTAAAGGCCACTAAAGAATATGATAAATTGATTGTAAAAAAAAGAATATGCTAAAGTAAGTAAATTAAATTTCCTGTCAAGTATCAGAATGCAACTAATTCTTTTTAACAGTGAATCACAATGAAAGTACAATCGGTTAGGATAAATACAATATATTAGCCAGAACTATTAAATAACGATGAATAATAGACACAATTATGAAAATACTGATTATTAGCCATAAATATTATTGCGCGTAAACGGATGGCTAATACTCTGTTACCGGCACTTTGTAACAGATAAGGCCACGTCAGCAACCACATCACCTTCCACGTCAGAGTAACTTTTATTTATAATTTTCTAACATTAAAAACCAAAAAAAAAAGCAGGGTCAATTACCCTGTTGCCCCCTCACCTTCCCAACTGTCTTCTCTCCTCCTCTGCCTCACCGCTGACCCTTGCATCCGTTGATTACCCCCCGTCCCCACAATTGACCCACCTCAACCCCTTCTTCATTTCCTAATGATTTCACAATCGATATCGCAGCCGAGACTGGCCCTGTCGGGAAATTGACGGTGATGACGTGGGGTCGTTGGGCATCTTTGTAGGCTATATCAGGATGATCGAGGGATTGGGACTGGACAAGTTTGGGAATGGTGGCAATCGAGGGATTGGGACTAGACGAGCTCCTCATCGTCCTGTTCCATCGGCGGAGTCGGGGCGACAACAACTAGGCCATGAGCAGTGGCGGGAATGGCACAATCGTGGGATTGGGGGCAGGCGACGAATCTGCGGGGAGGTTCGTCAACAATGACGATGTCCTCATCCTCTTCGTCATCGGCGATGGGCTAGAGGTCTGGGGAGGGGCTAAGGAGGATTTCAGAGAAGTGGTTGTCATGGTGGGTGGCGGAGAAGAGAGCATAATTCTTTTTTTTTTTTTTTTTGCTTTTAACACGTGTCAATTTTTTATTGAGAGGATGATTGCCACGTGGGAGCCAGCTCAGCATCATAAAGTTTAGTCAGCATCATCTAATCGAATTGCTAATAGTGAGTTAACGATTGGCTAATTTTTTGTATTTCGATAGTTGTGACTATTATTCCCCGTTACTCAATAGTTTTGGCTAATATATTGTATTTACCCTTGTATTTATGCTTTAGTTAGTTGTAACTTGATATTCCCTCCTGTTATTTTATTTCTTGTAGTCTAACATTTGTCTTTGATGGTTTTTTTTGGTTGTGAATAAAAGAAGACAACCATTAGAAAAACCATAAAGTTATATAGGGAAGAGTGTTTCAGAAGTAAAATTATAGCAAAAACTCGACATAAATCAAAAGTCAGAAGGTAGAGAAAGAAAACCTAAAACATGTTTATTTGTTGGTATATAAGGATATATGTGTCTTTTAATCTAAAACATATTTTTGTCTTTTAGTCCAACTATGTAGATTCTAGACAATGCATTCTTAGAAGAAACACATTCCTATCATATACATAATCATAATACACCCATTCTTGGGATACATTGTTTTTAGAATGAGAGGTTCCAAATGACCCCTATATCTTGGCGAATAAGGGCTTGGTCTAGTGGTAAAACACTAGTCTTGAACTTGGAGGTCGCAAGTTAGAATCTCTTAAGTAGTACCTAACAACAAAACTCAACCTATATCACCCTTATAAAAAAGACCCCTATATCATGACTTTTTTGTGTTGTGATGTTAAAATTAGCATAAGCAGAGGGTGGAGTGAGAACTTGGCCCTAAACTAGTTAAAGAAGAAGATACGATGTAGTATTGAGAAATGATTACGTGAATTGGTGTGTTGAGAGAAGGAATGGTGGACGCAAGCAGTATCCGATTTAGTTGCATGAAAGATAATATAGTTGGGGTTCTTTTTTTTCCGACAAGAAGGATAAAATAGTTTGATAGTAGTAGCATTGATTGATCTTCTAATTGGTTTCTCTTTTTGTTGGTGAAGGTTGTTTAATTATCCTCTTTTTTTGGTTGATGAATGAACGGATTAATGAATAGATTCGGGGAAAAGGTAAACTGCATATACATACATGCATGAAGTGAGATCGAGGAGGCATATGATCATATCAGAGATCTATGGGGAAGAAGAAAAAAAAGGACATAATACGTTTGGAGAGGGAATCCGTGATTCCCATTGTGAAACGCAAGATCATTAGTGCCTTGACCAACCGCATTGGTAATATCTTCTCTTTATTCTTTCCTTTGTGTGAATGCATAAATATTTACATTGCTTTTTAAATTTAAAATACCAAATGAGATACAACGAATGAAAGCAGAAGGGAGGAATGAGAAAGATGAGTTTGTTAAGCTCTGCCAGAGAGCAGAGTACATGATCAGGGCGTGGTACCTCCTCCACTTTGAGGAGATGATGCAACTTTATGCCCTCTTCGAGCCCATCCACGGTGACCGTAAGATAGAGCAGCACAACCTAACCCCCGAGGACGTCGACATCTGCGAGCGCCATTTTCTCAACTGTCTTTTTCAAGTCATGGAACGCAGTAACTTTAAGATCACCACTGACGATGAGATTGACGTAGCTCTTGCTGCCCAGTATCGCCTCAATCTCCCCATTGTTGTTGATGAATCCAAGGTACGTATGTATGTGAACATCCACTTTAGTTAATTGCTTGATCTAACGTCATTTCTTTGAATCAGCTGGATAAAAAATTATTCACCAAGTACTTTTCCAAGCATCCCAAGGACAACCTGCCTCACTTTGCCGACAAGTACATCATATTCAGAAGAGGGTTTGGGATTGATCAAATGAATGCTTACTTTATCAAACACAAGATCAATACCATCATCATGCGGTTGTGGATGCTCATCCTCACCATTACAGGGTTGAAATGGTTGTTGTTTGGGAAGAAGAAAAAGAGGCCGAGACCACCACCACCTCTAGATGGTGATGGATTGTCGTGCCAGGAGGATCCAACAACCATTGGAGTTAGCATTGATGACATGGTGGATGAAGATGATGATGAAGACGATCTTTTAGTTGAAAGAGTACGCATTGAGAAGATGCCACTCAGGTATTAAAATACATCTTACGTAGCTAGTTAGATGCTACATTAATATGATTTCTTCTTGTGTTTCTTGAAATATCTCTTCATCCAACCGCTTGTCTTTCCAGCTTCTCCAACCTTTTTGGTAAAGTAACCATTCAAGAGCCCACATTTGATAGGATAATCGTCGTTTATAGGTATCATTCCTACAAAAACATTCAACATTGTTAACTTACTCGAAAGATGATAGAATAATTGAAAATACATGGGCATGTTTGCGTAATGATTGATATGCAGGAGAGAAAGCAACAACGACAAGAAGGAAACAGAGAGGAATATGTATGTGAAGCATTTCAAGGGCATTCCCATGGCTGATATGGAAATTGTCCTGGTGAGTGGAAAAATCGAGATTGAGACTCATTCTTCGGAGAGAGATCAATCACATCACATCCATCCATAATATTATTAACCAACTTGCAGCTGACGATTCTTCTGCTGGTGATATTTGATAGCCAGAGAAGAAAAATCCTGGGCTTACCCCAATGGATTGGGTGAAGTTCCTTGTATCTGCTCTCATTGGTCTGGTAATTATCTATTATCATGTTTTCTTTTAACTAAATCCATATCGCTACCCTCCATTTTCGGTACTTGGAACACCAAATGACACATGATACATGTCTTGTTTATAGGCTACAGTGGTTGGTTCTCTAAGCGTGAAGAAAGTAGACATTAGAGTGATCTTTGCCATCCTCACATCAGTGGGTGGGTATTGCGTCAAAACGTATTTCACGTAAGTAATTAAGAGCCTGGATTGCCTAAGAAGTCATTTGAATCAGATTAAGTTCAGAGATTACGCATTTGGCAGACAAAATGTCAATGCAATTTGGTAATGAAAATGCAGGTTCCAGAGCAACTTGGTGTCTTATCAAAGTCTGATTACTCAGTCGGTCTACGACAAACAACTAGATAGTGGGAGGGGCACTTTGCTTCACTTGTGCGACGAGGTCATCCAACAAGAAGTATGTCGGTCTTGCTATTTACTTGCAAACCATATTTCTCGTTTAGTAGTATTGCTCGAAAATCTTGACCAATAATGAACGGTCATATTTGCAGGTGAAAGAGGTAATCATTTCCTTCTTCATACTGATGGAGCAGGGTGAAGCCACCCGACAGGTAATACAACTCTACATTGTTATTTGGGGACTCTACAACTGAATTAACTTTAGGGATGAATCCTAAAATAGGAATTGGATGGAAGGTGTGAGGATCTACTCAAGGCAGAATTTGGTGAGAACTGTAATTTTGATGTTGACGATGCTCTCCAAAAGCTGGAGAAACTCAAAATCATCTCCAAGGCAAGCTTTTAGGCGTGAGCCTTATCTCCTTTTCTTTCCACAATGTCTTTCTGTTTTGCTTCTAACTGAATAAACTAAAAGAGGTGGGACGCAATGCAGGACGAAAATGGAAAGTATAAGTGCGTGGGATTGAGGGAAGCTAATGATATCATAGGCACAACCACCGAGGAGGTGGTTCTCAAGGCTACAGGTGGTGTTGCTCCTTCTGCTACTGATGACGCCGCCACCACCAATCTTCTTGACTATTAAACCCCACTCTTCCCCTGATGGATGCCTGTTGAAAGCAAATGAATTACATCATGATGCCAGGAAATGATTTGCAGTCATACCATCCCTCTAGACAAACCAGAATAGCTACACTAAATTTAAAAAGTTATGGGAAAGCATGAAGCAAAATCCTTAATCCATCCTAAGAATCTAGATACAGTTACGCTATCACATTAGATTTTTTGTCCTAGTAAAAATGCAAAATAGAATGTCAAAATAACTTGCATTTAAAATGATTATCTTACCTCAAGACATGGAATACTCGGATGGGAAGTTACACAAAAAGACCCAGTCACCTCCCACTACCACATTGACCTTTGCGGTGTTTTTTTTAGTACTTCCAACTGGTTAAGCTTCTCAAGAACATGTCATAGATGGACGCACAAAAAGCCACTCTACATTGTTTGCTGAAGCTTCCCCCCTGTAAGTCTCCTTAAGCCCAGTTTCCAAGTGCTCGGCAGAGAAGAGTTCAGGAGACCATCCCTCATTTATCAACACTTGGCCCACGCCAAAATGTTGAAGTCATTTCTATACTCAAAGAGTGATGGATCAAGTTATTTCTTCCATGACATCAATTCCAACAGAGAACCATACCAAAGCTATAAATCATGCATGTGGTTTCCTATTATGTTCTCTCTCTCTTTCTCTGTGTGTGTGTGTGCCGGTCGGAATAAATGCTGCCTATGAAGTTCATTTATCCCACCAACTTGCTACTACTGTCTCTCTTAATGCAGACAAAACAGTCGCCCATTGCACTAAAAAGTTCTCATCACCACAATGAGACTCTACTGTGATAACCTCTTTCTCCCAACCATCAACTAATATTCTACACGTTACAATGAAACCACGAAAGATCCTTAAAGGCCATAAGATACAGAGAAACAAAACAGTCGTTAAACTAAAATACATGAGAAGAGGATAAGAATAACTTACATTAATCAATTGAGTTACCATGGGATAATTAGGAGGATGGGGTTTAGCATGGCAGAGAGCCTCAACGATGTCGTTAGGGTGAGTACTTGAGTCAAGAGGAGATGGTGTGCATGGTCATGCTCCGCTTCACATTAAATATGTTGCGGGTGGTGGTGATTGGGGATGTGGATTATGGACCATAACACTTTGTAAGAATCATTCTGGACAGTGAAGAAGTATACTCATGACTGGTCGGGGAAACAACATCATTTCGATGGAGGTTCCTGTGAAAGAAGATGGTTAATAAATATGCTTAGATATTTGGTTCACATTGTGCCAATCAGTTAGTGGGCGAAGTCGGAATGACAATAAGGTGGCAAAAACTCAAAAAGTTGCATACATGGGGGGAAGTGGGGGAGAGGGGAGATCATAGAGATTGATGGTTAGAGGATAAGGAAAGGAGGTGGCTACCATGAAATGCATATTTCAAAAGGAAATCATACGCATAACATGCACAACACAGAGTCAATGATGACGATGGTGACAAAAAGAATAGATGGTTCAGTTGAAACAGATACGAGAGCACATAAGTTTCTTTTCCCCCATTATCAAGCCCATGATATGTGACATGTTGATCCATAGCCAATAGGCTTTTGTTCCAGCCCAAGCCTAAGCTTTTAGCTTATATTGTAGCTTTCAACTTCAAAGCCCTGATATGTAATGTGACAAACTAAATGACAGTGAATGGGTCTTTGTTTCCGTCTTCGGTTATTTTTTATGGGGTTAAGTTACATTTCGGTATTAGAAATATTCATTTTTCTTTGAATAATCCATGAACTATAAAATTTATAACTATCGTGGTGATATTTTTTTTGTGATTATGCTTTGATGTTTCTTCTTAACAAATAAAAAAAACTTTGTTACTATATTTTGCTCTTTTTCAATACACAAGAAGACGTGAACTATATATACTCTACATGACTATAACATATGTGCTTGATATCTTTTTCCAAACTTTAAAATTGGTAGGATGGTATACTTAGCCCCTCATTTACGATGAATATTCATCCTCTATAAGGTAGCATAATATTTGATTTCTCGCACTTCTCAATTAAACTGTGATGTTGCCAATCGACAAAAAATACTTGTGATCATACTTAGACGCCATCGCTACAGAAGTTTGAGAAATAGTGCCTTGTTATTTATTATTTCAAACTCTCAAATTTAGACGTTGTTGCGTAGCTCTTATTCGTTCCCTTTTACACTTTGGGATGTGATTTTGAAACTTGGGCTATTAGTAAAGACCACATTTTTGTATATGAACAAACAAAATCTTTTTTAATTTGTATTTTCCAAGTTAGGTTGCACCTACCCACATAATTTTTGTATTTTTCTCATTCAATAATGATATGAACGAATTATACAATTATTTAAAGACAACACATAACTAATGACTTCCAAATAATTGATTCCATGATAGGTAAAAGGTGTACTTAATAGCCTAACCCATATTTTGTGATTTTTTTAAAACACCTTGTTAGTTAAGCACTACCTCAACATCCTAGCAATTAAAATCGCCTCTTATCAATTCGAATCCAATTAAAGCGACAAGATACTATGATTTCCCCGATTGGACGTAATTTATAACGTCTGCCTTGCTACTCCACTCGTTTAGGCTATAGCTATTCAACCGCTTACAGACTAACTTTGTTAATAGCCAATTTAGGTTTTTTAAGAGAGTTTCATTAAGAATGCGACCGGGTCAAAGCCAAATGGAAAGTACAAGTAGAAAAAATGACCAGATTTGAAACCCAAAACAAAGAAGCCCAAACACAAATGAGCCGGTACCCAATAGGGCCCAGACCCGGGCCAAAACATGAAGAGAATTCCAAACCCTAGACACCCATCCACCCCCTCTGGAACCTTAGCCGCCGCAGCCGAGTTCGCCACCGCTGCTTGGTTGCCCAACCACCACCTTCAAGCACCAAACACAAGGGAACGATCTCCACCAAACCCGGAAAGAAGGGAAGAGGAAAAGAACCTCCAATCAACCCTCCCCGAGCCAGCCGATCTACGCCGAGAGAACTCCGGGACAACATCATCATCCGACCGGTCGCCGACGAAACAACCAGAGGGGATGGTACTACAGTCTTCAATCTCTCCACTCCGCGTCCAACGCCAAAGGTTGCATCTCCGACTCACCAAGATCTGCAAGGAAAGACAAGGAGGTAGACGAGGGAGAGGAAATGAGAAGACTATTCAGATCTGACCTCCAATCGCATCTTAAATCAGTCCACCATCTCCAGATCTAAGAACCAGATCGGAGGAACAAAAGATCAATCCAACAACGGGGGAGAAAGGAACACCCAGCAAAGGGAGAAATAGAGGCTTGAAATGGCGAGAAAAATCTGAAATCAGAAGGAGAATAATGTACAACATGCAAAGAAGAAGACGATCGAAAGACAAAAGGAGCGAAGGGCTACCGCTGGTCGCCGGAAAGACGCCGACAGCAGCCCCCTCTCACATCTGCAAATGGAATATGAAGAGAGAAGACAGAGAGTTTAAAAAAGGAGAGAGAAAGAAAATTTTTTAATTGACATCCAATTAATTAGGTTAAACTGTTTGTATTACATTACATATGTTTATTCTACAAATAAACAAAACCTAGTCAATTTAGGTTAAACGGTTTGCATTACATGTGTTTATTACACAAATAAACAAAACATAGATTATATCAAATGATAGATTGGTATATATGTATATTGACTGTAACTAAATCATACTTAACATAAATTTCAAATACAACGAAAACTCACACACACAATATGTAATAAACAAAAACACAACAGATAAAACCATTAAGAAATTAAGAAAATTCAACATGATAAAGGACTAATTTTAGAATTCAAAAAACTATGTCCTTCCAATATTCCATTTTCATTATTTCCCCCCTCTTTCTTGTTATGTAGGGTCTATGCATATAAATCTACTCTGTAGCTGCGACAGCGTTAGGGAGGCAATGGAGCACAACGGTCTCGACGGTGAGCCCCGGTCCGAACCCGAAAAGAACACCCCACTCCAACCCTTCACCGGACGTCAGCTTTCCTTCCTCCGCCGACTTCTTCCTCATCTCGTCCAGTATGAAAAGCACGCATGCACTGGACATGTTGCCGTACTCCTTCAACACCTCTCGAGTCGCCCGCATTTTCTCGGGCTTAAGCTTGAGCTTCTCCTCCACCTGATCCAGAATAGCAGGCCCACCAGGATGGGCTACCCAGAACAACGAGTTCCAATCACTAATTCCAATGGGCTTGAACGCCTCTACAAGCGATTTTTCGATGTTCTTGGAAATCAAACCGGGTACATCCTTGAGCAAGTGGAAAGTCAAACCTACTTCCCTCAGGTGGCCGTCGATTGCTCCTTCTGAGTCTGGCAGTATGGTCTGTGCAGCCGACACAAGCTCGAACATGGGCCTCTCCACCTTCTCGTCCGGATCAGCTCCGATAATCACCGCCGCCGCTCCGTCACCGAAGAGAGCTTGGCCTACGAGGGAGTCGAGGTGGGAGTCGGATGGCCCACGGAAGGTGACAGCAGTGATCTCGGAGCAAACGACGAGGACGCGGGCGCCCTTGTTGTTCTCGGCAAGATCCTTGGCAAGACGGAGAACAGTGCCGCCGGCGAAGCAACCTTGCTGGTACATCATGAATCGCTTAACGGAGGGGCGGAGGCCAAGGAGCTTTGTGAGTTGATAATCGGCTCCGGGCATGTCAACTCCGGAGGTGGTACAGAAGACGAGGTGAGTGATCTTGGACTTGGGCTGGCCCCACTCTTTGATGGCCTTGGATGCAGCCTCTTTGCCGAGCTTGGGGACTTCTACCACCACAATGTCTTGGCGAGCATCAAGGGAAGGGGCCATGTAGGCGCACATGTTTGGGTTTTCTTTTAGGTACTCCTCTGTTACGTGCATGTAACGTTTCCTTATCATCGACTTCTCACCTGCAAAATTAACAATTAACTTATTAGTTTGTTAGCAACTGGTCATGTTTGGAAATGATTTGATGAGTAGTTACTATTTATTTACTCATCCCAGTGAAACATCGCACTCTTAATTAAGGGAAATGTTGCAACTACGTAAAGGATATGGGGTCCATATGATCAAGTGGCTATAAATAATGTATTGAAGTTTGAATGAGTTTGGTGAACAAATATATATGAGCGAAATTTTTGTATGGGCCGACCTTAACAATATTGGTTCACAAATATAAAATGCTAGTAAAAGATGGCACACCTAATCTGAACCTAATATATGTTGTTCCACAAATCTGTAGCATGTATTAATAGATATAATACAAATCTTTAGGGAGTAATAATGCATAATTATGCATGTAGGTTTCCGTTAATTGTCCATCGGCATGCTGCAGGATCCTCATGACTTTGGCTCTCTTTTCATGCATGCATTCAGGTGCGAGACCCGTGACGATGAAGCTTTTTGCAGGCTTAACTTTCTTTCCTATTTACAGTGGATCAAATAGTTCCCCCCCTTTCTTTTGTTTTGTTATAATAATAAAAAACTAAACTCAGAATTTAATTAATTCAGCTGCAAAATTAAATAAAATTGGCGACATGACAAGAAATGGTAGAAAGATATAATAATATAATTGCCTTTCAAATAATAAAACCCCCAGCTATTCATAAGAAAAGCCCCTGGCTATTTCACAACAGATCAGGAAATAATAATTGCATTGCCTGACTGGAAATTATACAAATAATCCCTTCTGTTTCTATGGTAGAGGTATTACATACCACGTAGAGATAAAGTGACGAGGATGATATTAAAGATGCATCGATGGTATGTACGAAATTATTAGAGAAATAATTGAAAAGAAAAAGAGAGGGGTGTCGGGGGTAACGTACACATGCGCTTGAACTTGAGTTTGAGGTCGGTCATGTGTTCGCTGTTGGTGATGCGGAAGTAATAGTCAGGGTAGTCGGCCTGGTAGACGCAGTTGGCCGGAGTTGCAGTGCCGATGGCCAGCACGGTGGCCGGCCCACTCGCCCGCTGGGCCTTTCTGATCTCCTCCACCTTATTAACGCCTTCCCCAGCCATGCCGTGGTATATATATATGCACTCTCGTTGGTATTAACCTACACAGTAGCTAGGCAACTGAAAGCCGGGAAGTAATTTGGTGTTTGTGGAGAATTTGGATAGGCGTGGGAGGATATATAAGAAGGTAGGGGGAGTGGGGGTAGTTTAGTTATGTGAATGTAGCTAGCTAGAACTGGATTGAAGGATCGTTGATGTTTAATAGTAGGTAGGGACGTAGGTGTATTAAAGTTGATCGGGAAGGAGCTGCTGCTGGCTGGAGTGAATAAGATCGACGTGGGGTGTTTATGGCTTCTGGTAGGTAGCATTGACGGATAGCTGAGCTTCCACGTGGTTACTCCACCCTCTTCTCATTTCAGTTTAACACGCACCATCCCCCCTACCTTCCCCCTTTCCCTATCTTCACTATTCACTCCCTTATCTTAATTTACTTTGTTTCCATTTCACAAGTTGACTGAGCCTTTAAAAACCTTCCATCATCAATTCCTGTACGTTGTTAACTTATTAATATTCTAATGTTTACATAATCTGCTCCCAACTGCAAACATATATAGTCATATATGTGAATTACGTGGGATGGGATTAGGTGCTAACTTTTATAGGGGTTAGCACCGTGATAACTAGCAAAAAACGCTACTAAAAATAACGGAATCAATACAACATCTAAGCTAAATCACTACTAATTCAAACTAGTAGTAGTTTTTCCCTTGGTTAGAACGGTGCTAACTATTGTACAATTAGCACCGTAACCGCTCCCGAATTACGTTCATCATTTTATTTTTAAGCTAGTTATGCTGTTCATCAATTTAATTAATCATTTTACAGTTTTTCATAACTTACATTGCAAATTATTATAACACTTATTACGAGTGAAATGTACAACAAGTTTACAAATAAGTGAATCACCTTTAATTAGCTACTATATATGTCCTTTTAACTTTTATTCATCTTTCTTCCACCCACGCCTTCTAGTACCGTACTCCCAGCTTCATTAATCTCCTAATACGGTTATGGTTTCTAGTACATTCAAAGTCGGTTGTGGTTAGGGGTGGCAGTTCGGTTGTCGGTTAGCGGCTAACCGGTCGGTTTGACCGATAACCGTCGGTTAGTGGCTAACCGAAAACCGCCCTTTACTTGTAGCGGTCGGTTGCCGGAAGGGCTGAGGGGTGCTTCGGTTAGCCGACTAACCGGAAACCGGTTACGCGACTAACCGAAGGTAACCGACCTACGCGCCTGCTGCTCCAAACGACCCCGCTTCCATTCCCATTTCCCAGAACCCCTCCCCCAACACAAACGAAACCTAACCCCTTCCTTTCTCCCCGCACCGCGCCGCCTCTCCGGATCTCCCTGCGCCGCGCCGCGCCTCTTCGGATCTCCCCGCGTCGCGCCGCTTCCGACACCAGATTGTCGGCCATCCTCCCCGCCTCTGCTTCCTTCATCTCCGCCATCGTCGTCGAGAGTAGGCTGGCCGCACTCCGATTCGTTTCCTTCTCCTTCTCCTCGTTCGCCAATCGCCACCACCATCGTCGTCGGCGCTCAAACCTCTCTTCCTCCTTCTCCTTAGTTCTCTCTACGAAACGAACCAGAGACCCAAAAACCATTCCTTCCCTCTCCACCATGCCTTCTGAAATCAGAAACCCTCCTCCCTCGATTTACTTTCTTCTTCTTTCCCAGAAACAGGAGGGGAAAATCACTTCCCATGAACCCAGAAAATCCACTTTGGAATTAGACAAGATCCCAGCCTATAATACGCCGTTGGAGTGCCGGCCAGCCTCCAAATCGATGGTAAGTGGCGGATTATGGTTTTGCATGTTTGATTTTCTGGGTTTTTGCTGGGATTTTGACCCCTTTTCTGGGTTTTGGTTTTTGGTTTTGGGCGAAGAGAGAAGGAAACGGCTCGGCGGCAGTCGTGACCAGATCGGGGGAGACGCAGGCGAGGGAGGGAGAGCAGAGCTAGAGAGGGGTAGAGTCTGGTTTAGGGGTCGAAGGAAAAGAAAATGGACATGGCTCTGTCTCTGGAGGATTGAATTGAGAGGAGATTCCGAGGAGAGAGCATGAAGGAGAAAGGGCAGGCAAAAGTGGAGAAAGTGGGCAGGTTTTTCGGTTGGCCGGCTAACCGAGTCTTAAACCGAAACCGACCGGTCGGTTGGCCGGCTAACCGTGACCCCCTCACGGTCGGTGGTCGGTAGTCATAGGAGGTGGCTCGGTTTAACCAATAACCGAGAATTCGGTTTTTAGTTAAACCGAAACCGACTGACACCCCTAGTTGTGGTTACTTCACCTTATTCCTTCCTAACTAGTTTAGCATGTATGTAATGTGAATAATAAGATGTTGCACTCTATTATATACAACATGATTCACTAGAATTACTTTAATTATTTGAGACAAAAAAAATTAATCTATTTGAAAAATACTACACTCTTTGATATTTGAATTTAGTGATGAATACGGGTAAATACAGTTCTATATTATGTGATACTGATTCAATATTGCAGTTGATTAATTAAAAATCTTTTACTCTGCATAAAATTTTAAACCACTAATAAAATAATAATGGTTTGGATGAAATTGATATCCAACTTGTTGTTATATTGTATAGATGTAATGATAAGAATGTTGAAAAACAAGAAGACAACTTCTCGGTACCTAACTCCATTCCCTTCAATTAATCCTTCCCATGCCTTTCCTACCTATACTAGTAATCGTGCCCGACCCGTTGGCCGGCAGAGTTTTCTATTTCTTCTTGAAGGAAAGATTGAATTTGTGAAATATCAACAGAATATGTGAAACAAAATTTTGACTAAGTTTTGTCATATATTCTTTTCAACTTCAACAATACCAAATTTATCATGGCAGAAGTAAAGTGTGTATATAAAATTAAAGAAGTTGACAATTGAGAACGAATTGGATAAACCAACTTCATGTTATAAAGTTACACATTGAAACTCCAATTGATCACCTTGCAGAATGGTAAGCATTAAGCAAAATGCAAATCAGAAACAATTTAAAAATCCACTCACTAACATTCCCATACATGAAAATTGACCTACTAAATATTGACAGTATATATAAGTTTGCTTGGATTGGTCTAAAAAATTTAGGGCAACAAATAGATGAGGTTCGTTCTTTATTGAAATAATATCGTTTGTTTGTAGACTTTCGATCTCTATCCATAAAAGGCTTTCACAACAACAGTTGACATCTTTTCGTTATTAGTCTCTGTCAATATACATTTGAATAGTTTATCCTCGAATTTAGGGATGCAAATTTTGTGGTGTATGATCATTATTGCACTTATCACTATTTGTGGAAACCTTGGTAAGCTTTTCTTGTCTTGGTAAGCATGAGATTACATTGTATATCCACAGAGCACATATTTTTGTTTAAATTGGGTTAAAATTATTTGCTTTGGTATATAATTGGTGTTAATCTATGATGAGGCCAAGTTAGAATTTATCTGGCAATAATATCCCTAACCCAAAGTAGAAGGGGGAGAATATAGTATCAAAAGCTAAGGAATCACCTAAAATTGGACCGACGTGGAGTTTGGTTATTGGAATTGCATGAAACTTGTTCATGTATAATAGTTTATTGAATTCATATTTGGCAAAGCATTAGACAAATCGATAGACATACAGTTGTAGGAAGTTAAAGCCGGAGTTTAAGACTTTGCCACATACTACTCGCAGAACTGCAGTCTCAGGTACAATTCTTTTTTTGAGGTGGGTAATCATCAAGTCTACATCGAAGTAAATTGTACTGAATCGATATCTAGACTGAATTGAATAAGATTGAGTATATTTTGATTATTGATCCTACAAATTATCTTATTATGAATTATAATTATACCGAAATCTAAATCTATCTAAAATCTAAAAAATAATATAAAGAGGTTTCTCGGGAAATCACTCCCCGCAACTTTCGGCATTTTTTTATAATTTCTTTTTCTTCTGTTGTAGGCTGTTTAGCCTTTTTCCCGCCAAAAATAGAAATTATCTTCATACCTAAAGTTTCTCATGTGTTAATTACCGAAACTTTTGAATGTATTTAAATTTTCCCAACCAACTCAAAAAAAAAAAAAACATTTCCCAACCGAATTTTTATACCCACTTGCAAGTTTTCTTTTCTTAATTTTAAAATGTAAAAAATATTGAAGGCCTTTTAGATTTGCACAGTGTCCACACCAGTTTTCGTCAAATTACAACGATCCACCTCAGCAACTAAAACCTTATCTTTCACAAAAAAAAGGGATTTTTCAGAAATAGCATTGTTTAAAAAAATTTCAAAATTAACACCCAACTCCGAAAATTTTCAAAAATAGCACCATTTTCCAAAAACCGCCACCCGTATGAGCGGTTTTGCAAACCGCATGAGGTCGGGGCGGTTTGCAAACAAACCGCATGGCGGGGGTGCGGTTTGCAACCAAACCGCCACGACCCCATGCGGTTTGCAAAACCGCTCCCTACCAGTGCGGTTTCCATCGAAAAACGCGCCCCGGTTGCGGTTTTCGCCTAAACTGCTGGTATGGGTGGCGGTTTTTGCGAAAGGGTGATGTTTTTGGAATTTTTCGGAGTTGGGTGCTATTTTTGGAAAAAAAATTAAACAGTGTTATTTCTGAAAAAATAAAAAAAAAAAAAAAAAACCCTGCTTCTTCTACCTTCTAAAAAGACCCTCAGGTTGCTTCCAAACTCTGCCTCCGATAACCACAATTGCGGTGGTTTTTCCTTCTCTTTCTACCCGTTACTTCAAAATTAACTCTTCTTTCTTCCCCGACTCTGCCTCCTTTCCCGATCGCCACACCATCATTCTCATCAAACACCATTAAGGAATTCCAGGGTCCTCATTCTCCCCAATTTGAAACAAGTCCCATCCACTTCACTCTGCGCTTTGCGAAACCTATAACTATAACTGTTTTCCAATGCACCATTTGCCACCATGCAGAGCCCACCGGGAACTCAATCCCAAACCGAACCGACCACCAGACTGTCTCCACTCCATCACCTCCATCGTCTTTCCTCCCCAAATGCCAATGGTGTTGCCAGCAAGTAATTTAATTTTTCCAGTTAATTATTCCTTTTTTCGTTTGTTAGCAGGCCGGGGTGCCAATAGACAGGATAATTATCAAACCCAGTGATATGTCAATTGACATTGTTAATTAGATTAATACTTAATAGGACTAATTTTGTTTCCTGAGTTCTTTTCCGAATTTCAATTTACTAAGTTAATGCCATTGCCATCTCTTCCAGTATCACGCTGCCTGAGTTTTTCAATCCCTTTAACTTCCTTTTTATGTATGTGCTTTTATTTGTCTTTGTGATTTAACTGCAACAACATAGGTATGGAGATCTGTTGGTTGATGAGTGGCTCACCCTTAATGTTTTTTTTTTATAAAGTGATCACCTTTAATTAAATTCTATAAAATGATATTATTTTGCTTAGAATGTGTAAATCGATCATACCGGTCATGCTGGTAGTGTCATTCCGGTTTCATGACCGGCACAGGTTGAACCAGGTTCAACCAGGTGATATTCCACCGACATGACAACCAGAAATAGAGAAGACAAATAACCCGGCCATGGGCCGGGCTCAAAGCTAGTTGAAATTAACGCTAGATAAAATCGAACACAATGAACAAAACATACTTTTGGTCGAATTTTTGTCCTCAATTTTCCTTTGATCTTTGTTCACTCTTCTCCAAATTCCATCTAATTTGAACAAAACATATTTTTGATTCAGTTTTGGTCCTCAATTTTTCTTTGACCTATATCCAATCTTATTTATATTCCTTAACTCACATATCATTTTCCATTACGCGATCACCATAACATAAGGACTAATCTACTAATCTTCCAGTACCAACTTATTGATGATTCCAATACCAACATTACGCTTCTTTCCTTTCCACCAAACCCATTCACTTTTATCCTTCTATAATTACTTCATCACCCCGTCAATTTCCAAGATCATTCACCTACCCATATTTTGGATGCACTTCGCCCAAGCAATTCTGGAGTAGAGAGCGATGCTGTGGAAGATGGAGGGGGGTAGAGGGAGAGGAATACTTACAGACCGGGAGAGGGAGAAGCCACAGACAACAATTGTTAATTTTCGGTCGGCATCAACTCCTAACTCGGTACAATTTACCAATAGCTATTCAGTTTCGAAAGTTGAATCAGTGACTGGAAAAAGAAGCGGCGGCGGAGGGATTTGTTGATTCAGCGACGACGGACTTATACAGAGATATTTCAGGGATTGAAGAAGATTTATTGACAGCTGGTGTTGCGGAGAAGAAACTTGACAATCTGGGTTGTGAGTGTGAATTGACGCTGGGAGCGGGTTGAGTAATTCCAGGGGTGTCCTCCCTAGCAATACAGGTTGCGCAGAAAGAGCTGATGTGACAAAGGCTCTTTATTGACATCCTCTTATAGTATTTTGTAGATACAATTTACTTCCTTGTCTTTCTTTCTTTCTGATAATTTCTAATTACCATTTGCAAATAAGAAAAATAATTTTTTACTGCACAAAACTGATCGGGCCCAAAGAGAACTCCCTCCAAACGAGGCCGCAACGGGCTTTCACTTCACAGAAAAGACTTGTCATGGACCCAACAAGAAATATGCTAATTGGGCCAAAAGTCAAGCCATCTTCACCACCGCCTTAAACTTAACCGGCCCGCGAAGATCATCACACGCTCTTAATCCAGCGGCAAAGGGCTCTCCCCTCACTCGCGCTATATATTCAAGATCTTCAAGTTTAGGGTTTCCTCTCCTATTACCAGCAGCACAGCCACACGCAGCAGCCAGTGCTTCCAGGGTTTCTTCTTCCTTCCTTTCGGATCCTTCCTTCCTTTGCAAAGATGGTGAGATCTTCCTTCTGTCGTAATCATTCTTTTCTCATATTCCTATGCTATTTCATGGCATTCTTAATCTGATTCTGGTTTCGCATCCCAATCGTTCTTCGCCTTCGGTTGCCTTGTTTTAATTCGTTTGTTTCGGATACTGTTCGATCCGATTTTTCACTCTTTCCCTGTGGCTCCGCAGCCTGTTATACGAGTCTTGGATATGTTAATAGTTCGTATATTATCTTCGTTTCCGTTGGAATTAGCTATTTATAATCAATTAGTTGCGAAGTCCTCTTATGTTTGCTCTCCAGATCATGTTGTAGTGATAGTGTCCTTTCATGTGTGTACGATTGTATGCTTGAAATGGATAATTACCTACGAATTAGCGCTCAATGGATTTGGATTGTTTTAGCCTGTGTTTGATTTCGGTCTCTGTCTGTGTTTCTATAGGTTTTGCAGAACGACGTGGATTTGTTGAACCCACCTGCTGATATTGAGAAGAGGAAGCACAAGCTTAAGCGGCTTGTCCAGTCTCCCAATTCGTTCTTCATGGTATCTGTTCCTTTGCCCAATGAGTTGTCCGTTTCAATTTGATGATTTCTGCTGCTTCTTTTATGATTCTGACGCCCTATATTGTGATGTTTATTGCAGGATGTGAAATGCCAAGGGTGTTTCAACATGTAAGTACCTCATCTGTTACCTTAGTCTCTCAGTGAACTGCCTTTAAAGTGATTTGAATACTGAACAAAACCTTGTTTGCGGGCAGAGCTTATATCCTTTCCTTTGATTATGCAGTACAACTGTTTTTAGTCACTCTCAAACTGTGGTGGTCTGCGGCAACTGTCAGTCAGTCCTGTGCCAGCCTACTGGAGGCCGTGCTAGACTCACAGAGGGATGCTCTTTCAGGAAGAAGGGTGATTAGTTATGTTTTAAAAATCTATGAAGTAGTCTGGCGTTCTATGCTCGCATATGGAATATTATTAATGTTGGATTCGTTTCTGTAGCTGTTTTCATGATGTTTGATTGAGGACGCACTGTTGTTCCATTTTGGGGATGTTATTTTGCGGTTGCGACTACAATGTAGTGAATTTGCTCCGTGAGTTCTATTAATATCTATGATTGAGCATAGTGTCGGTGCGTTTCTTTCTCTGTTTCATGTTCTTGTTGCCGCTAGTTGAAGGTATGTCATTGTTGAAGGATTACTGATATGTAGTCATATCTGATGATGAGTTACTACCTGATGGGTGAGTAGAATCAGTAATTCCATTGCTTCTTATTTTGTAGCGAGAATGTGGAACCGCCTTAGTCTTTGTGTGATTGCTAGCTTCAGTTTGGCTGAAGATGTATTGACCATTTAGTTTTCGATAGTGAATGTGTTTCTCGCTCATTCTGGTTTGTGGCTGATATATAGGCCTATAGTGTAGGTTTTAGTTTCTGGTAGTATGTATCTGCTGGAAATCAAATTGGTATGGCGTGTAGTGATTCTCTTCGCTTTACCTTTCTTAGAACTTATCGGTGTGACTGCTGATTAGATGTTTAGATAGCAGTTTCTGCTGGCTACTAGTTAGAACTAAATGGTTAGTAGTTTACATATGTTGGTTAGGTTTTATGACTGAGTCGGTGTATTATATTGGAGCTCGAGGTGTCAGCTCTCATAGGGCATGATCTGTTGGTTTGTATTTTGTAACTCGGATCCTGCCAAAGATATAATTCCTTCATGGAATGGTCCTCGCTCTTTAGGAGGGTTGTATTCGAGCATTTCTTCCTTTAAACAGAGGTCACATCTCGTAGATTTTGTTTCTTCCCTATTTGAGGGTATTGTTGTACCGGAACTGAAGATAAAAGTCCTGCCAAATCGATTTCATATCCCATCCATATGGGCGGACTTAGAGAGATGTTATAAGCTATAACAACAATCGTCAATTGCTATTAGGTGTATTGCTTACTTTGTTCAGGGAAAGAGCGTCAAAGGCGCGACACTAAATTAGGGATGGCAATTTTGCCCGGTTTTTAACTATCCAACTCAATTGGGTTAGGTATAAAATTCAAATAGATGAATATGAGTAGAGTTTGATGGGTCATACCCATTTACTTTGGGTTGAGTTGGGTTTATAACAAATGGATTTGGGTTTGTACCCATGCCCAAATACAAATTACAGTTTTGTACCTAAATTTAATAGATATGTATATTTAGTACCTAAATTTAATTTTTTTGTATATAAGTCCTCAATATATTGATGAAAAGTTACATTTTGGTACATAAACTTTTTTGGTCATACATTTTGGTACCTAAAATTTTCAAGTTTTACAAATAGGTCTAATTTTTGCATGTGTAGTTAAAACACCCTCAAATAAATGGAATTGATAGAATGCCCCCAAACTCTAAATCATACTGTAATTGCCCTCATTCCTAAGAAAGAAGTCTCATAATAGTCCTGCTAATTTTAAACCTATAAGCCTATGTGAGGAGTTAAAGATTTACTGATTTTTAGAGATAGTCTCGACTATATAATTTTGCCCCTTATCTCATTTGTAGCGTTCTATGTATTTGGGATGCCCGTAGTTTGTTTTTGTGAGTCAAGGAAAAAACATGTTTAATGATGGCCAAAATGGATATTGCAAAAGCATATGATTAATCTCAAAAGCAGAGGAGGAGGGGAAGATACGTGGGATACAAGTAAGAAAAGAAGCACTAGTGATTTTTCATTTGCTGTTTGCGAATGACAACATCCTTTTCACTAAAGCAGCTACATGTACAAAAATGTCAACAACTGGGAAGTCTTATATGCCTCTATGAGGCAGAGATAGGTCAACATGTGAATTTAGTGAATTTGGAGTTGTCGTTAGTCCTAATATTGATCAGCAAACAAGGACTGAGCTTTGCTTCTATCCTAGGGATGAAAGGAGTGAAATTTCACGAGAGATACCTAGGCTGCCTACAAAAATTGGAAGGGGAAAGAAGGCAGAGTTCGAGTTTATAGTGGAGAGAGTGAGAAAAAAGTGAAGCATTGGGAAAGCAAAACCTTGTCTGCAGGAGGTAAGGAGGTCCTCATTAAATATGTGGCTTAACCGCAAATGACATTTGCAATGTGCCAATGTTCTTAATCCCTGTTGGGGGTACCACAAGAAGTGAAAAGATTATTCTCCAATTTCTGGTGGGGGCCAGCAAAAGGAATAACATCGAACCCACTGGCTTAGGTCGGAGGAGATCAGTATAACAAAAAATTAAGAAGGGTTGATATTTAGAAATTTGCATAGCTTCAACATCAGCGTACTGGGAAAGAAGCTATGGTGGCTCTTAACAAGGTCGGATTTGTTGGCCGCTAGAGTAATGAATACTATCCTCAAAGAGAGAACTTGGAGGTAGAAATATGATACAATCATGGCTTTACAAGGAGATGACTCATGGATGCGAGAGAACTTGCCAAACAAGGACTATGGTGGAGAATAGGTAATGGTCATGGTGTGGACGTATGTCAAGATCGATGGTTGCCTTATGATGAAGGATACAAGATTAAATCACTAGTGTCTCTAATTGGGAAAACTACTTCAGTTTCAGAACTTATTGACCAAGAACAACATTGCGACATGATAGATTACGAACATATTTCCTATCGGTGTAGGGGAGACAAATGATGAATACATTATTAAGACAACTTATAGAATTTGGAAGGAAAGGAATGTGGCTGGAACTGGAGAGATCCATTCTCCACTTGACTGGAACCGGATGTGAAAGTTACAAATTCCAGCCAAGGTCATGATATTTGCGTGGAAGTGGATTAGAAACATTTTGCCTACAGGAGCTCGAAGTTTGGAAAGAATACAGAAAGGAAGTGAAGGGTGACCATTTTGTGACAAACAAGAAACACAGGAGCACATATTCAGGGATTGTGGTTGGGCACAACCAGCATGGAGACCTAGCCCTCTAAATTCGATGTTCACTAGGGGAGAGAACCTTACCTATGAGGAATTAATGGTTCTACAAATTGTAAGAGAAGGAGGACGATGAACAAATTGGGCAATTCCTAGTCTCCATGTGATTCATCTGGGATCAACGAAATAGTCAATTTTGAAACAAAAGGAAACTGGAGGAAGAAGAGATAATTGGTAGAGCAAGTGCATGGCTAGAAGTAGGGATGACAACTTTGCCCATACCCATGGGTTTCTTACTATCCAATCCAATTGGGTTGGGTATGAAATTCAAATAGATGGATATGGGTAAAGTTTGATGGGTTTGTACTCATACCCATTTACTTTGGGTTGAGTTGGGTTTATATCAAATGGATTTGGGTTTGTACCCATGCCCAAATACAAATTACAGTTTGGTACCCAAACTTAATAAACATGCATATTTAGTACCTAAATTTAATTTTTTTTGCATATAAGTCCTCAAAATATCGATGGAAAATTACGTTTTGGTACCTAAATTTTTTTGGTCTTACATTTTGGTACCTAAACTTTTCAAGTTTTGCAAATAGGTCCAATTTTTGCATGTGTAGTTAAAACACCCTCAAGTAAATGGATATCCATATCCAACCCATACCCATTTAGATTATGAAAGCCCCAAACCCAAACCCATCTATAAACCCCCAAATCTATATGCACTTCACCCATACCCAACCCATTATCAATGGGTCTACTTGGGTTTGGGTATAATTACCCATAGTTGGGTAATTTGCCATTCCTAGCTAGAAGAATAGCTGGAGTTGCAGAAAGGAATAGTGGATCAACTGCCCAAATTTCAGTCTCCCTGGGAAACCTAGTTGCTGACGAATTTCACCATTAATGTAGACGTGTCTTGTCTGGAGGGTAGGGAACATTGATTTGTGGTGGTGGTTCTAGATAAAGAAGGCAAATTGAAGATGGCGGTCGTTCGAAGATTGCATAGGCAGTGAGAATCAGCAATGGCGGAGGCCAAGGTAGTGGAACTTGGGAGGGAAATGGGTGTAATTTTCACCTTGAATCGACAGAGATTCAGACATACAACTAGGTGGTGGAATATCTCCTAAGAGCCCAGACCAGATCGTGTTTGAATTGGGCCAAATATGCAAAGCTATTAGAGAAACAACCCGACTCATTGCATGGCCCATATGCAAAGCTATAATTGAATGGGTAGATGACTTGGAGATACGTGGACCAAAAATTTAATCAACTGGCTCATTGCATGGCCCATACAAAGTGTGATTGGGAAGTAGATGATGTTTGGGTGGATAGGCCCCTAACTTTTTTGGTCTCTCTATTATGAAAGGAAGATTTCATGTTACATTCACTAAATTAATGAAATGAAACAGAGGTATTATTAAAAAAAAGTAATATTATGCACCACACTAACTATAAACCCAAAAGCAAAAAGACTTAGATTTCAGCAGCCTGCTTGCCCTTTCCAATTGGTGCACCAAATTATCTTCGAAAAAGCAAAGCCTTCCAAACAAACGCAGCTTCTGGAGTCCAAATAGTATCCATATATAGTGAAGCTTCATAAAAGAATCGTAAGGAAAGCAACTCCAGCCAAGTAAGATAATGTTACATAATAAATTCTCTAGGGTCAATTATGTATAACGAGTGGTGTTTCCATAAATTTTACATAGGGGTTTAAATTAAATTAAAAATTAAAATTAAAAAAATATTCAACTAGTACAAGTTACAACAAAAGCTCACGACATATTTCATATACTAAAAAAATGGTAAAATACATTTGGTGTCTGCACTGTTCATCAAACCTCTCTTGTTATATACTATTGTACAAAGATATCTCATAATTGAGTTAAGTCATTAGGCTTTGAAGGAGATAAAGAATATCATTTTACTATTATATTTGAATTTAAAACACAACAACAGATCACATAAACTGCCACTTAAATATTATTTTTACCCACATGCAAACTATTATCGGAAGTTGCTTAATCGTTTTTCCAAATTCTACTATACTATATTAAGGAGATCCAGGAGTACACATAAGCACAGCGTATTTCTATTTCATTTGGCAGAGGAAAAGCAGACGATGACCTCTTCCTCACGCTAGTTTGCTTGGAATTAAGGAGGAATTATGATTATACATATATAAACCGAAAAGAAAATTAAGTTGCCAAAAATCGATATACGTAATTGAGTGGCCTCATGCGCGCTGGGAGCAACTACGCCACCATCGGACTGCCCAATGCATGAAGCTGGCTGGTCACAATGATAAAGATAACTAGTGGTATATATCTGTACCTGTGGATCTGATATCGTATTTATTCAAATAATTCCCTTCTTTTTTAGCAGCTGGGACAGGGATTGCCTTTCTTTAGTACTCATCATCACCACTTGATTTAAATTTAATCATATTAACATGATGGGGGCAGTGATTGAGTCTTCCTGGCCCTGGCCCTCCACCGGCCTGGCATGAGGTTTAATTAGGGATAATGAAAAGGAAGCAGCGGAATAAGAAGTGCGGTGAATGCTATTGCATGCTACATATATATGATTTCTTTCTCTCAAGATTTCATTATATATGAAAAATCCGAGCGCCCATTTGTATTTGGACCAAGACCAACTTAATTAATCAAATCATCAATAAGAGAAGCTCTTATTACTATTAATGATTAGTTTTCATAACGTGTTCTCCTTTTGTATGATATAGTAATGTGTCGTTTATTTCTCTTCTTCTACAATTTTAATGGTGTATATACAATGTATGCCATCAAAATCAATCAGTCATGGCATCACATGTTTACCATAAGCTGCTTTGGACTGCATGAGATTGGACCAATGGATATAAGGAACCTTCACAAATTACCATACATATTATGGATATAATATATTTGTGGACTAGATTCATGCCAGAGAGAGAGAAGAAGAGGGGATGAAACTTCAATAGTATGCATTGTGAGAATAATACTAATGATTAAAAGGTATCTAATAGAACATGCTCATGCTAATCATATCTACTAATCATATGAAGTGATCTCCCCATCCTATATACATATAATTAATGTTTTTTTGGAAAATTACTTATAATTTGTAATTGTGGAATCAAAAGGGGAGTCATATATGATCATATGCATGTGCAGTACCGTTTATCATCAAACAATATATAGACATCATAACCACTTTCAACCAATGTTTTGTGTTGTATATGTTTTCCATTAATTCGACCGTTATATATATTATATGTATTCAAGTTTTCATGTGAATGACTATCACCCCTTTGTGATCACCTAGTCTTTACTTAGAATTTTTTTTAAAGTTGGACCATAATATTTTTATTATTCTCATCTATCTGGAATGATTGATTATTTGTGATGCGCTTGTTAATTAATTTAGTATCAATCATTCCTAAAATATTTTGTGACTGGGAGATGAACTTATTGAATAAAAATTTATTTGGTGTTGACCACATAACTCTAGAATGACGGTAACCCTGCAACATATATAAGCTTAGTTTGGCCCTGCGGTAGCTTTTGCAAAAGCAACTTCTGACTGGAGTTTTTAGATAAGTACTTTTCAAAAAAAGCAGTTGAGTGTTTGGTTGTAAAACTATTAGAAGTACTTTTTAATAGGCAAAATACACTTTCATAGCCATAACTATTCGCGTTGTGACAAATATAGCCACTTTTTGAAAAATACACTCGTATAGCCACTTTTGAAAACTTGCTTGACAACTTTAGCCATTTCCGTTATAAACTTTAACACCGTTAACTCTTCAATGATGTGGATGTACACGTCATCAAATGTATGCCATGTGTCAGCCACCTCAGTTTAAATTATTATTTTAAATAATTTTCTTAATTATTTTTTTCACCACTATTCTAATCAAAATGAAAAATCATTAAATTTTTTCTCCCAATTCTCCTTTCCCCTTCCCCATGGAGAGAGCAGAGAACGAGATCCGATCTCCGCCGGTCACTCTCCGATCCATCGCCCCGTCTCGCTCTCCGTCGTTTGGAATTCTTTCTTTTCTTCTTCCCCGAGCCGCCGATCTCGTCGTTGCCGGCTTCATCCTCTGTTTGTCATTGGGTTGGAGGAGAAATCAGGGGAAATCATCTTCCCCTTCATCTTCTTCCTCACGCCAGAAACAGAGGAAATCATCTTCTTCTAGCCATTCACACATCAAAGCAGAGACAAGCTCATAAACCCCAATTTTGAATCAACCAAGAACCAGCACTGAGATTTTAGAATTATACATAATCATCCAATTCAAGTAATATAAAACACAGAAGTCGGTTGATATGGCTGTGGGATACATATGATAATTGACTAAAGTGGATTTATAAACATATTGGGAGAGAGAGATTGCCCTATTTTATTAAGACATGATAACAATTACATATGAAGGTCTAATTATTGAAGTGTATGGTGTGGTGGGAGGGGAAGTGAATCTTGGGAATAATCAAGGTTTAGTTTGGGCATACAAATATACTACTAGCAGCTAGTCAACAAAAATAATTAAGAAGGCATGATCAATTGATGACTAACAAATTTGCTTCTCGTTTAATTTATTTTATATTCTCCCTCCCCATCTATCATTCATTCCTGCATGTTCTCCTTCATTCATATTACTGACCGAAAATTCAATTAATTTGCCTTTCCCTTTGTTTATCATCAACATTTTTTGTCCTTATAAATACATACCAAATGAACCACTGATTCACTCACCACCCACATGCACTTGTTATTAGTTCCTTCCTTCCTAACTAAAACAACAATTAATATTCAATATTCCATCTGAACTATCCCTCTACCTCCACTTCCTCATTCACTCTCTCTGATCTCTCTCTCTCTCTCTCTCTAGCCAGAATATGAACAAGATGAAGAATACTAACAATGCCAGCAGCAGCGGGACTAGCAGAAAGAACAAGAAGCAGCAGCAGCAGCAGCAGCAGGGTCAGCTGGAAACAGGTGAACCGGCTGCTGTGAGGTTTTTGGGAGTGAGGAGGCGACCGTGGGGCAGATATGCGGCGGAGATAAGAGACCCCACCACCAAAGAGAGGCACTGGCTGGGCACGTTCGATACCGCCGAGGAAGCCGCTTTGGCCTATGACAGAGCCGCACGTTCCATGCGCGGCCCACGCGCTCGCACCAACTTTGTCTACTCCGACACCCCCGCCGGCTGCTCCGTCACGTCCATCCTCTCCCCCGACTTCTCATCATCCACCTTCATTAACAACAACGACGACAACAGGATTGTATCCTCATGTCTTGAACCTTGCGGCCAGCAGCAACAGATGATGTTCAACATGCAGGGGAGCGAATGCTACTACCAAAATAGTAATATTACCAATATTAATTCTGCAGCTAGCATTGACGACGGCCATGGCGGGCTGCCTCCTTTGCCGAGATGTGAGGTGGAGAACTTGTCCATTAATGCAGCAAGTTTTGACGACGTGATGATGGATACTATGGTTGATTTTACGGCCATGAATGGCGAGGGCAACAACAACAATATTAACAACATTGGTGGTGGTGGGTACAATAGTTTCGGCTACGAGGAGGATTGCGTAATGCACAGCCCGCTGTTCAGCACGATGCTTCCGCTCCCCGATTCCAACAACATGAATATCACTTACGGTCACCACCTGCCTCTGCCTGCCGACGATGCCTACCATTTGGGGTCCTCCTCAGCTTACAACTATTATTTCTTCTCAAACTAACTAACTGACTATCAATAATTGAGGCCGCCACCTGCTGCCTAGTGCCTGTGTTCCTAAACCCTATATGCAAGTTCCCTGTTTTTCTTTTTTCTATCTCCTTTACCGGCGTGGTTTGAGGCATGTGGCCGCCCCTCCTTGCATCCACAAGCACGCGATCTTCATCACTCAACTGATTTCTCTCTTTTTTTTTTTGTAAAGCCTTTCTCATCCTCTGATTTCATTCATGATCATCACTTGAATATTGGGGATACTTTCGATCCCTTTTCTTCATGTACCTGGATGTAAATTAATAGAGATGAATGAAAATACTCTATTCTGCCTAGCCCAAAACCGTCCAGTCCAGTACAATCCATCCAAAGTATATATGAATGATTCTGTCCTACACGGGTAAAAGTTGGGAGTATATAAATCTTCAATTGGGCGGAGTTTACGACATTGTAGATTAAAATTTAGTCCTTTTTTTATATAAATTTCGTACATTTAATTGATTTATTCCTAGTGATATATCACAATCTAGACCATGAATTAAATCGAGTTTGAGATATGATATTATAACCTAACCTCTAATGCATAAACCCCAAGGTCTAGATTCGCTAAACCGAAATTGGAAGTTAAATTTAATAGAAAATAATAATTGACCATTGAGATTGGCCGGAGCTCATCGAATTACATCTAACGGCTAGATCACCTGGTGTTTACCAATCATTACCACATATATAGTACCTTCTACGTTACCCCGGGTTTCACCCGGGGTACCGCATACTTTGAGTATGGAAACGCAATCTAGACCTCGAATTAGCATGATTTTTGGGCATGATACTATACCCTAACCCTTAATGAGTGAACCCTAGGTCCTAATTATCTAAATCATAAACTATAAACCCTAAGATGGTGCATTGATTTTTTGGCCTATATTTGGACAAATCATAACCGTCGATTATTGTTTCTAATCAATTGATTTTGGGTATAAGATTTAGATAATGAATACCTAGATTTTGATCTTTAAGGTTTAGAGTATAGTGTCATGTCCGAAAGATCAGTCATTCCAAGTTCTGGATAGCGTTTTCCTACTCAAGGTATGCGGTACCCCGGATTTCACTCTGGGTACTCTAGAACTTCATATATATATATATATATATATATATATGGTGACGTTAGCGTACGCCTGCGTTCACATTTATAATTTATATTTAGATAATTCTGACGAATCACAAGCGTACGTCTAACATACGACATATGATTTACGCCTGCGTTCACATTCATTAATTAATTTTAATGTAATTAATTATTATTGATAATTACAACTATAAACTGCATCAATTCTGTTGATGCCAAGTTTGGAGGAGCCCGTTTCAATGTGTTTGAGGTCCGATGAGTGCCGACTTTCTGGCCAACGTCCGCCACAAGCCTTCGAGATGGACACCTGCAAAAGAGGTACCCGCCGGCAGTGGTCGGCGGGGACCCGCTCCGAAGCTCGAGTCAGTATTGAGATGAGAGTAATCGGGAGCGACATATTGAGCCGGCTCTAGAGAGAGATTCAGAATTTTATCTGAAATGAAATATCCAAAAAACATAAATGAGTGTGTCTGACGTGAATGACGTGCTCGTAATAAAATAACAATAAGACACTTACCTCGTAACCAACCCTAGGTGCAGTGGATGATTGGCTACAACCAAACACATATAAAAGATAAAATTAGAAAAAAAGAAACCCACTTACCTCATATATTTCCCCTGTACCGTATAAGTGGTGGGAGGTGAGTAAATATATCCACCCACGCAACTCACTATTGGTGGAGATTTGGATTATGGAAAGGTTAATAGCTGGGTGAAAATTACCCCTTTATTCCCATGTGTATTGACATAGGGAAGTGAATATTGGTGGCTTGGTGAAAGGAAAGGAAGTAACAATACCAACCAATTGAAAAAGGGTTATCTTGCTTGGCTTCTCCCACGTGTAAGTAAATGGGAAAATGAGTATGGTTTTTTGTGATCCAAGTAGGAGGTGGAAAGACAAGGGTCTAATCATTCTCATGTCCAATTGATGCCATGTGGGAGAAAGGTTAAGCTTTTGTGTTTACTTGATTGGTGGGGGAAGCAAAACTAGATTTTCACTTACCATTAACACATAAACCCCTTCCACGTGTACAAAGAGTAGACTAGGTTAGGTGTTTGTTTCATTTGCTTGAAAGAAGTGGAAAACCATGGCAAGCAATCAAATAAAAGCACAATGTGTCATTTCCTTTTTATTCCACGTGGGTTAACCATGGGAGTGGATTTGATGTGTATGCTTGATGTATATAGAGAAATCACAAAATGTAACACCAATAGGATTTGCTAATAGCTCTACTTGTAAAGGAGAAGCAAAAAGGTGTATTTTGTGCATTTTTTGTGTGGCTAATTGATTCCCAGTAAAAGTAATGTATTATAATGTCGGTTGAATACAGGGTCCATCACATTCATTTAGATTTTGGATACTAACAGTACCGTAAAAGTTTAGACATACGAATCAACCATTCTAAGTATCATCGTTTCTCCACATCATCATAAACTTAAACACCCAGGAGCAGTGACAGAGCCACATGAGGCCAAGGTGGGTCATTTGCACCACCTTGGCGCAAAAAATATGACTAAATTGCAAATTTGGTCACTAGAATTACTTCAAAAGTTCACGTTTGCCACTAAAATTAATTTATTCCATCCATAGTCACTTAAATTAGGTTAACAGTTCAAGTTTGGTCATTGGCCGTTAGTCTCCGTTAACTTTTGGTGATGTGGCAGTCAACTCTTATAGTTGATCGTTAAATGAGTGAGGTGACAATTAAAAATAATAAAATATAATTAATTTTTATTTTCCACCTAATTATTATAAAAATTAAAAAACTAATTCATTTAATTATTATTTTTCACCGCCAGACCATCGTCGTACCTCTCCACCATCGCATGAATTCATCGTCCTCATCGTCTCCGCCGCTAACTTCCTCCATCATACCGGGCGAAGAGGCAGAACTGGATGGCAAAACACCGGTCTTTGCCGATGGAGTGGGAGCCTGAGAGGGCCACGAGGTCCTTCACCGAGAGGTTGTACCCGGCGAAGAGGTCGATCAGCATCGTCGTCAGGCTGTCCAGCCAACCCATCTTCATGTTACGTGCTGTTAGTGGGCGGATATTTAGGGATTGCATTGTTAGAGCATCTCCATTGGTGCAATTTCATTAGCTATTGCATTTGTGGTTTTTTTACACAACACCATTTTTGCAAGCCAACTCATATTACTTTCATTGCACTACATCAATGCAATTGCCTTGCAATTGCAATTAATTTTTTTAATTTAGTTTTAATAAAACATAAACACTCAAATAACAAATTAATGAATAATTTAATAATAAAAAAAGATGACATGGCTTGCATCTCATAATTGCATTAGAGCATCTCCATTGGTGCAATGACATTTGCAATTGCATTTGTTTTTTTTTTATTGTTACTTTATTTTTTTGCAATCCAACTCATCTTACTTGCATTGCATTACATCAATGCAATTAACTTGCAATTGCAACTAATTTTTTTGATTAAATTTAATAAAACATAAACACTCAAATAATAAAATTAATGAATAATTTAATAATAAAAAAGATTATGTGGCTTGCATTCCATAATTGCATTATATGCAAGCTTGCAAAGATGTAATTGTCATCTACATCAATGCAATTGCATAATGTAATTGCAAATGAATGTCATGTCATAATGCAATTCTAATTGCAATTCCAATGGAGATGCTCTTATATGCAAGCTTGCAAAGATGCAATTGTCATCTACATCAATGCAATTCCATAATGCAATTGCAAATGAATGTCATGTCATAATGCAATTCTAAATGAAATTCCAATGGAGATGCTCTTAGAGGGATTGTCTTTCTTAGTTTATTTTTAGGAGTAGTGGGTTTTAGATTGACTATTTAATTTAGCAACGAGGTTGTAATCGGGGGCCAGGAAATGAACAAAGAGTAGATTGTTACAAGAGGCTGGCTTTGCCTCGAAGAAGCCGTTCCTAAACTCTTCTTCTCCTTCTCACGTTACCTTCCTTTCCTTGATATCACCCCTTTTGTTTCAAATCCCAGAACTCCACCATAGCTCCTAAGAAGCAGAACCTCAAACCATATAAGCCTTGGCCTCGTTCTAAGCATCAAGGTTCAGAAACTCGATCCCAAACCAAAGCACACAACACTTCACTTCCCAGTTGGGACCACTCGTCTGATTCGGCAAAGAGAACGAAAACAGAGTACAAAAAAAAACAAAGGATGATTCGAAGGGAATCGATGTTGGAGAGGGAGAGCTCTTCCCCAAGCATGTTGTCTGTGTCATCCATTAGCATTGAACCATCACATCCCTATTCAAGAAAAAAAAAACATAGATAAAGTAATTTCAAACCTCAGTTTACAGAGAAAAAAAAAGAAACAGAGTCTTTATGGTCTTGTGTTTACATTGACGAAGCAGTTGTTGAACTGGAAGCGCATAACGGAGGCAGTTTGGCGGTGGTGAATAGCAGGAGAAATGCTAGTAATGAGAAGAGAAGGGACATGGTGGTGGTTGTGGGGTATTCTGAATTCACTTGGTTGGTTGTTTTTAAGGGTTGGAGGTTGAGAGAGGCGTGAGTGAGTGTGAGAATGAAAAGGGAATAGTACCCACGGCAGAGGGGAGTCTCAGCCGTCGACGGTGATGAGGTGGAGGTGGTGGTGATTAGCAGGAGAAACGCGAGTGATGAGATGAGGTTGGGTAGCGGAAGGATTCATGTGACGGTGGAGAGGAACGACGTCGGTCTAGCGGTGAAATATAATAATTAAGGGAATTAGGATTTTTATAATAATTAGGTGGAAAATAAAAGATAAATCATTTTTATTTGTTTTAATTGCCACCTCATTCATTTAATGGTCAACTATAAGAGTTGACCGCCACATCAGCAAAAGTTAACGGAGACTAACGGCCAGCGACCAAACTTTGACGGTTAACCTAATTTAAGTGACTACGAATGGAATAAATTAATTTTAGTGGCAAACTTGAACTTTTGATGTAATTCTAGTGACCAAGCTTGCAATTTAGCATACAAATATGGAGTAAATTGATTTATATGATTGTTGATTGAATAAAAGATCTCTATATTATTGTAGATAATTTTACGAAAGGTAATGTTTTATGATCTCTATTTACTTTTGATTCATATATTCGATAAGAGAGTTTAGCATATACAAAAACTTGAAAAGTAATGTTTTGTCTTAGGGTTGTCTGTTGCTATCAGTTGTCATTCAAGTGTTGAAAGAGCACTTATGCAATTACCAAAGTAAAGAAACACTTCAGAATAAGATGAGTTGTGGAATCATGAACGATTTTTCGTTGTGATATCTTAACATCCCTTATAATTTGCATGATGAATATATTTTAGAAAATTTTCAAAACATGGACACATTTTGCAACATACTTTATATTTTTTTCCACATTTGACCCACCTTAGATAAATTTTTGGCTACGCCACTGCCCAAGAGCTTGTTCATTTTGGTCTGACAGAAACACCCAGGAGCGTCCATGGTTAACTTTAACATAATCATGGATTTGGTTCCATTTCTTCTTCAAATAATCAAAGTATGATCAACACGTTCTTTAGATAACAATGCCCCATATTGTGAGAAGAGGGGAAAAATAGAGACCAAATTGAGATCCCATGCCCTAACGTTTTGGAACTTAAGGGGCACTAATGCACTATTTCTATGTAGACTTAAATTCAGAGACTTGGAGATGCATACTCCACCGTCGATTAACTGACCCACTTCAAACACAATCAAGTAATCATCCAATGTTTCAGCACCTGAACGTCACTACAAGAATATACATCTTCACTCATGGAAAATTCATGTCACGGGTATACTCTAATGATTGAAAGTAAATTATATATAACCGTAGAATATTCCCGTAACCGTTGGTTGCTAAACAATAATATGAGATGGTTCCCATGAAAATTGGTTGGTGGGCGGGAAGGGAAAATAAAAAGTTTCAAATGGTGCATTTCTTTGACGGTATCCCAAAAAAATTCCACTCCTGAAAATTTTCAACTTGCCCCCTCGTTTGCCGGCCTAGTCTATTTGGCTTTATTTCTACTTTTAATTTTGAGAGCAGGCATTACTCCCGAGCTCAACCCCCCCCCCCCCCCCCCATCTATGAAGAACAAAATCCATAAACACTTCTCCTTCCTATTTCTTGAAGGCACTCTCCGCTTCCTCAGCGATTCCCCCGAGGATCCACCCTTCGCTCCCACCGCAGCTAACCGCCAACCCTTCCCACTCACAACCATCACCACTTTCCCAACACTATTTACAGATCTCACCCAGATCCCTCTTCCAACCTTCAATAGCAACCGACCATCATCCCCACTTCTTCGATGCTGTCAATCTCAACGACCTTCACCAAGTACGCCGCTGCATCTCTCGCTGATTATTTTCCCTGCCATAGCAATTTCTGGCGGCATCTTGTTAATTTCATGTTTAGATCTTTTAATTTATTTGTTCGATTTGCTTTGCTTGATTCTAAAGCAAGTTTCGTTATGGGTTTTTGGGTTATTGTCGGGAGGACATGGAGCAAAGAAAGAGAGGAAAAGGAGTCGCCGGTACTCAATGCCAATGGTGATGAGGATGACCCCGGAACCGATGGATGCTAAAGTTTTTTATTTTTAGAGACTGAGGTGATATCCCTCCTCTTTTTTTATCCAGAAAAAAATAATTGATGGTACTCAAACCTACACCAAACTTAGTAGAATTGGGAATTTTACGCGGCTAGTAATTTGAATTTTTATGCTTGTTTAGAAGATTTGTTAGGCTGAAATTTCCTTTTTATTTTGGTTTTCCTAATGTGGTTGTTGGGTTATGTATTTTGATTAGCTAAAAGAATTTGAACAACTGAAATCATATCGTAGTCACCGCTGGCTTCGTCCCCATCTCATGATTTGTTTCAACGTCAGCAACCTCCATTCCATGCACCATATTTTTCACATATGCCTCCACTTTGGTATGTACTCCCCTTGGGATTATATGAGATTGATTTAGAATTTTAAAGCACCCTCACAATCCAAAGAATAGTAATGTGGGTCACTCTTTCTATTTTGTTTACAATGAATTGTTCTTTGCATGATGTAGATGAATATGGCCGAAGAGCTACGACACATGGGATTTGATGGTGACAAGTTAGGTGCTTCAAGTTAATTCAAGTTAAAATTGATTCTTCATGTCACTTATTGGGATAGGCTTTGATTTTGTCTATTTTTCTCCTTTTTTACCTTTGGATTGTATAGGAAAGAATTTATTTTTCTTCCATGATAAAATGATAAGATGGCAGAATTTGCTGCAGTTATAAAGCAGCAAAAGGCATATATATTTGCTCATAATTGGCTTGGGTTTGCTCGTCGTCCAAATGCTTTTGTATAGCTTGAGCTAGTATTTGTTGTTTGCTTGTTCCTTGGTTTTTTGTAGTGACTTGTATTATGTCTTTTGATGTCTTTTGATGCTTCTTTGTAGCATAGCTGCAACAGTACGAGAACTTCAGCAAGAAGATGTTGGGTATAACTCCAGCAGTACCAGAGCTAGCTCCAACCAAGTAACGAAGAGTTACTTTGTGGAAGCAGGGTACAAATGAAACATGTCCTCTTATGTTTAGTTGGATTGGAATCTAGATATTATTTTTTCCCCAGTGTGATTATGTGCAACAAGTAGTGGAGAAATTTTATGTGACTGTTAGGTTGGTCATATGACCCAAGCAAAGGGTGGTTTGACGAAATCGAAGAGGCTATCCGAAGGATCTTTAAGAAGAGTAGTTTGCAAGCTAAGGAGTTGATGAAGAGAATGGAATCACTACTTGACTCTAAGGGACTAGAGTGTCCTGAATTTACAACAGACTAGAGTCTTTTGTATCTAAGGATTTGTTTACAACAAGTATGCATAAGTTGTATGTAGTGCAGTTTATAGTTGGTGACAGATTGTGAAAAGAGTCTTATTGATCGTATTTATGAAATAAAACCTATTGATTATTATCATCACTTAAGTTTCCTGATTAGTTGTTACGTACACCCTAACATTTGGGTTCCGGTTCGGTCAAAATAATGAACGGTTTGATCGACTGTTCTAATTAATAGCATATGAATTTCATGACAATTCTAATTAAAGAGCATTAGGATGGACCCGGGCCCCAGAAACCGGCCTTCTATTTTGCAATTCGTGCCTCTTTGCATGAGGGAGGTCAGATGAAATCCATTTTAGCATGAGGTCTAGCATATTCCCGCCGCAAACCGAGTCAATCAGCTGCTTGTCTTCTGTGAAGAGTGCATGGTAGAATGTGCCCACCTTGAAGGTGTCAGTAAAACCATGGTTGGGACACTTTAGGAAAAGACTAGTGTATCTTTCCCAAGCATCCCGAATGGTTTCATTTTTATCCTGGGCAAAGTGGGTGATTTGCTTTTGCAGGTCCGTCGTCTTCGACGGATGATGATAGCGGGTGAGGAACTTGTCCGTCAGGTTGGCGAACGTGGTGATCGATCCCGGAGGCCGAGTGTCCAGCCACTCCTTTAAAAGTTATTGGCTGGAACTTGATGGTTCTGAATGGGCGACCTCATGTCTGCGGCTCTGGCGGTCTAGTAGTACCCATGGTGTGCTTATCGGGGACAACTGCGACATCGTTTGGATCCCCCCATGTCTTCCTCCTGGTTGATGTGCAGCTGCTCCAAAGCTTCCTCCGCAGCCATTCGTGCCTTCAAAGCTTGCTTGACGTTCTTACAAGTCCGTTCGAGCTCTTGGTCTAACGAAAATAGATCTCCCGACTGGCTACGGGTCATGCGCTACCTGCACACAGACCGCAAACACAACCCGTAAGGGCACACAGGTGGAAGAGAGAGAAATGCAGTAAAGAAAATGCTAAAGTAATAGACGTGCACGTTTCTACAATAACCTAGGTCCCCGGCAACGACGCCAAAAACTTGACACGCTACGACACAATACCAAACTGCGACCAAGTGTAATCGCAGAATGGAAATACAGAATAGTGGCAAGTTAACTTTATCAACCCGGGGGCCTAGATATACTGCCTACTCCGTGATTACCTATTATCTAGCGGGACTAAGTTTAGTAGAGTGATTGAAATGAATAGCAGTAAGAAATCAAGAAACTGTTCGAAGTTCTTAAGCAAGGGAAGAGTCACTCGGGAATGAGTCCTCCTATCTCCTTAGTTAGGTCAAAGTTGTAACTACCTTTGGTTGATTTATTGTTGATTAAACTGCTAAAAATCCAACAGTAGCTTGGAATCTCTTAAGCTGACCAAGCCCTCTCAGACATACTACCCGGCAGACGACTAGTCTTCACTGTGATAGAACGCCGAGGCAATAAACACAGAACTCCACTACTAAAATTGGATTCTAGTATAAAGCAGTGAATCGATTAACTCTCGTATAACCAATTCACTACAACCGATTGAGGAGACTCTAACAACCTAATCAAATTCTATCTATCTCAGGTTGCAGCAAAAATCAAGAAAAGTTGATCGGGCTTTAATTGACTCAATAAAACATGCCTCAATCGATTATAACCAAGCAGTATAGCATCCAAACGTCATTACAACAATGATCCCTAACACATGGAACTAGGGTTATTCATACCCAAGTGAGAGAAAATTCTACTCCATATATATAGAGAGAGAGGAAAACAGAATACAAAGAAGTCATACTCATAACAATGGGGAGAATCTGCTCTGTGATGTCAATCTTCACTCCTGGGGATGGAATCTGTGCTTCAATGGTGAGAAATCCACTCTAAATAGCTCCTAGGGTTTGTTCTTCGCACTTTCTCTCTCTAAAACTCTGTTTTTTTCTCCAAAAAGTCGAATCCCCTTCGTTTGGCTCAAATCTGCCTCTTTCAACTCGATTCTGGGCGAAATACAGGCATAAATACGATCGTAATTCTTCCATGTCCGTATTTTGCCCAAAACGCGCGTTTTGGTTAAGTCTCGGCGCATCCAAGGCTCCTCCCGGCAGTGAAATTATAGGCTAGACACTGAGAAATACGATCGTATTTTTGGGAATACTGACTTTATTTTGTACCTGAGCCATCACTAGGCTCGACATAAGAAATACTGGCAGTAATTTGTGAATTACGGTCGTAATTTAGGGAATACAAGCAGTAATTTGTGAACTACGACCGTATTTTTAGGGAGTCTGCCCGTATTTCATTCTCAGCTCCACTTTTGAGAGGCTTTTGAGTGACCAAATGACCTCCGATTGACCCGAAACTTACTTAAACCCTTGACCGGAAATATGACAAAATAACACAACCTAGCGTAAAATAGGCCAAGACACCACAAATTCGAGCCAAAACGGTTAAGAAACAAGGATGCAAACATGTGCAAATACGACGCTATCATCTAGTCAAGGCTTTTAGTAAGCAGTAGCATTAGAGACTGCTTAGTTATTACATTTTATGATTATGAGTATAGACTTGAGATTCGGATTAAGATTTTATTTTAGAGGTTTGCCCAAGTGTTAGGGCTTTGTTTTAAGAAATTAAACTTTATTCTTAGTATTTGTGAAGTTATTTATGAAAGGGTATTTGTTTTCAGTTCTTATTTGTTTCATGATTTATAAAGGGTATTTTGATAAAAGTAGTACCCGGCCGGGTTAGGGTGTTACATTAGTAAGGACCAATGATCACAGGTCCTTGGGACCTTGAAACAAAACCATGTGACAAGTAATCCAATAAGTTACGGGAAATCACGTAACTTTTTAATAATGTAGTCACGGTAATGTTCCCGTGTTTAAATAATAGTCACGGGAATTACCATGACAAAATAGATCTTCGGTCATGGGGTTCTCCCGTTATTGTATTTTTTCTGTCGCGTGATTTTGATGCAACCCGGATCGCCTCACAAGACATCCATCGAGTTAGAAGAGCTTACAACAATCGTACCCCGAAGATGAAGGCTTTAAAGGCTCGAGATGGCAAGAGAAGAGTCCAATTTTTGAAGGGATGCTCGACGAAATAGTGGAGTTGTCCAAGGGACGAGAAGTGGTGATCATTGGTGTTGGAGCTGTGTCAGACCAAATACCCGACCATGTCTCATGGTCGTGACTTCTGCCCGTGAGACCAGTGAAGCGGGCGTTTAGAAGACAGTTAATCTCACGACCTCATCTAACGACCGTGAGATCGGGACTGGTTTTGCTGCACGACCAATTTTTTATTTCCTTTGCGGATTATGTGACTTTTACTCCAAAACTTGGGTTTCCTTGTTATTTTTTGCCCAAAAACTTTGTAGCCTATATAAGGGGTTGAACTAAGTCTTTTAGGGATAATCAACAATTTTATTCAGAAATAAAAGCCCTAGAATTGGTTGTTCAAACACCAACTTCTCTTTTGCTGCGCGTCCTGGAAGCCCAAGATTGTGGCTACGAATTCAAGGGATCATGGCTCGAACTTTGCATCGAAACAACCAAGGAGAAACAAATGGTTTCCTCAGTTGGATCACGCCCACAATGCAACTTGACCGCAAAGAAGATCACAGCTGCGACTCGTGGATCGCGACCGTGAAGTTCATCCGCGATCTCCTCATCCCCGAAGACCAAAACGGCAGTGTCACAAGATTGCGGCGTCCATGAAGAAGATCGCGGCCGCGATCTCGACCTTGTCTACCCACGAATTTCTCTATCCTCTAATGCCTATAAATAGAAGACCCCTTTCCCCCCATTTAGAGGAGCTATTTTGAGATAGAATTTCTGGGTTTAGAGAGAGAGAGAAGAGAGTGAAGCTGAAGGAAGGAGGAGAGGAGAAGAAGGAGCTACCTTCCTCAATATCAAGTCTTCTTCCACCTCTTCTATGTATCTTCTTCCCTCCTTTATGGAGTAGTCGTCTAAGGTACTAGGGATTCTAAAGCCCAAATCCTAGTTTTAGGTTTATTATGGATGTATGGATATTTTAGAATTTTAATGATTGAATGTGTTTATCTAGTTGAATTGAATGTTATTCTATCTTTGATTGTGTTTGGGTAAGTCGCCCTAATCTTCTCTACTAGCCTACTTGAGCTTCTACGCTGGGTTTGGAGTTTTAGGGTTAGACGGGTATGCGCCATAAAAATCTGTTTTTAAATGTACAGTAAAAATTAGATTACTGATAATTTTGTAAACAAAAAAGATACACACCTAATTACAATCTTGTAAAATAATAATTTCTATATATTATATCAAAATCACCCTACTAGCTACGCACCCTCTCTCCAACGCTGCCGCCTCCATCCCTAGCGACCCTCTCCCTTCCTGCTGTCGCTCCTACCTGTCGTCGCCTACCAAAATTCCTCCCCGACCTCCTCTCTCTCTCTCTCTCTCTCTCTCTCTCTCTCTCTCTCTCTCTCTCTCTCTCTCTCTCTCCACTTCCTTCCCCGCAGGCCCGCACACCTCCCCTCCTAGGCTCCCACCGCCACATCCCCTTCTCCCTCTATCTCCACCTCTCTCCCCACACACCCCCCCTTCTCTATCTCGCTCTCTCTTAAAGAAGAACTATCATCTCGGTCGAATTTCAGATCTGGATTTTTCATATATTTTGTATATTTGTATTGATTTTTTTTTGTAGTGGTATTATTTTTTCGCATCGGTATTGATTATGTAATATTATTGCTTTTTGGTATTGATATTATTCTATTGGTAGTGATCTTCATATATTGGTATTAGTTAAATCTCTAATGGTATTGGTTAATAAGTGGTATATGTTGTGGTAGTGGTAGTGTTTTTATGTTTGATATTGATTTCTTGCTTTATTTTTGCAGTGGTATTAGTTCGGACGAATAGAGACAAGAAAACGATTGACAAAAAAAAGGAAGAGAGATCTGGCTAGAGATTACGGAATGAGAGAAAGAGAAAATTTTAATTATTATTTTCTTGTAACTATCTAAAATTATATTTATTAAAAAGTTAATTAATAAATATTTTTTATACCCAATTTGCCTTAGTAATGATGATGGTTACTTTTTTTTAGTAATCACCGTAACCGCTCCCAGGTTTTGAGGACCACCCATTGATTATTTTAATGATAATAATGATATAATAATTATAGTTATTATTATTATTGTTAGTATTCATAATCCACGGTTGTCACCCTTCGTACCGTCAATCCAACAGTTCTTTTATTAGGGTCAAACTTGAACCCAAATATCGGGGTGTTACAGTGCCAGTTATTGTCCACATAAGCGGCACCTGTTTTATAATTTTTATTTAAAATTGTACATTTAAAATTTTTTGCATCGTCTTAATCATCAATGTCTTCGACACTATTGTATTTCCCATCCCTTCCACATTGTTGTTACAACCGACTCCAATCCCAACTCCTCCACCGCTGTCTACGGTTTCACCACTCCTCCTAACCATTCATGGGTTAGAATTGTCCCATTTCAAATTTCGTGACCCGGGGTAATTTTAGGAAGGTCATTTTTGTCATTGCACCCAATTCATCTTTATATAATAAAAATGTCATTATTGGGATTTGAACCCTAATCACTTAAATAAAGATAAAACATTACATTATATTTACTATTATTTGTCTTATTAAACTAAAAAATATTTTTGATGATAAGTATACATGGGCATCGGACCGGACTGCCCACGGATTAGCACGGCACGACACGAGTACGAACAAAAAATAACTTCTCAATTAAAGCTAACATATACGTATATATACACACACATATATATACACACACATACATATACATATATATACACACATACATATATATATATATATATATATATATATATATATATATATTTATATATACCCGCCATGTTTAATTAATGATAATATCACGTTAGAGATGTTATTGTATAATAACACCAAGCAAAAATATATTTTCTTATAAATGAGCAAAAATAATTAAAGAAAACTGGATAGGTATTATACCTTTGTTTATAGCAAATATGTTCTAGAGTCTGTTGATTTTATCAAATATGTATAGAAAAATAATGTTAATACATATGTATGTGTAAAGGTGAGAGGGTTCAAGTTGGTTAGTAACAAAATCATATCCACTCATTATCGTAATATTCAAATTTTAATTTTATCCATATCAATTGAATATTTTTCAAGTTTGAGTTTCACTCTACCCGGTTGATCGGATTTCTGCGGGTATTAACAGTTGTGGATATTTTTATGCCAAATCGAGAATTTGATGTATTTTGAAAATAATCAGGTTTGTTATGGAGAAGAGATAAGCGGGGGAGATTAAATTAATTTTATTATATATTGGTTATGTAGAGAGATTGGGAAGGAATATGGAGAAATGATCCTTTAATTATGATAATCTATTCATTTTAAATTATGTAACTATCTGTCCAAACGTCACATGCAAAAGTAGTAATTAATATTTAACTACCACAAAAAATTGAGAATTTAATATTTAATCATTTTTAAAATTTATGTAATCTTTTTACTAAAAAGTAAGTTTAACCTCCTACACAAATTTGTTTTCACCTAATTTGAGAATTATTGTTAATTTAAATTGATTAAATTGCAAAATATTACACGAGTTTGTACCAAAAAAAGTCAATGATATGATGTTTTGTGTTGAAACTGTTGTTCAACCGTTTTGTACTACTAAAATTGTCTATATGGCTGAGCTCCGATAGGCTTTTTATGCCAGATCGTCGATATGGTATAATTATATAAATACTAATTAAATTTAAAAATATGGTAATCAGACCACCAAACTTTCATATAAAGTAAATCATTACTGAACAAAGTTTTTGTTTTCAGATTTCATTTTCAAAAGTCTAAAAAATTCTCAGCTAATCTTGGTTTTTCCATGAAATGGTAGTTTTCTTTCGTTCGTATTTTGTTTTACATTGTGGAGGAAATAAAACATAATTGTTACTAAGTTTCGTCATTTCCTTTCTCTTGACCCACAAATATATTCCTTTCGCCTTCACTTTCCCGGTGACATCTTTCCCTTCTTCACAATCTACCAGAGTCTTTATGTTATGCACTTCCTTTTGTCGTTCGGTCAAAATTGTCTTTCCTACTCCTAGATCCATTCGTCTTTGTAGGTGAGATTAATTGCAAAAGCATGCGTATTTTCTTTTTAAATTGAATCTTGGGGGTTAGGCAAGTAAAAAATAAAATTGGAGATGAAACTTTGGTACTTGGAAGAGTCTAACTTCGTTACCTGTTGTGGGAAGGATTGCAACAATTTTGTTGAATATGTTATCAAACTTTTCTCTTGGTGCGAGATTTTAAATATATCTCTTTCAGTTATCATGGAATCATAAGATCTTGGAGATAATTAGTTTTCAATTTATTGAAGTACTTGATTTATGTCGCTTATCTCTTTTGTGCATATTAAGTGAATATGGAACTTAAGAGACAAAATATTAACTTTGGGGCTAGCAATTTAGGTCATTCATTTGTGGCTATCAATCCCCAACGAGCCTTTTCAAATCATACAATTTCATATCTATAACCTATATCGTGATCAACAAGGATGATAAATACTAGGAAACATTTTCATCGATATGTTGTACTATCTCAAAGATCTAATATAAATGTTTTATTTGTAAACATTTATATCGCTATCAGTTGCATATCTTTGTTATTTACACGCATTATAATTGGTTACAATACATATAAAATGCATAATAATCGTTGCTAATTACACACATTATAAGTGGTAACTACACATATAAGATACATAATGATCTTTGTCATTTACACACATTATAAGTGGTAACAACACATACAAAATAGATAATAATCAAACTCCCCAGCCAACAGGCCGAGCCCGGTGCTAGAGATTCTCATATTGGTGAGTATGAAGAGATAGGATTAAAAGGAATCACTGGAGAACCCGGGGAAGATGAAGCATAATTGAGAATCTAAGATAAGATTAGAACCAGAAATAAGTCGATTGGTTGTTGAAGGACGGATACAGCCTTCGACTTTGGTTCCACTTCCCGATCATTCAAACTGGTGGCTCAATATTCGCCCATTCTTCTGTGGGCTGGAAATCAATTAAACAGTTGGATTGGTGGCCCAAATATTTATTTCCTGTTACTGTTTTTACGTTCATCTCATATAACATTTTTTCAAGCTATTATGAATATTATTGCTTATTATTACTGTTTGTAAAATCACGAATCAATTCTCTTAATTAATATTCATAATAACATTAATTCCCTCAATCCGCATGGATAGTTTAATTTGAACTTCTCCCATAAACACTTTCATACAACAATTTTTAGATAAAACTTTCGTAGTATTAGTAAACATATTTTTAGGGATAAACTTTTGTACAAACAAGATTTTATTACAAAAGTTACGAAAACAAATGAACTATTATCAATTGGGTTTATATTTCAAATTTTACCAAATAAGAAGATTGTGTGTAATTTACCCCGTCACCGACGCGGGCCTGGTGCTCGTTGAGATTTTTTTTTTTTGACAACTGGTGCTAGTTGAGATGGAGTTGGATATTTGGGGAAGAAGTTGAGAGATGAACTGAAATAGAAAATTTGGGGAGAAGTAGAGAGGCGAAATTGGGGATTTTGGTGAGATACGTTCGTTTTCATTGGGAAATTAGTAGTGGTTTGGGCAATGTTGAGCCGGCACCGGGAGCATGACGTTAAGCTCGGCGATGGCTAATTTGCAACCCGCCAGTTTTATCCCATTTTCTTAATTTAAAATTTTTCTTTTTAAATTTCATGTCAATAGCCATATCATTGCAGATTTATTTTCTATTAAATGTTGGTATACAATTGTAATATCGAAAGTTTCGTAATACACATGGAAAAGTCACTAAAGGTTGGTATTTTTAATGGTATTAGACCTTTTGTTTATTGAAAGTTCAAAATATAAAGAGTAATGTCTATTTTTTATCCAATCTTTTTCCAGATTCTTTTATATTATCCAAACCTATTAAAATGCTATTAATTAGCCAAAATTTTCATAGTGCATCAAAATATTATCCATTTTTACGTTATCGTTAATGATTTTGTAGCTCTTTCTTAGTTAAAATACTAAAATTTTGGAATGTTAACCTTCAAGTGTCTCTTCCAAGTCAGTATCATGTTGCCAAGTCAAAATTACTAACAAAATTACTAACTAAAAGTTTTGGTTAATAAATAGTCATTACCCAAATATAAATGACAATTTTGCTAAAATTTTATATTTTTAATAGTATTATCCCTTGAATTCTCACAGCTATATCACTTTTGTTTTATTTTGTAATAAAAAAATTCCCAAAAAAAAAATAATGATGTTCTTCAAAATGAAATCCACTTTGATATATTTTGAATAAAAAAATTGAGGCATATATTATCAATTTATACAGTAGTGGTAATGATAGGTAGTACATATGATTATATCATGATGATATGGAAGTGTACCATGGTGCCATGAATATGTCATAGTGTAGAATGATATATATATGATAAGAGGAATATACTAATCATCATTTATCACATTTAATCACCGTCTACAACTAGTTACCATCTTATACTAGGGTGGTATATTGTGGTTTATTGTGTCCTGAGATTCCTCCCTGAAATTTGTAAAACATAATATATCATGATGAACTCGTTCATTTCGTGATTTTTTTCCTCAAAAGTTTAGTAAAAGCGAAGGTTGTGTAGAGTGGTACCAAGTTGGCAACAAGTGGTAATGGGTGGTACGTAAATCTTTTTCCTCAAAATATATTAAAAGTGAATATAATTTTGTAGATCACACCAAAACGATTCCATCTTTAAAAAAAATCCATTTAAAACAAATAAGAGACAATATGATTAAAAAAGTAAGGAAAATTACAAATCTTTTAATCTCATCCCTTAAATCTGACCACTCTTAAAATTAAGGGTTAATATCTTATTCTTACCCGAAATTTACCTATGTAATCAGGCTCATGGTTTCAAATTGCTATCCTAGCCTCAACTATCTACCATATAGACTCAATTGTCTGGACGTGTGGTTTGACCGTCAATTTGGATGGTTAATGGTCAACAATCCAGCTCATGTCATGTCAGCACCAAAGTAATAAAAATTTAAATTACTAAAAAAAGCATACTAAAAATTCACATTAAAATTTCAAACTAAAAAAAAAATTGTTTGTGGTCAATAGTTAACCAATAAATTTGGTACCTAAAATTTATTTTTAGACGAAAAAATATCATTGAAAATTATATTTTGATACCTATCAATGCATCAATCCACCAATCCACTTAATACAATCCATAAATCCACCAACCTATAACCTATTTGATCCAATTCACTTAATTCATAGATACTTCAATCCAATCCACCCATTCATTTGTGCGCGCTACCTATAATTGTTACTAGTGTTGTATCCAGCCCGTTGGCCGGTTTGTGGTCATTTGGGTATTTTTTTTTAGTTAAACGTAGGTGGTTCGTTTTTTTAGTATTGTGCACTGGTGGTACAAAAGAGTACTTTGATAGTTTATGTTTTTTAGTGCCCGTTAAATTTATAATTTTATTGAATTTGTATTTCATTTTATACTTAACTATAAGAAATTTAAGTTAGACAACGAATGAAATGAAAAACTATCTGGAATCTATATTCATGCCTTGAGATATTAAACATCACTGAATCAAAAAAAAATCAACAAAATTTTTTATCTTCGTTATATGTGAATAATTACCTTGGAAATGAAGCTTTTAAATTTTATTAATATTTTAATTTAAATATAGTTGATTGTCATCTATTGAATTAAAAAGTAAATAATGTACATAATATTACTATAGATGTATTACATTTAAATAGTTTAAAGATATAAAAATGCGAGGAGAAAAAAATGTGATACGGAAATAGATTATTTGGACAATTATGTAAAGAAAATCCAAAAATATTAGTATAGATGTATTAAAGTTATATTTTTGAAAGAGACAAAAATGAAAATATTAGCAAAAGAATATTTTGACTTGAAATGACCCTTTTAAGTTATTCAATCATTTGAACTTTAGTTATCATAATTCAAACTTAACCTTTAACAATATGGCCATATTTTTAAATATTTTATTGACTATGTCCTATATTTTCAAAAGCGGAGCGGTTGTCGGATGAAAAATTTCAATGACTCATGATTAATGGTTTATCATTATACAACTATTTTTTAATCGTTAATGGAACTATTCAGATGTAAATAACAACGTAGTTAGGTTGAAGAAACATTTAAGTTATTCCATTGGACCATATTTTACGTTTAATAATTTTTTAATAAAAACTATCTCGACTTTAAGCAATTACATAGAGTAAAAGAATTGATTTTTTTTGTTTGATCTAATTCGACACAAATATCGAGTCGGTACGATATGGATCGAATTATTGTTTAACCTACGACTAAACATGTGATCTTACCTTTCAAAATTTAATGTAAAAATTAGACATGCTAATTTGAAAATTAAAAGAATTTAAAACAATATAAATTGATTGTATTTTGCCAAGATTTCCCGTCTTTCTTCCTCTTCATGTTTGCCGAAATCACTGTGAAATTAAGATTCTAAAACTTTTGAAGGTTGATGCTTGGTTTATCTGTTTACCGTAAAACCCTAATGCAAAAAAACCTATTCCGAAGGAACCTCTTCCCAAACATCCACGCCACAACGATATATCATCTTTATCATCTCAAAATCCAATTCGCAAGCATTATCTCATTTAGTAGTTAAACAACTTTAGATAGCCTCTGTTTTTTCCTTAACCACGCAAAATAAATCTACAAAGAACAAAATTCAAATAATTATTATGTAGCATTTACCTTAAAACAAATCTTCTTTTTCCTTAATCCTAATCGCATTTACTAAAAAGAAAATCAAAAGTCTAATAATAATGAGTGACCCTTGAGTGTTTGAAAAATTGTCAAAGTTGCCCTTCCACCAAATAAGGAGAACCAATCAAAGAGGAAGTTGGCAACAATGACATAGAGTGAAGTGCATAATATATTGTGTAGATTCTAATACTAAACATAATTGACGATGCTGTCCGTTTAGGGTTATCCAATTTGTGGGTGTAGTTAACCGGTGCGGGCAGTTATACTTCCACGGTTCCACCCATACTTGTGTGCTCTGTTCTGTCCGTCAAATCCAACAAACGAAATAAAGAAATGTAGGGGACAGGTACAGCGCGGAAGGCAAGGACGGAAGGCGGAAGGCAAGGAAGGAAGGATGATTTCCTCCTCGTTCACAGCGGGAGGAGTTGGTGTTGGACTACGAACCCATGATTCTCCCCCCGTTACATATATCAAACCCCTCCTGACTCCGCCAATATTGGATCATCGCTGTAATAATAATAAAAAATCCAAATTCAGATCATCGACGAGAAGATCAGTCAAAGCCCCCCAAACCCAGGCATTCCTCCTCGTTCCTCATCCTTTCTCTCAATCAGAACACACAGCTGCTGCTTCCTCTTCTTCGGTTCTTGGGATGGCCAATTGCAGCCTCAACACGACCACTAATCACCTTCGGCATGTTGAGTCAATGGCAGTCCTGCCGTCCGGCGCAGGTAAGATTCCTCGTCTCAACGCCGTCATTTTGGGTGAAGCTCTTGCTTCCGAAGAGGACGATCTTGTCTTCCCCAGCGATGACTTCGCCCGCCAGGCCTTGCTTCCCTCCGCGCAAAAGGTTTCACTCTTCATTTTTCCTCTTTCCATTCACCCTCTATTCTAATCACTCCGTTGACTTAAAGCTTCATTTCGTCTTTGTTCAGTACTTGGAAATGTATAAAAGGTCCGTGGAAGATCCTGCTGGATTTTGGTCTGATATTGCTTCCCAGTTCCTCTGGAAAAGCAAGTGGGGAGATACTGTTTGCTCGGAGAACTTCGACATACGCAACGGCAATGTCTACGTGCAGGTTACCTTTCAGTTCTCCATATTATCATTCATCTATCCACATCACCCCCTTTCGAATGTGTTTGGAATACCTGACCGCGAAGTTTTATCATACGAGAAATCATTTAAATGTCGTACTAGTTCACAAATTTTCGTGTAGTGGTTTAAAGGTGGGATCACCAACATTTGCTACAACTGCCTGGATAGAAATGTAGATTCTGGAAACGGTGATAAGATTGCTTTTCACTGGGAAGGCAATGAGCGGGGTTTCCATGATTCTCTAACCTACACCCAGCTTCTTAGCCAAGTTTGCCAGGTCTTTCTTACTTTCTCCTTCCTCTAGTCTTAGACTTGGATTGTCAATATAAGCTGGAGTTGAATTTCAGATGACTTTTTCTTTCTGTTCTCCAAATTCACATGTTCCACTTGAACCTTCTCTTTTGTAGGTTGCCAATTACTTGAGAGATATAGGTGTTAAAAAGGGTGATGCAGTAGTAATTTACCTACCAATGCTTATGGAACTTCCTATTGCTATGCTTGCATGCGCTCGCATCGGAGCTGTTCACTCGGTAGTGCTGCCCCAGTTTTTCCCTTTCACCTTAGATTCAGTTCTCCCAGCTGATGTCTCTTACCCTTAATGTACATTAGGTCGTATTTGCAGGGTTCTCTGCAGATTCTCTTGCTCAGAGGATCATGGACTGCAAACCGAAAGTTGTTTTAACCTGCAATGCGGTCAAGAGAGGTTCCAAGGTCATCCATCTCAAAGACATAGTTGATGCTGCACTTAGTGAATCTGCTAAAAATGGCATCTCAGTTGGTATGTCACGTCTATCACAATGATCTAGAGTAGAGTACATGACAATAAGAATTTTCTTTTACTTCCTTCGGTGGAAAATTGTTTCTCTCATTTTCATTCTCAACTTGCATATCTGATTGCCAGTTCTAATCCGAAATCTTGTTTCCTAATATGAGTGGTTTATGACAAACCTGCTATGAATAAGGCAAAGTAGAGTAAAGTTCGACTATGGTGGGGCGTTGTTGGGTCAATATGCTGTTTGAGAAGCCTTATATATATGGAAAAAGAATGGCTCATGATTTCAATTTTCCGAACTTAAAGTTTGGTTCCATTACTGAGTTTTCTCTCTTTCTTTTTCATTGTGAAGATGCTTGCTTAACTTATGAAAATCGGTCTGCCATGATGAGGGAAACCACAAAATGGCAGGATGGGAGAGACATATGGTGGCAAGTAAGTAGATGACATCTTCTCCAGCATATTAGTTTCCACTCCAAAGGCATACAAGAGACCATACGTGCTATGTGAAAATGCTGATAGCTTGTTTTCTTAAACATGTTTCACATGGATCTCCTCGATATCATGCATAATTTTATTGTCTCCTATTTGGCCATAGGGTTGGGCAGTCTGCGTACGTCATATTGCTTATTCATTCGGAATTTTGACAAAAAAAAAAAAAACACTTGTCTCTAAGTATGTCGTTCCAACATGCTCAATCATATGTAAAACATATTAGCTTCCACCCCAAAGGCATACAAGAGACCATAAGTGCTATGGGAAAATGCAGATAGCTTGTTTTCTTAAACATGTTTTACATGGGTCTCCATGATATCATGTATAATTTTATTGTCTTCTATTTGGCCATAGTATGGTTGGACAGTCTGCTGTACTTCATATTGCTTATTCATTCAGAATTTTGACACACAAAAAAAAAAAAAAAAACCCTTGTCTCTAAGGATGTCGTTCCAACATACTCAACCATTTGTGAGGTGGAATGGGTTGATGCAGAAGATCCCCTTTTCCTGCTGTACACTAGTGGTAGCACTGGTAAACCAAAGGTATCTAAACTCTGTATTTAATTTTAAGCTAATGGAGTTGTTTCTTTCTTTCTTTGCCAATTTTCTAACTAGGAGCTGTCCTCAGGGTGTTCTCCATACAACTGGAGGATATATGGTTTACACTGCTACGACTTTCAAGTATGCGTTTGATTATAAACCTTCTGACATCTACTGGTAATCACAGCTTCTGCAACCTTCTTGGAGCTTCTTTGCCCTTTCCAAAGTAATCATGGCTTCCATACAATACGAGGTGGAAATATTAGTCAGGGCTTTCTCTTAATGATAGGTGCACAGCTGATTGTGGATGGATCACTGGCCACAGCTATGTGACTTACGGACCTTTGCTCAATGGCGCTACAGTTGTCATTTATGAAGGGGTAATTCTGGAATTTGTTTGTCCGATTACTTTTTAAGACAAAACTAATCATAGACTACTTACGTAGCTTCAGTCTTCTTAGTCATTGCCTTCCTCTGTAGCATGATTACTTGCCAGATGTGTTATCTGTGGTGATTATTTCATTTGTGTTAAGTTCTGTTCAATGGACCTAGATCTGTGGTAGCATAAGTACTTTTGCCTGCAGGCACCAAATTATCCTGATCCAGGTCGCTGCTGGGATATTGTTGACAAATTCAAAGTGACAATATTCTACACTGCCCCCACATTGGTACGGTCCCTCATGCGTGATGGCGATGCGGTAAGACACTGTTGTAGGGTACATGTAGAGGCATCTTAACTTCTAATGTCGTCCGGAATATGATTACAGTTTCAGCTCCTTTTCTCTAAGTAGGGTTATAAATGCATTTGGAGTCTGAGAGTATAAACGAACTGCATGTTACTTAACTGATTATGAACCAACGTATCTCATGTACTATAAACAATTAAACATTCATTAAAAACTTCTGTTGGTTATCTTTTATAATTATGATCTTCAAGGATCGGTACTGCCCAGGGTTGAAGAAGCTAGTACCATCAGAGCAAACATCATTGAATAGCAAATTGATGCAAACTATTATGTGTATGCAGTATGTGACTCGCTATTCCCGCAAGTCCTTACGAGTGCTTGGCAGTGTAGGCGAGCCTATCAATCCAAGTGCATGGAGGTTTTTTCTTTTCTGGAATCACGATCACTCTCTCTCTCTCTCTCTCTCTCTCTCTCTCTCTCTCTCTCTCTCACTCACTCACTCTCAATACATTGTTTGTTGCAGGTGGTTTTTTAATGTAGTAGGAGATTCGAGGTGCCCGATATCCGACACTTGGTGGCAGACTGAAACCGGTGGCTTCATGGTACTATAGATGAATTTATTCAACACTTTATATTTCTGTGGTTCTTTTCTTGTTACAGTTCATTCACATTATATTGCATACCTGTCAGATTGCTCCTTTACCGGGTGCCTGGCCTCAGAAGCCTGGTTCTGCTACTTTCCCTTTCTTTGGTGTTCAGGTACTTTGATTCTATCTGAGCTCTCTTAATTCTGTTTCCTGATTTGGTTGATTGTTGATTGGCTAACTCTCATTCGTTCATCTTTGGCTGGTGCACCTTCAGCCTGTAATAGTGGATGAAAAGGGTGTTGAGATAGAAGGAGAGTGTAGTGGGTATCTCTGCGTGAAAAGCTCATGGCCAGGGACGTTTCGAACTCTTTACGGGGATCATGAAAGATACGAAACCACGTACTTCAAGCCATTCCCTGGTTATTATTTTAGCGGTGATGGCTGCAGCAGGTATGGGTTATAACATCAAATTGTAATTCTCTCATCTTCATTTATTATCTTAATGTCACCCATGAATGGAAAGCTCTGGTTCCCCAGCATTTGGCGGGGGAACTAGGGCTGAATGATTGACAATTAGGTCTTGTGCGCCAGGGACAAAGATGGGTACTACTGGCTTACTGGAAGAGTTGATGATGTCATCAATGTCAGGTGAGATCAAATATTCGAATGTCAAAAGCCTTTTCCCATCTTGTCTATTCTTATTTGATATCTCAAATTAAGGTTCCTATAAAATACTGGTGAGAAAAATGAACAAGAAAAGGCCCAAAATGAAAAAAAAAAAAAAAAGATTATGGACGAACGAAATGTTCTGACTTCTGAGGTTATGTCTGTTTGGGCTACTGCACTTTTTCCTCTTTAATAGGCGATGATAAGAGATAAATCTTACTAAGACGGACATGGAGAACAGGTATCCACATTTAGTACCCTGCCAGACCAGCCATCCAGAAAATTACAGCATTTTGGCACTCTCTTTAGCAAGAAGCAGAACAAAAATTTAGATTAGAAATGCAAAGGACACCATCAATCACTTTCTTATGCTTTCCTATTCTTCCCTTTCGAGTGATGCTTTCTTGTTTTGCAGTGGGCATCGGATAGGGACAGCGGAAGTGGAATCTGCTCTTGTATCTCATCCCCAATGCGCGGAAGCTGCAGTGGTTGGTGTTGAGCATGAGGCATGTCTCATAAATCCAGCTTAGAATTAAATAAGAGGTCCTGATGGTATCTTATACTCCAAGGCAGTGAATCTGACAATTGACAAACCCTTCTGTTCATTGGCTAGCAGGTTAAGGGGCAGGGTATATATGCCTTTGTAACCCTTGTGGATGGCATTCCTTACAGTGAAGAACTCCGACGAAACCTTATAACTACTGTGCGGAATCAGGTCATACTCAAAACCAACAAACTCTTGAGTGATTTTATTGCAGGTTAAATAGAAGAAAACATTTACTTTTGTTACTTAGATTCATCTTCTCCTGCATGAAAGTTGAGCATTTCCATTCGTATTGCATACTGTATATATAGATAACCTAAAACCTGTAACAAAGACTAAAAGTGCAAACTTGATGAAAGAGCAAGTGGTTTCTCAAATTTGCTGAAGATAAAACTTTAAAGAATGCATCCTCAACTATATAGTTAGGTTTTATTTATTTGGAGCTTTGCCCTCGGGGCCTGTTATGTTTGAATACAGCCTGAAGTGGTGGATATGTTTCTCCCTTCCAGATAGGACCCTTTGCCGCACCAGATAGGATACACTGGGCTCCTGGCCTTCCGAAGACAAGAAGTGGTAAGATTATGAGGAGGATTCTGAGGAAAATTGCGTCCAGGCAATTGGATGAGCTTGGAGACACGAGTACTCTGGCCGATCCAGGAGTAGTTGATCAGCTCATAGCACTTGCTGATTGCTGATGTGCAAAACACAAAGAACCCGCTTTGAGTTAGTTGAGGGATTGATAATCTTGTAGTTGTGAGTGGTTTATTGTCGAGCCTGGGCACGGCTCTTTTGGATCAGTGACACCAGTGATGTAGAGTTCGGTCTCACACCCCAAGTTTGTGTTGGCTTAGTCGGGGATGATCCACATCACTTCAACGTTCAAACTCCATGTTGCCAAAACTGTTAAAATATCGACCGGCCACCTTGATTTCTTCTTGGCAGCTGAATGTTTCCCAGTAACAATAATGGTGGTGACACTTACAGGAAGATACATACGGGGATAGCTTGTACAATTTTCTTTACGTTTATGGCAAGGAGAATCTACTTGTGACAGGTCTGAGAGAATGGGACAAAAAACGATTGATTGGTTCCTTGCTCGGTTTGTCAGAAATTCTATCGCACCCAAACCAAACCAATGTCCAGCTAACATGATTCTGATGCGAAGCAAAGCTACTGGCACTTGAAACAATCTACAGATACTCCAATGTATAACACTTGCTTTAGAGAATGCACTGAAGGGACAGATGCAGCTACAATCAGAGGCCTACCTCGGAGGCTCGGACAGCAAAATATTGTAGGCTCATCATAATATTATTATGAGTTTAAAAACAGTGAAAAGGAACAAAAACCGCGTTTACTGTTCTGAGCACTCCTCGTGCCTCGTGGTACACAGCTTTCTGATTAAACTTATATCCACTGGTTGACATATTGCATATCGGTCTGAGCTCCTATCCTATTCCTGGCTATCTACCTCTATATCTGATCAACCAAGTTCGTCCAGGAAATGCATCACTTAATCGGAATCTGCTGTCCGCCAAATTGATCTTCTCCTCCAACTCTGAAGAACATTAAACTGTTACATTTCTTCCCTTGATACTCAAACTTAAGTGTTTCAGGAATGTACATCTAAAAGAGGATTCGTTCACCAACATGTACAATCCTTACAGCACGCTTACAGAGGTATGACATCTGGAAGTTCATATACCATATTACCATTAGCAACACGCCCCCACAAGCAGAGCAGAGAGAACATAACACACATGCAGAACAAGCTTATAAATCATAAGCAATAAAGTAAAGGAGAAGTAGACACTAACTCAAAGTTGTTGCAGCGCATGAAGTTAGTATTAAGAACAAGTACACGCCAAACAAGTTTCACCCCTTCACTCCACCTCACGCCACATAAAGGAAAAAGAAATTGTAGCTACCCTATCCAGAAGGTTAAAATTGAAATTACATGGGGGCACTCACCAGCAAGTGTAGTGTAGACATGCGTGCATACACCATTGTGAATTGTGGGGAGTTGGCAAAGACGAAAAGAGTTTACTTATGAATAGGTAAGTAGGCCGGATCAGGTCAGACCCTGAGAATCTGGAGCTTGGTAGAGAAGGCAATAGCAACCCAATCAGGCTGGGAAGTGGACCACTGCAGCTGCTCAATTTCGGCGCCCGCTGTATAAGCAAGAATGGGATCGAGTCCGCCCTCAACAGGCTGGCCCATGGAGGAGAGATCCCAAATCAAGGCCTGGGAATCGTCTCCAGCGGTGCAAATGTGGCAAGAGCTATGAGGTGCCCAGGCGATAGCGTTGACGCTGGCATGGTGCCGCTGCAACTCAACCACGGGTAGGGTAGGGAAGCGGATGTCGAGGACGACAACCTTGGCACTGTCCATGATGATGGTGGCCATGTACCTGGGGTCCTGTTTGTTCCATCCCAGGCGGACCAAGGGGGTATCAGGCTCAGAGCTCTCGTAGATAATGGTGGAGTGCTCCTTGTCCCGCAAATCGAAGACCCTGACGGAGCCATCCGCGGAGACGGAGGCGAAGACGCCGACGCCGCCCCAGGCGATGTCGTAGACCTCCTTATCGTGGGCGATGAGCTGGGTGTCGACTGTTTCGCGCTCTATGTCCCAGATGGTGCAGGTGGTGTCGATGCTGGAGGTGCCAATTCGCTTGGGCTCGGCCTCGTTCCAGTCAAAGGAGGTGAGAGGGCCGCAATACTCGCTGTTCTTGTTGCCGTTGAGGAGGCTCTTGAGCTCCACCCGGTCGTCGGAGATTCGCCAGACACGGAGGAAGTCGCTGGAGGTGGCCAGGAGGTCCGGCTTCTGGCAGTCCTTGTCAGGGATGAACATGGTCTTCGTCGGAGGGAAAGGGTGCTCGAAGGAGAGGTTTTGGTCGCAGCGGATCTCGCCGTTGGAATCGTCGAGCTGAACAATCTCAACGCGGTTCTGGTACTGCTCCATGAGGCTGGCTATGGCCAGCCGGTACTTCTTGTCGCGGCGGACGCTCCAGTTCATTGCGTAGATGTGCCAGGGAGCGTCATAGGTGTAGATCTCGGATCGCTTCTGCTGCTCATCGGAACCGCCGTCTTGATTAGGGTCGCTGCTTGCTCCCATTCCAATTCAATTCCGCCTGACCTACAACAAACAAATCCGGATTGCTTGCCTTGCTTGCCGCTATTTTGTTGACTAGGGATTTGGCTGGGAGCTTCTGTTTCGATGACGGGATACTTAACCTCACCCCAGTCCCCAGCGATATCTTTCTAGCTAGTAATTCCTCTTTATTTATTTTTGGACTATTTTGTATTTTCCTCCCCGGTTTTATCATCCTCTTCCCCTTCTCTTACTTTCCGGCCCCCGCCTGTCGTATGAAATTAGATTTCTCTTTCGATCGCCGCCAAGCAGGCAGACAACATTCAATCGCCGCCCCGCTCTGCTCTGCTTGGTAGCTATCAAAAATTGAGCGCACTGCCCAGTGGCAGACGGCAGACACATGATTTTTTTTTTTTTATGAATGCAGACACATGAATTTTGTTGTTATCTTCTAAGATTAGATTAGATATTATTAGTCAAAATTACAATAAAATGGGATTAATTCCTATGCATAACCTTATCATTAACCATTCATAATCCAATAACCATCATTCACATCTAAGGTTGTCAAACCGGTTTGTGTCAGTGTGCCGATTTACCAAGTGGAATGGTTCGACCGGTGGTACATACCGGTTTGTGCCGGTTCATGCCGGTTAATATTACAAATAATTTACACATACTCATATTTAAGCACGACATTTAACGTCAATACCTAAATATTTGCACTTGAATCCAACAAATAACATCAATATTTAACTTTTTAACACAAAATAAATAATAAATTACTTTTTATCAAATAAATTCACTAATATAAGATCATTTTACTTAGAGATTCGTATATCGATCATGCCGATCATACCGATAGTGTCATACCGGTTTTATGACCGGTACAGGTTCAGCCAGGTTCAACCAGTGGCACGCCGACCGGCGTGACAACCATGTTCACATCACTCCCTTCTCTCTCATACAAAACATTTAGGGGTCGTTTGGATGCCAAATTTTATTGAGGGATTTATTAGGGATTTTAAAACAATCCCTCATTATGCAGGATTTTAAAACAATTATGCGTTTGAGAAAAATGAAGGATTTTGTAATTAGTTATTTTAAAAACTCTCATATGTGGGTTTTTAAAATAGCTGATGACGATAAGCTATTTCACAATCCCTCATTCTTATTTTTTCATTTCCAAACATTGCCCTCAAGTATCTATCCCAGTTCATTTCAACGTCGACTTCTCCCTTCCATCACCAAAAGTGCATCCATCTCTCACTTGGTCGAATTTCCCTCCTCTCCCACTTCGTTTTGTTGCTAGAGATTTGGGTTTCAAACGAAAGGTTAATTTTCGATTGTGGGTTTCGAAGAGATTTCGATTCTAGGACTAGGTTGCGTCGATTGAGCGCCAATTCAGCAGCTTCCCGACTTCGTGTTTGAAAAGTCTCGGTTGAGCGTGAATTCTCCATGGCGAGCATTATGTCTCGTAGCTACCGGCAATGAGCGACCGATCCCCTGAGATGGCACGATTCAGCGCCGTCCTCCATCAGCGGCGGATTCCCTAAAATGGCCGCCATGGACGTAATGACCAACGACAGCGAGAAGCACCACAACCAAAAAGATGTAGAGACTCACCAAATATCTTCTTTGGATCCGATCTCTCAGATCCCTTCTCCTCGCTCTCCCTCTACTTCTATATTTCATCTTTCTCATTGAAATTTCTGGGTATCATTATTCGTTTGGTATTCTGGTTTTCATTGTTCGTTAGGTATTTGTTGTTATTTGGGTATTCTGGGATTCATTAGATTATGGATTGCTAGTAGTAACAATATCTTTGTGCTTCGTTTTTGTGGAAATTGGCAACTTCCATTCTTTCTTTGTTTTATCTCCGCCCAATCTGGGTTTCAATCCCCCATTTTTTATTCAATTAATTTTGGTTTTGATATGATTACGAGGAACTGAAACAATGGCCAAGGACAAAAATTGACAAATGAAGAACAGGAGGAAGAAGCCGAAGGATAGAAGATGAGGACAATAATGTAATTTGGATGTTTATGTTAAAATTCTGCGTATCAATCAAAACGAGTTATTTCAGTTTAATCCTGCATATAAAATTCCTTGTATTTTAAACGAGAGATTTTATTTAAAATCCCTCGTTATTAAAATCTCTAATCCAAACGACCCCTTAATTTTTCCACCTTAATTTTTAACGGACGATTTCTCAATCGCTTTAAGTTGGAATTTAATTTTTTTGCACACTTAGTTCAGATTAATCGTGCTTTCAAAATGATATCCACTTTGATATATTTTTGGAACAAAAACATTTGAGTCATTTTTTACCCGTATACCATATGGTATTGACTGTTATTAAATAAGAACATATCATATGGTATGAAAAAACTTACCATGGTGATATGAACATACCAAGACTGTAGGACGATTGAATACATGACAGTAGGTATATACTAATTGTCATTTATGACTTTGAAGATTTTGTACCACAAGATATCACCTCATACCAGGGTGGTATTGTGTGGTATTCTTTTGTCTTATATTTTGTTCACCCAAAAATTTGTGATCCAATAGATCATGATGAACTTGTTCATTCTATGCAAAAGTTTTAAAAAATAACTTTAAAACGAAGAAGATATCATATGGTATGCAGTTGGTAATGAGAGGCAAGAATTTTTTCTAAGAAAATATTTGAAATGGACCTCATTTTGTAGAGCACAACAAACTCGTTCCACCGGTGCAAAAACAAAAACAAAATTGAAATCCAATTTAAAACGAAGAAGATATGAGTCGATTAAGAAAACAAGGAAAAATAAAAATGCATTTAATTCTTCATCTTTAGATTTGGATTTTCTGGGCCCAGTTAAATCTAATGGCTGAGATTTGTTTACTCACCATGAGTAACCATTAGGTTACTGACGGGAACTTGGACCTAACAAAATATCATGTTATGATGTCGTGTTTTCATATTCTGAAATTTTTTGTAAAACACTCTCAATAATTATAATGTTTTTTCCACATTAACCATTTTTTAACAATTTTTTCTCACTACAACTCATTAATAAACTAATCGTCTATTCGATTTCGAAACTTGACCTTGATGTAATTCAAAGCTGAAAAATAAATTTTAAATACTTACAGTTGCAACCGCTAAAATCAATGCAAATTTAAGAAGCAAATAAACCATTGAATATGATGATTTGCTTTTGTTTTTCTTATAATTTTTTTTGAAATGTCATTTTTTTTTATAAATGATGATTCACTTTTGTCTTCGCCCTTAACTAAGCTAATGAATCAATTCCTTTTAATTAGGGGTGTTAGTCGGTTCGGTTTTAGTTAACCACTAACTAATATGACTGTTAGCGATTAACCAATAAGCAAAAATTCATACCGATAACCGAACCGATAATCCTTATTGGTTAACCATCTCTTATCGGTTCAGTTAGCGGTTAGTTTGGACCAATAATCACTAACATACATTCCAAGAACTACGGCTATAACTGGGAAAACCAATAGCTTCGATTGTCTTTCACGAAATATCATAAACCGAAGCAATAACCGCTTGTAATACGCAAATTATCATCTAATTAAGTTTAACAAGTGTCATTTAATATCATTTTCAATTAACAAACATAAGAATGACCAAGAGTACTAAATATTAAAGATGAATAATCCTACAAATAATTCAAATTAATTTAACTACATGTCTACATTGTTAGCATAAAATAATAATCATAAGAAACAATATTAATACAACATTAATCATGAATTCATAATTTAAATCCAAATTTTGATGCATAAAGAAGAAATAATTGAACTTGTTCATCCAATTAGCGAGTACCAACTAGTAAGACATCATTGTCAAAAAAAACTAGTAAGACATCAAACACATGCACCACAAGATCATTATAATTCACAAACATCAAAGAAAAAAAGATCATAACTAGGCTGTAAGGTTCACTCTGTTAACTGCAAAGGGGAGTTAGAGAGAGAATTCTTGGTGGAGGGTTGTTTGCAATAGATGGGAACTGGAATGTTTGAAATTGCAACTTTGGTTGGTCAAAATATCATCCCAGTTGCTAAGATTAGGGAGTAAAACAACAACAAAATTAGCCTGCAAAATAGCTAAAGGAGGAGCATACACCAAACAAGTGATCCATGCTCTCCAAGCTACTAGGGCACAAGTGAGTACATGGGCGTTGGGTCGTGCTTGGGCCGGCACGGCACGGACACGCTTCAGGCCCATTTATTTCGTGTCGTGCTTGGCACGACCCGTCAGTTTTCATGTCGTACCAGCAAGCCCATTTGTTAACTTTGCTAGGCCCGGCCCAGGCCCGGGCACGGTTCAAATCGTGTCGTGCCTATTCGTGCTCGTGCCATGCTCGTATTCGTGTTTAATGAAAAGGAAGAAAATAAATGAGAGAATGAAAAAGAAGGTCAATATTGGACGGGGGAAGATAGTATTAATCAATAATGTTTGAGAAAAGTAACAAATAAGGGGGAAAAGAAAATTGGAAGTATAGCGAGTGTGATTTGGCTTTGTTTAATTCTTTGTCCATTTTTACTTATGTTAGTAATTACCTATATATCTTTATGACAGTTCTAAAAACAACAAATAATTATTTTTCTACTTGTGTTTTGTAATATTTGAACCTATAATTCTTTTTATATTTATTTTCTATCAAATAAATATTATTTTCGTGTCATGTCCGTTCTTATACTCAATAAAGTCTCGAAAATATTAGGCCCGACACGGCCCACTTATATATCGTGCCGTGTCCATGCTCGTGCCAGTGCCCATGAAGTTTAGGTCCGGCACGGCCCATAAATTATTCGTGCTCGTGCCGGGCTGGCCCATTTATTTCGTTCCCGTGCTCGTGTCGTGCTCTAACCGTGCCGTGCTAGCCTGTGGGCGTACAGCCACCACACACAGAAAGCAGGTACTGAATTCTCCCACAGTAGGAGTTTATCAGTTGTATAGATTATGTTCTAAACAATCATCCCTGACAGAATACTATATTTGGGAATTAGAATCTTACCCCAAATAAGCTCTTACTAACTCACTTGTGGAGAAGATACTCTGATACTAAGCCAAACTCGCTTAATTAACATAATAGCGAGACATGGAATATCCATCCCAACAAAGAGACAGACCTTGCACCTGTGATGAATCTAATAGTAGTATCCTATGGGTGGTTTGGAAGTTACGATTGTTAAATAGATGTATTGTTGAGAATGCATGTATAATATTATACATGTATTGTCGAATTTGATGCATTGTAGAATACAACGTTTGGTATGTGTGATTGTGTATGTCGCATCAGCTAAAAGCTGAGACAAAACAATCTCAACTCAACTATCTCAACAATCACAACTAAAAGTTGAGATATAACAATCACTCAAAATGAGTGATAGTTTATGTCACATCACAGAAACAATCCATGTATTGTTTCTGCTAAAAAACAAAAAACAAAAAACGATGCATTGTAAACAATACATGCATAATGACAATCTCAACAAAACAATCACAACTTCCAAACGACCCCTAAGTTTCATAATGCGCTTCCAAACACAAGACTCCACCGAGGTAGCCGAGACTTCCCAGATAGTTTTAGCCATGAGTCTATACGTCTTTATTCAAGCCACCCATATGGATCTGCTGCAAGCAAGGATTGACCACATGTGCCTAATAACACAAGCCTTATTCCATAGTCGAAATTCCCTTAGACCTAGTGCACCTTCAGACTTCAATAAAACAACATAAGACCAAGCCGTTAACGCCTTAGTTTTACAACCACCTTCCCCATCCCCACAAAAATTTATTGCAGATCTTCTCAATATCCTTAAGGACTGTTGTCGGAAAAACAAAAAAAAATTCATCCAAAATTGAAGAACACAGGAAACAACAAAAGAAAATAGTTGAATTTGCCCTGCATAGGTGAGTGTTTTCGAATTCCATCCTCTAATACGAGTAGTAATTTTATCCACTAGTACCTAACAATCAACCCTACGGAGCTTACCTGAAATGAACGAAACACCCAGGTAACGAACAGGGAGGCTGCAAAGGGGAAAGTCAATACTAGCCGAAATAAACTGCTTCTCTTCTTCTTATATTGCCGCACAGAAGAGCTGGCTCTTCTAAGCGTTACACTTAAGCCTTAAAGTCAAATAAAATTATCCAACTATAGCCTAATTCTTGCAACCGCCCTCACAGAACCATTGGAAAAAAAAATCAATAGATCATCCACAAAACAAAAATGCGTAATATCCAACTTCTTACATCTAGGGTGGTAAGGGACTTGATTCTCAATAGCTGCTTTATGAAACAAGCATGAAAAGATTCCATGGATATGGTAAAAATGTAAAGGGACGGGAGATCCGTTGTCTAAGCCCCTTCCCCGCACTATAGACTCAATTGGGCCAACACATGGTTTGACCGTCATTTTGGAAGGTCAACACCGTTGATCGTTAGTCAACACGCCATGTTATCACCTCGTAAGCCTAAAAATCATTAAAAAAATTCAATTTCAATTTATTTTCCTAATTTCTATTATTTATCATTTTCAAATTAACTAAAAAAATAGAAAATTTTAAAATAATTTGATACTTTTTGGTTAATTTATAAAATTTATCATTTTCAAATTACCCAAAAAAGTTAAAAAAATATTTATTTATAATTTTATTTTTTGGTTAATTTGTTAATGATAAATAATAGAAATTAGGAAAATAATATGAATTTGAATTTTTTAAATAATTTTTAGGCCGACTAGGCAATGACATGGCGTGTTAATCGTCCAAATTGACGGTCAAACCATGTGTCCGGCCAATTGAGTCTATATGTTGCATAGTTGAGGTCATGATATTAATTTCTGAAATCACGAGTCAAAGTTGATTATATGGTCATAGTTCGGGCCAAAATAAGGTATTACCCATCTTTTTATCATGACACTTAGTACCTTTAAATTTTACAAAATGACCCAAATTATATGCCACCGGAATTCAAAAAAAACCTGTTTTTTACGCATACTGTAAAATAGCTAAAAAACTGTTAAATATGACATATACTATGTAAAATATGAGTGCACATAATTTAGATAAGTTAATAAATACTTTCAATTCATGTCTAAAGTAGAGCAACTCATGGTATCATAACAATAAGTTCATAAACATAGGTCTTAACAACAAGCCACATTTCTCTCTATGCTAATGAATTTAGGAAGTGCATAGCTGGTGAATTAAATTAATCTATTGAAGCTGAGAACAATCCAATTACCTGATATGCATCTTTTAATCTCAAATGTATCATATTGTTGGTAATTTACCTTCTTTTTTTTTTTTACAAAAAGGTAATTTACCTTTACAATATACTTTTTATAATTAGTTTCATGAAAAGAATCCTCATTTAGTGAACTAAAAGCGTAAAAGCGTAAAGCGTTTCAGTGAACTAGAAACGTAAAGGCGTTAGCATTTAAGCTTTAAAAAGCAATTCAATCCAATTTTATACACTAAAAATTTAATATAAAAATGAAAGCATTTTAGTAACCTAAAAACTTTCATCTTAAAATGTAATTTTAACTGTATTGCTCATATCTCGACTCACACTATTACGAATCGAGTGATACTCGCCACTAACAGGCGGAACATATCAGGCCATGAGATCAGAAATTGCATCACTAACTCTACCGGACTACTATTTGGAAGTGAGAGTCATTATGATATGTTAGAGTTATTAGGAGAATCCGTATTAAGGTGGAATAAAATAAAGTAAAGAAGAAGAGGAAGGAGGAGATTGGGTTAGAGAGGAAGCAGGAGGAGAGCCATACGTTGCACAAGAGGGCTATCCACAATCTCATCCAATCACTTATTATTCACCACCAAAACCGAGCCCGCGCGAACCCCACACTCAGTTAACTTCCTTTCTCTTGCAACCACTCGCTCATATCACTCTCCGCAGCCCCAACCCACATAAGACTCCAGTGAACACCAATCCCACATTCTCGATCCTCCCTCTCATCTCTTCTTCCAGCACTCTGTTTCACTACCCAGATGGCTTCGGCTACTTTCGCCGTAGCCAAACCATCTCTTCAGGTAAACAATACTCTCTTTGGATGACTATTTATACCAGTCATTGTGGTATGCCATATATATATATGCCAGCTTTGCTACCTCCACCGATCACCACTTACTAGATCATATTCATTTCATTACTAGGTTTATGGTGATTTATATACTGGACTAGTTAACTAGTAGTTACCAACACTGATTGCAGGGAAATGGGAAGGGTCTGGCGGAATTCTCAGGCCTACGCACCTCATCAGCTTTCCTTCCTTTCGCCAAGAAAACGTCCGATGACTTTTTCTCAGTCGTTTCTTTCCAGACCTCTGCTGTAAGCTGCCTACGTACCCTACCCTGCTCTGCATCTCATTCTCTGCCTTTTTTTCCTTCCTTAGTTAATATTCACATTAGCTTTCCTCTTCTATAAAAGATGTTCCACTGCACCTAATTTTTGGATCCAAATAAATGAATTCAATCGGTTAAATAGCTAGTATGGGCAGCATCGGCGGAACTTACAAAAATAAACAAAAATTTTATATATAAATATATGGTAAAGATTAACATATGTATATAAGCACGCATGTTTCAAATACAGAATTGATTAATGAGCTACATATGGAGTGTAGAATGTAGATAGATGAATCGCATTAATTACATAATGCCATCAGTAAAACTTATTATAGTTGAAAGAGTTCCAATTACTTATAATAACCCAAAGACAATATGGTAGGATTGAATTTCCTTACTATTAATAACAGTAGTGATGGGCCCGCCGGGTGCGGTGCAGGGAGTTAGCAGCAGCGGGGGATACAGGAAAAGCGCAGCGGAGGCCAAACTGAAAGTAGCGATAAATGGGTTCGGTAGGATCGGGAGGAACTTCTTGAGATGCTGGCACGGAAGGAAGGACTCGCCATTGGACGTGATTGCCATTAACGACACCGGAGGCGTTAAGCAGGCTTCGCACCTCCTCAAGTACGACTCCACCCTCGGTATCTTCGACGCTGACGTCAAGCCTGTTGGCGATAACGGCATCTCCGTGGACGGCAAGGTCATCAAGGTCGTCTCAGACCGTAATCCGGCCAACCTTCCCTGGAAGTAAGCTAGCTAACTATCAGTCACTCTCTCTTCAATCCTGCATGGTTGTATTGATTATTATATATATCAGGTAATATCAGTACTAGTAAATAGTCACAGTAATAAATATGCAATCCTTGATGATGCCTGCAGGGAGCTGGAGATCGACCTGGTGATAGAAGGCACAGGAGTTTTCGTGGACAGGGATGGCGCAGGGAAGCACATCCAAGCGGGGGCCAAGAAGGTGCTCATCACAGCGCCAGGGAAGGGAGACATCCCAACCTACGTGGTCGGGGTCAACGCGGACGCTTACAGCCCAGACGAGGATATCATCAGCAACGCCTCCTGCACCACCAACTGCCTGGCTCCTTTCGTCAAGGTGCTCGACCAGAAATTCGGTATCATCAAGGGCACTATGACCACCACCCACTCCTACACAGGGGACCAGCGCCTCCTCGACGCCAGCCACAGGGACCTCAGGCGAGCCAGGGCTGCTGCCCTCAACATTGTCCCTACCTCCACAGGAGCCGCCAAGGCTGTCGCCCTCGTCCTGCCCACCCTCAAGGGCAAGCTCAACGGGATTGCCCTCCGTGTCCCCACCCCTAATGTCTCCGTCGTCGACCTTGTCGTCCAGGTCTCCAAGAAGACCTTCGCCGAGGAGGTCAACGCCGCCTTCCGTGAGAGCGCCGACAACGAGCTCAAAGGCATCCTTTCTGTTTGCGACGAGCCCCTCGTCTCCGTCGACTTCAGGTGCACCGACGTTTCCTCCACGGTCGACTCTTCCTTGACCATGGTCATGGGCGACGACATGGTCAAGGTCATTGCTTGGTATGACAACGAGTGGGGCTACTCCCAACGGGTTGTAGACCTCGCCGACATCGTTGCCAATAACTGGAAGTAGATCCACATCCATCCTTCCTTCCTACCCACTCTAAGCCATTAATTCCTCCTTGGGTGACCTTGCTATACATGATGCATCCATAGTTAAACAAAACTGTCCTATATTATATATAATATGAGACTATTTGATCATATTTCATTCAGATTGCCCCTTTTTACTTCTTTGATCTTTTCCCTTCAATGTTAGATTGTGACACTTTTATTATGAATACCAATAAAGAGAGTCCATCAATATTGGCGAAGATCTCCGTCCAAAGAGATAAAAAGGGGTGCATGATACGTAATTTTTCATTATGATACGAAGCTAAACGAACTTAACTTCGTTACATTTCATCTTGCTGAAAGCACCTCATAGCTTGTAGGGAACCCTTCAATGTTAGATTCTGATATTCTTACTATGAAATCCCGCACAGAGAGCCCTTCCTTGGTAACTTATGCATCCTAGAGAATCTTAGAGGAGAAAATATATTTTTGAATAGACAAAACCTATTTTTTTTTCAAAACTCTAGTTTTCTTAATCAGGTCATAACTCATTCAATTTAACTCGCAATTCAATCAAATTTGTATATAAAGGACTCATTTATTATAATTTACAGAATGACATCCACCTTGCTATGTTTTCAAATAATACTTTGAAAATATTTCTCAATAATACTTTTCAACTATTTATAGTAAAATAGTCGTCACTATCTAGAGATCGATTTCAATTATAGGTTATGTTTGACTCTAAAATTATTCAAAAAATCAAAATTATATTTTTTATTCCCTTTTTTCCTTTTTCGTAGTTTTTATTAGAACTTTGAAATATTTGGTAAGCTATAAAAGTATTATTCAAAATTAAAAAGTAGCATTATATATGGATAATACCCAAATAATATGCTATATGTTGGTTGAAAAATAATTTTTTTGTGGTAGGCTTTATTAAGATATTAAATGTAAGGACAAAATGTTAACAATATACAAATGATTCTTGTGAAAAATAACTCATGTAAAATTTTTTAACCAAGTAATACATTTGAAAATATCTACATTATCTAGTCTTCGAAAAATATCTACATTATCAATGTCTAGATATGAGTAAACGAGTCATTTTGTATGCGTGAACCTGTCCCCGTAAGCTTTGCCTAGGTTGCTAGAAGTAGGGGTGGAAGTTTGTGTGAGTGGTTATCCACCTCACATTGTGTGGTTAACCACAATCACAAAAGCATGATTTTGCTAACCACAAACTGCATCATAATGGTTATATTTGTGGTTACTCGCAAAAATTCATGTTTCAAGGTGTGAAGCTAATGTTGCCACCGATGAATTCGATATCCTCCACTAAATCATATTGATGTATTGTTGGGTTGTTCGTGCAGATTAAATTCAGTATATCCTACTAAGTGTGGGGCTTTTATCTTTTCGAGTTTCATATTCAAATTTTGCATCAAAGATAAGAAATAGATGAAAGCTTTTGATTTACAAGATGCAAATTAATTTGACATAACACGCGGTACAAATTTTAATTTTGGCAGTGGGTTTTTTTTTATCATTTTCCTTATATTATAAATATTATTGATAAGTATGGTGAAATTTAAAGGTAAAACAAAAAATTGTCAAGCTAATGTGATTATAGCAATGTTCAAGAAGACGCTAGGCGCTATCTAGGCGAAGAGGCACCGCCCAACGCCCAGGCCGATTAGTCGTTGCCTAGGTGAGATTAAACGTTGAAAAAAAAATATGATAGATAAACCATATTACAAAAACCCAAGTCACCATATCATTATCCATCCATTCATATACACATACAACCCTTTTCCACAATCCCAAACATCCCAAGTCGCCAACCATGAGGAGGGATCTCACTGCTGGTCGATGAGGGGGAGCGATTGGTCGAATGGAAATGAAAAATAGAATAGGGTTTGGGATTTTCACAAAAAGGTCACACTTTCCCTCTTTATTAGTTGTTTTGGGCGTCGCCCACCAGAGTGAAAACTCGCCTCCGAGTGCCTAGGTGCCTAGATCAATCGCCCAGGACTAGACGGGGCGATTTCCTCCTGCCCAGCTATTAATCGCGCCTAGGCGAGAGATTAATCGCGTCTTCTTGAACACTGGATTATAGTGAGTTTTGCACATTAACAATTGTGATTAGTGGTGAATCACTTACCACAAAAATAATGATTTTGCTAACTACACCTAACTACCTACAAATTGTGAATGAGGATAACTACAGTGTGTGCAGGTTAGTGTGGTTTATGGATTATTGACAAATCACAAACCAAACTTTAACCCCTAGTTGAAAGGAGTATCTAACCATGATGAGTACATTTGATATTCCAAAATTTCTTTTTTGTCGTAACTTGTCAACCATGAATGAAAACAAGCCACTCGAATTTAAAAGTTATTAAGTTAGTAAGTTGATCTCCAAATATTTCTCAAATCTTTCAAAGGATTAATAATGGGAGCAGATCTCAGTAGTACAATCAATGTTAGGGCCAAACAAAAGTCAATTAGGACTTATGAGAGAGAATATCATAATCAACACGAGCGTATTGCTCATGTTGCACTTACATAACTGTATCTTCAAACATAGTTTTGTAATTTGAAAGGTCGTGTTGAGGGCTTGAGGCCACGGTAAGCCCATACCATACAGCTTCTAACACAATGATGTTTAGGCCACGATTTAGATTGACCATCTCTTCCAGTTCTCACCCACACTGATGATATGTTTGGCTCGTGTTAGGTGATATGACCATACACATGTTCGTTGGCATAATGCTCGTCTTCAATATTTTGGCTCAGAATCAAATAAAATTTGATAGAAACTGGGACAGACTGTTGCCACTTCTGTCTTGGAGGCCATGTCCAGCCTTTTGGTCCTCGTTTCAACTGTTTCACGTCCCTGACATCCCGAATTGGTTCCTAGTTCATTCCTTCATGACTACATACCGTTAAACATGCACAAACTACACAAACATCCCGGGCATAAGATATGATAAACGAGTAAGTTTTGATTAACCTTGACAAAAGTTACGTCGGACTTGTTTTCTTTTAAGCGAGGGCTGTACACAAAATTGAATATTGAAGGTTGATTAGCTAACCAGCCTGGTGAGATGCAACTGTACAAACAAGAAACAAGGGGGCAAATGCAGCAGAGCTAATTACCCAAATCCGATAACCACACAAAAAGGAAGCTGGAAAAGCGATGTAGAGTATTGGTGATGGCTCGTAAATGAAACTGCTGAGCTTCCATAGACTTACATACTCAAATTTGGGTCAAGGCACAGCGGTGACTATCAGCAAATTCTCGAATTATACGCTTGAGGACTCTTCCACCTTTCCCTTGCATATGCCCATAATTGTTCTCAACACCCTTGGAACTCTTGCTGTCAAGATAGTCGGCTGCAGCCCCAGCCAAAGCGTCCAACCAAACTGGAACCAATGTATCATCTTCTCCTGGCTTTAGATACTCCACTGGAAGGCTATGCACCTGGTCTCAACAACATTAAAATGAACACATAAATAAATAATTAATCAAACAATTAGAAGACCATTTCACTATTCCATAAACGGCCACCATAGCGTTCATTGTTCTTTATCAAGAACATACACTTCATAGGACAAGCAGATGTGAAGAAGGTTAAAAGGGCCATACTAGAGGCAGTCATCACTTATGATACCAGATTAGATAACTAGGACCATAACAGCCCTTATGGGATTTATTTAACAATCAAAACCACCAAATAAGCATAACTCAGGTTAATGTGGAGACTTCATCTGCTAAAATTATCAACTAAAGTTCTCAAGCTCAGTTCCTAGACACAAGAGACATACACTGGTGCTACTTAATTTAACAGAAGTCAAGCCCAGAACTTTTAAGCACATACATACAGCATATGCATAGACTGAAACAATTAGATCGATTAGATAATAATATATATATATATATATATATATATATATATATAGAGAGAGAGAGAGAGAGAGGGGAGAGAGAGACCGCTGAATGCAGCCATCCTTGCAATGAATCCCAGCAGAGCATAGCATTCCAAATTGTTCTATCACAACACCTGCAAATCGCAGCCAATTGGTGCAACACGGTTGCACACTTGTGAACCTATTTCATGCAGGAATAATCAAGAATTAGTTCCTCTTTTACTCCATACAGGAAAATAACTAATCATCTCAGGTATCAACCAATATGTTACTCAGAAATGGCCCCACAATTCACATTACACATCTCATTTTGCATGTGTAAATATTTACTGGAGACTGAAATGGTCTCTAATTTACAGTGTAGCTACTATGCTTAATGACTCGTGATGGGCACTAAGAGCTTACCAGGTTGCCCAATGCAAGCCAATCATATCAGAACCATTTAACAAAACTATCATGTCTCTGTTAATATAACAAATCAAGTAACACACTGTTTACACTTTTCTATTCTTGTATACTTACATTAGATATGACAACAAAAAGACTTAAATACTTCATGATGTTAAACTTACCCGAGACATTGCTGAAACACCAAGCAAAGCATAAACAATATTTGATACTAGCCCTTCACCTCTACGAGCTATGAGCTGAATTGCAATGCAACAATATGATCCCTCAGGCATAGAGTTGATGGATTCCAGCATAACATCAAGGGTAACCTCCAAGAAACCTTGAAAAGACAAACAGATATAGATTCAGCAGTAATGAGAACAATCTTTACATGTAGTTAAATAAACTCAGTGACAAATTTCAAAAACAGAAAGGTGGCACTCAGTCAAGACAACAACAAATTTGTGTAACCGATCTTTGTCCTCTGCATTTCCTCAAACTCGTACCCATCAGTTGTCTTAGTGCAATTAAGTCTGACTGATGAAAATGGTTTCAAAATCTCAATAAACAAAATGCCGGCCAAAAAGAACTGAAGACATCATTCTAATCTCAACTCCTCAAGAGGTTCACAAGCATAAGTTATGCAATGCACTACAACCTGGATATCAAAACATTTCGTGAACCTTAGAGGTAACCCAGTTCAGTGCATATTGAAATCTGCATTAGATTCATGAAATTGCTCAGAGTGTGAGTGCTCGAATACAATCAAGCGATTATTTCTATTTAGAGTACCTTCTCCAAGGCAATGAACTGAGGAAGCAAATTAAAAATGAAACCAAAGAAAGTAGAGAGAAATCGACATATGTCTGCCTCATGATGTAAAACGGCCTTCTAAGACCAATAAATGCCCAAGTGCGACAACCAACTACAACCTTAGTAGATACAGAAATATGAGAACTAGAGAGGAAGATTCAAACCCGTTCGATAGTACCCTGTTCTTTTCGCATGAATGATTAAGTTCAAGGATTCGCCTGGTACACTACGAATTCAAAGCCCCTTCAAGCTAGCTTTCCAAATATCTTCTAGGAAAGGCAGCTCTAGGCCTACAGCCTACAGGTACCTTCTGATTAAGATATGACGTGTAATCTATCCTATTTCCATCGTCTTTTAGGGACATCCAATGTGCTTTCCAGACGGGACTACCAATTCAACAAGAAACAGGAAACATAAAAATACACTAAGGTGAAAAATGGATTTTTTAGGAACTCAAACGTGAAAGATGGTATTTGCCCCGGCAAATAGTATCATTAGAGAAGATTTTAATATGCCAGATAGTCCCACATTTGAAGCCCAAAAACTCTGCAGATTGCACTTACATGATAAATATGATATTGCAGCCAACGCTGATCCACGGTGCATGGCTGTGCAGCATATAGCAGCCTTTTGGAATGAAACTTCAAGGAGTGACCCAGATGCAGCTAAAACTTTCTGGAATGAGAAGGGAGAAAGATCATGTGATTCATACTGATCTCTTTAGGTAGTCATAATGCATAAAACTCTCTAAGAAACAACATAATAAAATTTAAGTAAAAACAGTATCTGATATAGAAGATGATGACAAACCTTAGGACAGCTTCGGACAAACATGGATGCAAAATTGGCATAGGCTTCCACCAAATCAGGCTCTTGGTCACAGATATATGATGAATTCAGACCCATCACAGATGCTGCTTGAGTAAACCTTTCAAAGGTTCTGATAAACAGATGACCGTACTCCTCCATATGGCTGAATTCTTCAATAACAATGGAAGCTGCATGTTCAAATTGTATGCACCGGAAATCACAACAACAATTAGGAAAACGGCTAAGTGAACCATCCAGAAACTATGCATTTCAGCTGCAAATTCAAAGCAAGCAAGACATCTGCTTCCACAGATGTAGAGGATGGAAAGAAACAGTGGATTTTTTAAGCCAGGAAAAGAAAAGGTTGTGCAACACTACAGCAGTTTGCAATAAGCACGATTGGACTGAAGGAGTGCGGATCCCATGAGTGGGGGGGGGGGGGGGGGGGGGGGAGCTTAGTCACTTGACTAAGCCCCTCCCAGCCCTTAAATCTTGACACAACAATCTGACGGTTAAAAAGTGGGAAGGGCTATTTAATTAATGACTGGGTTATTTTGGGTATTATGAAAAATTACGAAGTATACAAACCGGATTTACAATCAGTACAAACCATACAAGCATACGAACAGTACAAACTACAACGACAAAACATACAAACAGATTTACAAACATTACAGACGTATGAACTGTACAAAAAATACAAACTAGACAGACAAACAATACAAACCATACAAAAAAGAAAAAACAACCGGGTTGACTTAACTACACAAATTCAGTCTGTCAAACAGACACTGTATGCTAATTTAATTAATGCTCATTGGACTGTACGGGTCGTTTGGATGTATCATTTTGGTTCTATGGTATTTTGGTATGTGGCAAAGCAGCTTGGAATGTGTTGACTCTAATTGTCTTGTTTGGATAGAACATTCACATTCACATGTTGTGGTATTTCACCACTTGAAGAATGAAGGAGCAAGTTAATTGAAATGTCCAGGGGGGAGGAGGTATTTCAATTGACTCGTTATGCATCATTTCAATTGCCGCGGGATTCAACATACCACAACCCATTTTTTGTTTGCCAATATTTCAGCCCAAATAACTCATCCAAATGTTGCATCCAAACGACCTGGTACTCTTTTGTTCTTTTCTATTTCTTAGTTCATTTGAGTTTGTAAGAAATATGTTGTGCAAAGTTAAATTCCTTTATAGGGGAAATAGTACTTAATGAGGATTGTTCAAGAATTAGGTTCTTTTATGACAAAGCTTGTACCTCTCATATAAGGAAGATTCTGCAAGAGATCCCAGAATATGGAGAGGATTTAGATTATTTTCCTATTTCTTTTTGTGGATTCTCAAGTGAGTCTTGCCCTAGGATTGGAGATGCCATCCAGCAACTATCTTGAAACAGAACCCTAACATTCCTACTTCCTTCTCATGCTATGAACCCTAACCCTTTCAGGTTTCGTCTATGTCACTATTCTTAAATGATTCTGAGTTGCCAAATGACTTACCTGTCCTAATGTAACATTCATGATTTTGGAAGGCCAGAAAATTTGTTGACAGGCAATCTAAAACACTCGGCAGTAGAACTAGAAACTGTTGCCCTGCAAAAATGCCAAAGAAACAGTAAAATACTAATCTTTGAGAAGAAAGAAACATGGTGCCAGACTTGAATACAACATATCTTCCTATTACCAGACGATTGAATTGCAAGGGAAAGCGCACGACAAGCTGCCGCAGACAAGTTACTGTTTTCCATGTATTTGGATCTGAAAATCTTCTCCAACATGGGCCAGAACACCCGTAGCAACCTTATTGAAGGGTCATCTGTAGCTGGCCCATTGGGTTTTGACATTGCAAGTTGAGCAAATACAATTCCTATTCTGTAAATTCGCAAAACAGATTAGGCCCGAGGAAAAATAGTACAACAGATTGTGCCAATCATGAAACCACATACAGGAAAAGCAACTCTACTGAAAGAAAAAACTTTAGGGATAAGGTCTATGCAAAGCAAATACTTAGAAGCCCAAGCAATTCAATTTGTCAGTGCGATCCAGCGAAAAACCATTGTATTCCAATTAATTACAGATAACTAGCCCAGCGTTTCTGACTAAGTAACATACCTATGTAATCCTCTCGCTGCCCCATTCAAAAGCTGAGTATAAGTAGCTGGATTTTGTCTATAAGAATGTTCACCATCTTCATTAATCTGAAACAAGAGGGAGCTTTCTTAGTAGCTTCACAAGGGGAAACTAAATGCCGCAAAAATAGTCAATTGCACTTTAAGAGATCATCTAAAGCAAATAGGAACAAGCCAGCTATGGCCACTATAGGATATGACAAAAAACAGGATAAGTTCAGTTATTCAATGGTTAATAAATACAATCATCATGTATCCTCTGCTTTACAATCATAGGGGATTTCCGCTTGTAAGCAAAATAGTAAAACATCAGTTTTAATAGGCAACTACGAAATCTGACAGGTTACAGAATTCCCAGTTCCAGTCTGACAAGCTGTGTATCGAGTTCCTTTGACGTGATAAGGGTGAATAAAGACGGCCAAGACGCTGTTCGTATGTGGCCTATACACATAGTATACAAGTTTGTCATAGCTGATGGACGGATTTGTCATGATAATTTCACTTTATTCAACTATTTACCATCTTTGGTAACGCTCTGTATGTCATTTTAACAGTCAAAACTCCACTGAACGAAAGATAATACAAAAGTTAAGACGATATGACACAGAAAAGAAATATTTGAGATGCTACTCTCATGACTCAAACAGGCATTGAACATACAGCTTACAAGGGGTTTCCAGGCCCTGACCTCATCCCTTGCTCGGCCAAGGCTTTTTGGACCCTTGTCCTAGGCCCTCCACTCATATTTTTTCTCCAAAGCACACAACACCTCAGCTGACGATTTTGGCTCTTGGCTTAGACCTCTGCAAAGTTTGCCGTGCCTTTGTCAGATCATAGCCTTGACCTCAATCCGAGGTTTTTGGCCAATATCCTTGATCCTCTATGAGATATTGAGGTTTATAGGAGCCTTAGCTTCTGGCAAGAACTCTACGCCCTGGTCACAGCTGAAGGCCGAGAATTCTTGGCCAGAGAACAAGAAGTCTTGCCAGAAGCTTATGGGTTGCGCATCACCATACTAGGTAAGGGCATCAGGTTCACACTTATGGTTTGAACTCCCCACAGTATCCGTATCCATATTAGAACATCAACTTGCATTCATAAATATGAAAATGCTTTCTAGTATGCATAAGCATAAGTACAAATAAAGACTTGTAATCATTGAATTGAGTAATAAGAAAATATTTTCTAGCACCGGCAGCGCATATTTTAACCAACTCTAAAAGGGAAATACTTCAAAAATAGGCTGACTTCACAACCAAATAGATTTGTTTCCTTCGTGCAAGCAAATTGATGAAAGTTAGAAAATTCAATTAGAAGAAAAATCAGGATTCAGGAAACAAATCTGATGAAGCAGCTGCTGGACACAAGGTAATTGCAACGAGAATCTCCTTCTTTAGCCTCATTATAGTACCAAATGAAATATAAATGCCATAGTGCAGGCAGGAAAACATACTCACAAGTTTTCTTAAGGCATCATAGCTCGAGGAGAGCAATCTAGCCAACAAGTTGTACTTTAGTTCTTCATTTGGTACGGAACCAAGGATTGAGCTTATTGCACTTATTACTTCTTCTTCATCATCTAAAGGTAAGTGCCTCTTCTCCAAAGCCTGTAACATGAAATGATCAACAATTACAAACCAACAGAAGGTTGGATAGTGAGTTTACAGGGATACAAGGATGAATTGAGATAGAAGTGGAGGCAGGGGATATGAAAAGGAAACGGAAGTAAGAAACAAAGGAACATAGATAACCTCTCACGTGTATGCTCTACCACACCCCTAGGGTCACTTTTGCACCGGCACTTTCCGAACTAGCAACATCCTGTCCTTAAAAAATAATAGGTGATGTCTATTTTCTATCCTAACCTTTTTCATATTCTTTTCTATTATCCAAACCTATTAAAATGTTATTAATTAGTCAAATCTTTCGTAATGCATCAAAATATTAGTCATTTTTACGTTATCGTTAATAATTTTGTAACTCTTTTCTTTGTTAAAATACTAAAATTTTGGAATATTGACCTTCATGTATCTCTTCCAAGTAAATAGCATGTTGTCAAGTGAATATTACTAACTAAATTGCTAACTGGAAGTTAACATTTGGCTAATACTTAGTATTTTAATAGGTTTGAGATAATATAAAAGAATATGAAAAAAATTTAGATAAAAAATAGACATTACCCAAAAATAATCTTGCAGATAATTTTCATACAAAGTTTTATTATCTTAGACGACACAAACAATGTCAGGCCTGTCGAAGATACAATAGAAAAGACTAGTTCCAAGTCAGAAGATATATTTACAGATATATAAGCAGAACCATAGCAATTAGAAAAATATATGTCCAAACATTAACAACATCCGTGTGTATAAGTGGTTACTAATGAGAGAAACCATTCATGAGTCACAATTTAAAAATCTAATGCGTTTGGATAAGGTAAAGAAGGAAACGCAAACAGATATGAGCCAGTAAGTAAAGTATATTTTAATGAACCATTTACCTCTCCTACCCATACAAGTATTTCCAAATTCGCAGGTTCATAAATTACAGGTGAAGATTCTTCACAAAATCTACGTAGGGCAGACGTACAAGCAGTTGAGGAATGATTCTCTGAAATCCCTGCAGCAAGAAATAATCTGAAAGCTGCAAATGAGTATAAAACCAAACACAAAGGAAGAAACCAGGACAGAGATGAATATAAAGAGACAAACTAGTGGAGCTGGACAAAAATATAATGAGGGGGAAAAAGTCTGAAACAGTATAAGGGTCACTAGAGAAATTAAAGGCACCCATTACAATTTCTTCACGGCTAGAAAGTGAAACAAATGCTCAACATATTATGTTATTTCAATATTGAGCTTCTGATCCTTACAGCAAGGGTCTGGAATTCGCTGGAGAAGCAGATATCCACTTGGAGTAGGAACCAACAACATCTGTTAGTGATCTGCGTACCTAAACCGAAACCAAGAATCAGCCAACAACAAGAAGAAAGCTCATTATTGATGTCCTGGACTTAATATCACATGTGTTTTAAAGTGGATAACTGTCTAACTAATGTACACTCCTCTACAGAGTTCGCCATGAAGAGCAGTCTTACCACGCCCATGAATCCACTGAGGTCATCTACAGGCCAAGTGGATAACATCGTGACTAATTGCATGATGGAAGAGATATCAAACATCTGGCCTTCCAGCAAGACTACTTCAGAAACCTGGAAATGAAGCATTGCATCCCATTAGATTAGAGAATTGACACAATTGTGGATGGTTGTGATGCAGAGTTGGTTGCGATAATAATATTAAGTTAAGGTGTAAAGGTCTGAACAATGGCCAAGTACCACGCAGTGGGAGAAATCAGATGCGAAGGTTTTGAGAAGTCTTGTTACAGAACATAAAAGATAAAGTAAAATAGAATACACCGAGCCAGCCAGGACGTAACAGGATGCACCCGTGTCTGAGGGAGGAAACACATTCACAGACAGGATAACAGCTTAGAGTTTGTGATGCCCCATACATATAACAGAGGATGAGAAATTGCAGATGCATGTGGACAGAATGTTCCATGACCATACTCGCTGAAGACCAAATATTCCTCAGCACGAAACTGTGATAGGAAAACAGCTTACTAGGTAAATGCACAGCCTATAGACAGGTACGGACTAGCGATCGCAGAGAGCTTCTGGTACTAGATGGAAGATAGGGAAACAAAGAAGGATGGGACATAAGTGAAATGGATGCAAGTGATACAAGGCAACCTCTACAGTGGTACCGGCCTTCATGAAGCTAAACCTCTGTAAAGACAGAAGTTAGACTCCATTAACTAGTAGGATTAGCATTAAAAGGACTAATAAAATTCCACAATCCGCTAGAACTTCCATCAAGGTGCCAACCGCCAACCGGGCAGCCCACCTGATCTGTACCAGATTAAAGCCAGAGAGCCAGACCCAGAATTCTCCTTAAGCATTCGGTGGTAATCATTTAAGCTGGTCTAGAAGGGTAGGTCATGGTCACTTTTGACTTAGAATACAAATCATCATTACTAAGTCCCAAACAAGGAAATTCACGACATCAGGATCAATTCTACATCAAATAAAAATCTGAATGCACAAGGGGCTTAACCAACCAAAACTCTTTGTGGCAGAACCACAATGAGCTCCTTTATCACACTCCATGCTCATATGAAATGAAAACAAAGAAGTCAGGCATTTATACATGACGAATAAACCACACAGAGCACACTTCCATATAAGAAATGTATATGCTCATAGAATAGTCCATCCGAACCAAAGTAAAACTAATGGTAATTTTACCATTGTATATATTGGTAAGATATAATTTACTTAGCTCTACACCCAATGATTGGGATATAAATAAAGACGCATACCATTATCTCAATTTACAACAAAATTATCAAAAACAGAACAGTCAAATGTGGCCAACGGATGAAGTTGCAAACCTGAGTATTGAATAGGTGATCAGAACCAAGAACAAAGTCAATCATAAACTTCAAGACTTTTCTAGATGACGATGAGGCACCTCTACTATGCATTTACAGTAACGAGTTTTTGTAGTAGTGGGTTTCTCTTTGTCTTTAGCCAAAGTCATCGGTATGAACATCAAATGTAAAACTAAAGGCAGGGGTGTCAGTGTTGTTATGCGCCAGGAGGAGTGATATTAAGTTATTAACCCCTTTTCAGAACTTCATTTTTCTCATTATGTATTAAGAGGTGTCAGGAGATGTCATTGGGTGCAAGAACATATGATCATGATTAGAGTGATAATGCTCCTTGCATTTGATTTGTTGTAGGAGAGACATCTCTTATTTAAACAATGAAATCCCCTCTTGGAAATTATACTGAAATAATTAAGAAGAAATAACAGGCCCGTTTATTCAATCCACTCCATTCATGCATTTGAAAGAGCAAAACTAATTGAAAACTTATGATTTAAAACTAAATCATAAGCACTCAGCAAAACTAATTGAAAACATGACCAAAAATTACCAATTGGTATAAATTGGACTTACCACATTAAGAGCAAACAATTTAGTTTCCACCTCTTTCCAAGGAATTATTACATTTGCTGGTGGCCAGGCACCAAAAAGGAGCTACAAAAGATTTATATAATTAGTAAGAATGTTGAGTTATATGCTGAAGGTATCTGAATCAGAAAGCTTTATGCATTTGAAAGAATCCCCTTTGCAGAGAAGCACAAAGAGTGAGAGCAATGAGATGGACATGGAAAGATTCAACACATTATGAAACTCCATCTCTTTGACAAAATATCATGGTGAACCATGAAGAGATCACTGTAACAGAGAAACTATACGAAAGCAATCCCCAAAGTAGAAACCTGCTTGTCAAGTACATCACTAAGCAAGACTCTGAGAGTTCCTTCAATAGTCTGGGTTCAAAAGCTTCCTAGAATTTTAAGAACTAAGCATCTATAAAAATGCAGCAAGTCTGAGTAAACCATTCAAAATTTCAATGGAAAGCATAGCAAGTGGAACTGAACATATCTAAGGAACACGAATGAGGAATTATTTTTCTTCTCTACTGGGTCAACCACCTGGGCGCTTGGAATAATTAAGCAGATCATCCAAACCTTTAAAATCCCATTCAAAAAATAAATGTACTAAGCTAGCTACTGTCATCAAATAAAACTACATGCATATCTTCCAATAAGTGAACCAAGCACCTTTTGCACAAATCGGGGAGGTCTTACAAGCTGACACATGTCCACCATAAGTTCAACAAGATTCATCCTGAAATGGACAAGACCATCAGGTAGTTCAAGAACACCACTCCGGTCATTAAATGTTGCTTCGTCAACCTGCTAGAGGCAAAGTTCCAACACAGTGAACATAGCAAGCAAGAACTTAATTGAATATTTTATCCTAAATACACCTTATTTCATAGTTTATGCCTGCAGTTATATTCACTTAAGCAAACAATGGCCATTGCCAGAAGCCTCATTACCAAACGGGACTCTTAAGTATGTTGAGGTTAAATCATTTCCATGGGAATGGAAACAGTTAGCACTTACATATACCGTAAGTGGCCACCTGACACATTTATACATTGGCATAGTTAGACTGAACACCCCTACAAAACCTGTATGAGTATAAAGGAGGAGAGCAGAGGAAGGAAAGAACACGGAACTGAATCCAGTCTATACTTGGGTTGCATAGTTTCTCTAATGTCCTCAACATACTTAAAGCCACTATAAGTATATTTGTTCTCCCTTTTGCCTTCCCTTAACTTCCTGGCATAAACATCCCAAAGGCATCCCTTGCATATTCAGAATTAATATGCATGTTTTTTTCATGAAAGAATGTGTGGGAATTTCTACCAAACTTGATAATAATGCCAATTTACTAAACTACTCCTGAAACTAATAACAATCGTGGTGATAAATGACAATACTTGCCACTAATTCGGTGACATCCTCTACGGCTCTACTAACCCCTAATTATAATAACCAAACAATAATTCTACCCGACTAGTAACTTCTTACAATATTCTAACCGACTAATATCATAAAAATAATTTTGTATTTCACTAAAATGACAAAGGTTTCCTTACTAGTTCGCTTAGAGGCCTTAAGATTCTTAATGACGTATTTTGTGATGAAGAACCTCCATATATTAATGGTAGGAGGATGGTAAAGGACTAGAAAGACAGAAGAAGAAAAAAAACAAGGGAAATTGAAGATCAAAATCAAACCTGGGCTCGCAATAAAAGTGCATCAACCAATGTTAAGAAGATGGAGGAGAAAATGGCTTCCACATGTTTCTTGTCTACCGCACCACTAGCATCAAGGCCAAGTATATAGCTTGCAAGACTAGACCTGTAAAACAAGCTCAGAGTTACAAATACCATGACAGTGAAAAGCATTGTCTCAAAGCAACTCACTAAATACAAATCATACAAATAATAATATTTCCATTGTTATATAGCATGATAGAACAGTATGAAGGATGAACGATTCAGCATTCTTTTTTATGAGCACAATAGAGTGATGTTGTTTCAATCGATAGGTAATGCTCTAGATAGAAGCATGATACACTCGCCATATCGTCCCACACATACTATCCAAAAGAATTCAATAGACAGCCAGAGACGGAAACAAAAAATTATCTTTACATTAATAAAGCCCCAAGTGGTGTACAAAAGTCAAACTTTGTAGAGGCAAAAAGTCATATCCAGCATCCAAAACAACGATAGTATTCATATATAGGGGATAATAAAATGGAGGGACAATTAAATATTTTTGGAGTTCTGATTGAACGAGCGGCCATTATCCACGGGTCCCAATCGGGAAAGGTTATGCAAATTTACTAATTGTGCGGGACTCAGAAAGGGTACAAGTCGTATTGTTTACCCCAAGTGACAGGGGGGAAAGAGGGTGCAACGGTGTGTAGCACTATTATCAAGCTATCATGGAAAGGTCACCAATCCAACCTGATCCCCAGGTTTATCCAAATCAAAAATTTGCATAAATAAAACAGTGATAACCCATAGAACATATTCAGCTAATCACATGCATAGGATTTCTGAACAAACACTGGACACCAAGTGTTGCAATAAGCATAAGTAGAACATAATTTATACCAGAATTGCAATGTTGAATCTGCAATTTCCCAGTCTTCACTTGGATATCCCACACACCTGCAGTAACCAACTGATTAGAACCAGCAAAACATAATCTGGACCAAGAAGCATCATGCAAAGAACCCTTTCACATGAATTACTGAAAGTATCAAAAGCATATAGTGGTCAATTGCTGTAGCATTAACTTACAGTCCCTAACAGATGAAACAAGGAACTCCTAAAGACCCAATAAAAAATTTCTGATGGGTATGGAAGGTAGCAATGAATGACATAGCATTGCAAGAATATCCCAGCTAGAAGTCATGTAATACACCCATTAAGCAAGCTCCACGCAGATTATCAGGCACATAACAAACCCAACGCATATTTAGATTACTTGATAGCAATCACTCCAGATATTGACAAAAAATTGGGAAGTACAGAATCCTTAGGAAGTTCCCAATCTAACATATTACCTTAATAGTCCATCAGCCAACGCTAGAGCTTCAACACTAGCCTCAACAATGAGAGATGGAGCCTATGGTAAACCAACGAGAAAAAGGGCGTGTAGGGGCCTTATTATTTAGTTGTCAAGAATGGGATGCATAAGTTGAAACAAATGAAATGGCAAGAAATAGTTACCGCCTGTCCAATTTCTGACATCAAGCATGCAAGACCACTAATCACTTTCTCATCCCCATTATTAATAGCAGAAAGAAGAAGCACATCCTTAAGAAAATGAATTCTGTATAACAGAATCTGTTGTAGTCCCTAAAGAGAAGAGAGAAAGCAGGTTATCCATTTATGTCATCCAACAGGCATATATTTGGGTATGTGCACTTGTATCCGAAAAAGTGGTTCAGAGGAGTGTTGTTAATATGACAAATGGAAGTTACACGTGTCAGTGATTTTGGGGGCGTATTGAACCTGAGATTTGAGATTATGTATTCTAAGAACGCATGCATTTCAAATAGGATGACGATTTTCAATATTATTCATTATTCTGAATTTACAAATCATCTGGCTCAAAATTTGCTCATTGACCCCAACAAATTAGATTCGAATTCATAATCACAATATCCAAAGGATGTACTCTTACATTAAACTGAACTAAACAATCTGGTTATTTCAAATGCATAGTTCCTCAAAACACACATGTCCTAACAATCACAGATTGTAAAGGACCCAGTTCTTTCATTCAGGGCGCCTTTCAGCAACACAACAAGACAAATCACCGATTCGTTCCGTCCATGTGCAGAAGTTTACATAACTAAGACCATACAAGAATTCCCAGGCGCATTATGGGTAAAATAATAGACAACAATAAAGCACGTCAATGTTGACACCAGCCCAATTATTTTACATTCTTTCAATTATGAAGGCCAGAGAAAAACTAAAACAGAAACATAGAAGTTGGCAAGTTAATCTCATATGTCAACAATATTTTCAGCAGCACCATATATTATAGATCACTCCTTGAGATCCTCATATATTATACAGTGATGGAGCTGACAGAGCTTCAAGGGCTCTGATCAGTTTCTTAGAACTGCTACCATAGCTAAACGGCTAAACCTTTCCACTTCTACCAGCAAATAACAGCTAAAAATCAGGAAATTTTGCTATACTACTTCTAAAGCTTTCCCAATTGGAACGACATAAACAAGGCAAAATTATAGGAGATGTCAATCATTCAGTGTCCCCATCCAGTCCTCCCATATATAAAATTGAAACCATCACATGATCTCCACACACAATACTGTGCAAGCTTCTACAACAAATCAACAAATGGACAAAGACCCTCACTTAATAAATCATTAATTTTCTCATAATCAAACTTCAACCCCTCAGACATAAAACTGAGGTAAACGGTCATCAGGGAACGACTGGAACTTGTCTCACATCATAACTATGCATGAAACCACTATCATCCATTAGAGATACAGAGGGTTTAGGAAAAATAGATAATAGATATCAGTTTTGGATATGGAAGAGATGCCTATGTATATTGGAGGAAGGAAGGGCATGAAAGTCACAGAAGCTATCCTTTTGGTCTCCACTTCAATGTGTGCCTTCATTTGATGGTGCTATAACCCGCCTTGTTTTTCTATCAAGCTCAGAGTATATTTTCCTTATGAAGTATACATGTATTCAGTATTCACTATGATCCAAAGAAAAAAGTTATAGTTTTGAGTTTTGCCAGCATTAGCAGACCATGGATTGATACAAGACCTTTCTAACATAACTTAATAAAAAAAGGATAAGTTAAGTGGAGCACAGTTGCTTGTTTAAAAAGAGGTATACCTCATGCCGACTTGCAAGCTCTATGAGGACTTCAATTGCTAAATCAAATGAGGATGAAACCTGCAACCATAGGTAAAAATTTTGGGTATGAAGGACACTGAAAATGCTTCAAGTTGACCTTTGAGTAATTTACCTGTAAAGAGTTGAAGACAAAATTAAGAAGCGGATGTGTCGGTAATGAGTCCTGTGAAATATCTGAGAAGCATCCAGCTCGCACCTGAGAACAAGAAATTCAAGCCATAATTCTATATGAAGACTGTGGTCCATAGCAACAAAGACATTCTCTGAAATAGAAAGTGTGGATAGCAATGGTAGCGCTGTCTTACCCAACTTAGCAAGCAACGAAGAATCTTCCTATCCCTCTCATGTAGTTGGACAATACCGTTGTACTTCTTCAGAGTTTGTTCTAGCAAAAACTCGAGTACCATAGGAGTGCGTGAAAGAAGCTGTTCCAAGAGTTTAGTTTATGGATTTAATAGAGTGTATTGAGATTCATGAGATGAAATATGGAAGGTAGCGAATAGGAAGGGGCTAGAAAAGAGAAAGAAAGACCTAACCTCTTGGCCATATTGGCTTCTTTGGAAGAAACTTATACTACTATCAGTACTTCGCGTGTCAGCAACTTCTTCTGGAAGAACAGTGAGCATCTCCAAAACAGCAACATTACCATCATCGTCATTCTGCAGAGTCTGCAGACTGTAAAATAGCTGCTCGATGGGTTTCTCATCGTCGACAGAAGAAAGAATAAGGGCAGCAAGTGCAAGACATATTTGTGTTAAAAGCTGCAACACAGAAAGTACAAATCAGTTAGGCACATCAATAAGCAGAAGACCCGTTCAAAAAGTGAATATACACATCAATAAGCAGAATACAAGGATACCCCATTGTTAACTTGCCAACAATGACTTCAATTAGTGAAAGTTTAAGAACAGAAATAGCATCCTCCGTGAACCAACAACCCTAATGCATTTTAGAAAGGAATAGTTCAAGCACCTGGGGAGGACCAGCACTAAATCTTTTTGCAGCCAAAAGTAGAGCATTCAGCAGAGCACGTTTAGGCCCAGATTGTAAGTAATGTCCTTCGCTATGGATCTGTAGCATGAATAATATTCAGTAACATGTAAGTGTGACTTCCAAGTTTATACTGAATGAGGACAACAATGGAGTAATAAGCAGGCAGTCCTGATTACTTATGTAAACAGAAAAGTACCACATGCATCAGTCCTTTCTGTATTTCATATCAGCCAACTCCATGCATGTCAAATCAATCATGGACCAAAATCAATCATCCCAAGCAAACTTGACAACATGTGATGAATAAGCCCATAAGCAACGCAAAGAAATCAAGAGTTGGTGATAGGACTGGAACCAATCCTGAAATTGGCGTTGCTGAGGGGCAGACAACTAAAGATGGGCGGAAGTGAGAGACAGGAAGAGAACAAAAAGTCAGAGACGAACAAATGATAGTAAAAGAGAGAGGTGTTAAACAAAGGACAGTATGGCATTTGAGAGAGGTGTTGTTATCGGAGACCAAAGCCAGAGTACTTTGAGAGGCTTTTGTACTAACTAATCCCTCGCCCATTTATACGGGTGTTTTGGGGTTTAGGGAAAAACATAATGAAGCTTGATTTATCGGCTAAGCCTTCAAACAGGAAACTGGAGCGGAAACCAGTTGAGCATGTTCAAGGCTTACAGTAAAAGTTTAACATGTTCACGGCTTGCAGTAAGAAACAGCGGGCAGGTATGTTGTACTTGTTCTCAAGAGCCATCACACAGTTTGAGATTTAACTGCAAGAACTCACTACAGCGAAGTAGACTGAGAATGGAACAAAACCTTGTGTGCGTACTGAATACAGAGAGTAAATGACGGAATGGAGAGGGACAGCAAGAGGGACAGCAATTAAGGTACGAACCTTTCGTTTCAGAATCTGGGCGGCAAAGAACTCGACTTCTGAATTGGAGACCAGAGAAGGAAGATGACGGTGAAGGTGATCGGTGGTGAGGATGGACGTCGCAACCTCCCAAGCACAGCCGGTCTGCTGAAACTGAACGAGCCACTGATTAGCAGCCACCCGGTTGCAGGACTGGGCGTCGTGATTCAGAACTTGAACAGCCTGCGCTACCTTGATTTGCAACTCCATTTTTGTCACACTAACCCTAATTAAGAACTGAAACACCTTACTATTTCTTATCCTTGAAGACGACGACAACACTCGAAGGCAGTAGCCAATCACCTCAAAAATCCAGCGACGGCATTGTAGTTCGCGTTGTCGCTGCCAAGGAGAGCGGCTATGAATGAATTTCCTTCTCCTTCATTCTCAACACTAGCGCAGCCTGGCCATTCATCGGACGGAGGGGGCTACTGGCCAAATCAGGCGCTGCGGCGGCGGTTACATTGGTAATTAGTATAAATTATCACAAACCTTTGTACTAAGCAGTTACAAATCTTTAATTTGTAACGATCTGAATACACGACTTTGTACTTAGAACAAAACGGTCACGAATTAAACAGAGTGATAATTTCATACAAGTTCAAACTTTTGTTACCGTGTCGTTACAAACTAAACTCTTGGTGACCGTTTTTTATAAACTATAAAATTCAAAGGTTTGAAGGAGCAATCACTGTTGCAATTGGCACCAATTGAGGTATGGTGGTTTTATTAATTTATGTGAATGGTATGATCGTATTAAAGGATGATAGTGAGGGAATTCAATGCCTCGCAAACGGATTCCAGGCTGCTTTTTACTTGAAAAAACGCGATCTATTTTCTTACTTTCTTGGTATCAAAATTGAAAGGTCAATATAGGGCATTCTTATTCGGTAAAACAAGTATATTGATGAACATACGACCCGACATATTATGTGTTCAAGTTGTTGGTGCATATACTTGACGAACACACGACGTGACCTCAAAACGGGCAACTACATTTAATTTGTAACGACTCGATAACAAACATTTGCAACTAATATAAAACGGTCACAAATTAAATAGAAGTGATTGTTTTATACAATTTCAAACTTTTGTTACTGTATCGTTACAAATTAAAGAATTGTGACCATTTTGTACTAAGTACAAAGGTTTGTGACCGTTTATGATAATGACGCCGATTTTATATGTTATCAAGTTTTTTCTAGAGTAATGTTTATTTTTATCCAAACATTCTTCAGATTTTTTTATATTATCTAAACCCATTAAAATGCTATTAATTATCCAAATCTTTCGTAATTAATCAAAATATTAGCTATTTTTATGTTATTGTTTATAATTTTGTAACTCTTTTCTTAGTTAAACTAAAATTTGGAATGTTGACCTTCATGTGTCTCTTTCAAGTCAATATTACAAACAAAATTGCTAACTCGAAGTTAACATTTGGCTAATTCTTAGTATTTCGGTAGGTTTGGCAATAAAAAAGAACCCGAAAAATGTTTGGCTAACAAATCTTTAATTTGGGACGATTCGATAACAAAACTTTGAACTTAGAACAAAACGGTCACAAATTAAACTGAGTGACCATTCATACAAGTTCAAACTTTTGTTACAGTGTCGTTACAAACTAAACGTTTGGTGACCGTTTTGTTTTGTATAAACTATAAAGCTCAAAGGTTTGAACGAGCAATCGCTGTTACAATTCGCTCCAATTGAGGAATTGTGGTTTTATTAATTTATGTGAATGGTATGATCGTAATAAAGGATGACAGTGAGGGAATTCAATGCCTCACAAACGGGTTCCAAACTGCTTTTTACTTGAAAAAACTCGATCTATTTTCTTACTTTCTTGGTATCAAAATTGAAAGGTCAATACAGGGCATTCTTATTCGGCAAAACAAGTATATTGATGAACATACAACACGACTTATTATATGTGTTCAAGTCGTTAGTGTCATATACTTGACGAACACACGACCCGACCTCAAAATGGGCAAATACATTTAATTTGTAACGACTCGGTAACAAACCTTTGCAACTAATACAAAGCGGTCACAGATAAATAGAAGTGACCGTTTTATACAATTTCAAACTTGTGTTACCGTATCATTACAAATTAAAGATTTGTGACCGTTTTGTACTAAGTACAAAGGTTTGTGACCATTTATGATAATGACCCCGGTTTTATATGTTATCAAGTTTTTTCTAGAGTAATGTCTATTTTTTATCCTAACATTTTTTAGATTTTTTATACTATCCGAACCTATTAAAATGCTATTAATTATCCAAATCTTTCTTAATGCATCAAAATATTAGCTATTTTTACGTTATTTTTTATAATTTTGTAATTCTTTTCTTATGCCCGTTCACTTCCCATTTTGTTTTTTGTTTTCTGTTGTAAAAACGAAAATCAAAAAACAAATAAGAAATGTGTTCATTTGTAGTTTTGTTTTCATTGGAAAAATCAATTTGGCATAAATGAGGAAGCTAAGCGGAAACAATTAATACTCGTTTCCTGGAAATAATGGGGCGGGTTATTCCCCGTTTCCTAGCGGAAAATCAGCCCTGTTAATTAATGAGGTTATCGGTTCGATCCTTTCCAGCGATAATTTTTTTAGCTTTTCTCCTCTTTTCCCAGACGCAGTCGTTTTGCCAACTAAAGACCCTACGACCATCTTTTCTGCTCTCTTCCCACTTCCCCTGCAGCCCGCTCTCATTTTCTCTCCCTCCGGCAACAACCAGCCCCGCTTCCGAGACCGCATCTGCAACGAGAAGCCGCGCCGGTGAATCCTACCTCCAGCCGGCGAAATCAAGAAGCAGCGACGCGATTCTCCATCCTCTCTCTCAAACATATACAACCTTCAATTGAACTCAAATGCTTTTGGAGTGGAAAATTTTACAGGGTGAATCGGATTGACTTTGAGGAGATCAAAGTGGACTTGTCCAAGGTTGTCTCCTGAATTTGCAAGTATCCTCGTCTTCTTTGAAATCTCCTTTTTATCTGGGTGTTTGAGTTTTGGAAGGACAGATTTGAGCTTCCTTGGGTCCTTGAGAATGAATTGTAATGGAATTCTAGAGATTTTATGCACTTTTCAGCCTGTAAAGTAAAATTATAGGGAGTTTAATACAAGATGAATCTAGTGGTTTGATAGGGTAATTATTGCAGTGGAAATATCAATTAGAAGAATGATGTCGAGGGGCCATCTTATGATCCATCCAAATTTCTACTGATGGGATTTCAGAGATAAATCCTACGAAGCTAGTGTCTGCTATTGGTGATGGAAGGTTCAAGCTATCTGAGAGGCTGTCATTCTCAATGCATCACTTTATTAGTTGAGGAAGGAGTTTGATCTAGAGCTTGTTCTGGTTCTTGATGAGAGGCTTACAAAGACTGACGACAGGGATTGAGGATTTGCAGAGGAGAATGAAGAAAGCTCTTTAATGTGATTTTATTATGTTAAATTGTTAATCTCCTCTGTAAATGCTAGTGTTTGGTTAAGATTTGATACTTATATATGTATGTTGAAACTTATTGTTTCTTCCTCAATTTGATCCAAGATGCATTTAGCATCTCTGTCGATATAAAAGTTATGTAATTCGAATTAAAAATTATAATAATGATTAGAATTGTATGATACTCAATGAACAAAATTGTGAGAATCAAGTACCAGAAAACAACATGAAGTAACTAAACACGTTTTCATTTTCAGAATTCAGTTTCAGAACTCTAAAAAATTCTCAGCTAAACAAGTTTTCTTCAGGTTTTGTTTCCCAGGAAACGACAGCTTCGTTTTCATTTCAATTTGTTTTTTGTTGTGACAGCTACAGAAAACAAAATGGCAAGTAAACGGGCCATTAGTTAAACTGAAATTTTGGAATGTTGACTTTCATGTGTCTCTTCCAAGTCAATATTACTGTCGCAACCGTCCCTCGGGGTCGCGTTCGCTTTTTGGAGTCGCCGTCGATGTTAGTTGGAGTGGATCGAACACTCTTCGGTTGGCTCTAACCTTAGGGTTAGAACCGAGGCTTGGTCTGCGATTTAAAGATATGGGGTCGGGAGTCGGTTACGTGTGGGGAAGTGAAATCACACCCCACAACGACCAAAATTGATACTACTTAAGTCGATAAGTTTTATACGAGTTGGGTATATTTTAGTAGTTATGTATTTTTGGGTCCCACTGAACCATTAATACATTGCTACCTAAATACAAGTCCGCTGACGTATATTTTAAAGATAGTGGTGAATAAGAAAGAAAAGTAATTCTAGTGGTAAACGTGAAAGATTTGCATAATTTGAGTGACCGAACTTGTAATTTAGCCAATTATTTTTATTGGATGATCTCTAGACAATGGGAGGAAACCCTGATTATCACGATGGGGAACGATGAGGCCAGTGCCTTGAAGGTAAGATTAGAGGTAAGGTAAGATGGGATTGATGAAATTGAATGGAGATGCAGTTGAACGGAGATTAGAGGTAAGGTAGGTAGAGGCGCAGGCGGCATGTGGAGGGTGACTGCTTGGAAAAATCGTGAGAGGGGAAGAAGCACCGGGGCGTTCATTTTTCATAGCTTTTTTAGTTTTTTTTTTCTAGGTCGGGTTGTGCTGACTAGGCGGTCAAATAGCATGACTCTGCCTTTTCATAATTATCGACTTTGTAATCATAATAGCCAATTTCTGGGGAAAAAATCCAAAACTACCACTGTTAAAAAAAAATTTATAAAAATACCACCCACTCCAAAGAATTTCCAAAAACACCACCCTTTATTTAAAACCGCTCATTTAATGAGCGGTTTCATATAAAACCGCTAATCCAGGCGGCGGTTAAAGAGAAAAACGCGCCCCCAAGGCGCGGTTTGAACTTGCAAGGCTGTCAAACCGTGTTGCCACGTGGCGGTGCATCAAACCGCCAATCGGAGAAGCGTTTAGACGGATAAAACGTGTGCCAAGTCAGCAGTCCGTGTCGTCCACAAAAACCGCCTGCCCGAGGCGCGGTTTGACCGTTGGGAAAATGAAACCGCGTGTCTTATGCGCGGTTTGACCATCGGGAAACTATAACCGCGTGCTGGGGGCGCGGTTTGTGGTGGCGAGAATTTACTCCACCAACCCTCCCCCACGCGGGTTGAGCACTATAAACCCCCCCCCCCCCCCCTTCTTCTTTTTTCTGCACACCATCCACCTCTCTCCCTCTAACTTCTCTCTACCCAACCCCTTCACACCCAACCTTAGAATTAGTTTTTTTGTTGGTTGCGGCTAAGTCCGATCTGCCTCCAAAATACTTTTTCTTTGGTTTTCACTAAAAACCCGTCGAAACTCTGTCCGGATTCCGAGAGAATGGCCGATTTCGCTCAAGAAGAGGGTCTTTTTTATGATGATTATCAAACGGTACGTACTCATTTTTCCCAATTGTTGTTGTTGTTATAATGATTTATTTAATTTATATACTAATGATTTATGTTATTGTTATGCTATCGTAGGTTGGGCCGAATGTTGATATTTTCAATCAACGATATTATGTTGATCAAGGACCGATTGATCCGACAGTTTTATACGATCAAGCAAATCATCGTTCAAGAGACGTTTGGAAAGACCACAAGGTACATATTATTTATCATCACTTGTAATTTGTATTCTGTTAAAGTAATTTATTTGTTGTACAATAATTTACTTAATTGTTAATCGTATTGATTATTTTCAATAATTTAAATCAATACAATACAACACTTATTGAGACTCTGTTATAAAGAAATGCATGTCTAAGGAAATGGGGACTTAAGCGATCATCATGATCCCCCCATGACCTGGGAAAATCGGGTTCTAAGCGATCCTCGGATCCCCCCTTTTTCTGTCAAAAAGACTGTGTTTCTAAGGAGGTGTATACCTCTCCTAAGAGTCTTACGAGTGTACTTGTATTGCTTTAAATTATTGAAAATAATCAATACGATTAACAAAATAATATATTTGATTTTATGTGTACCAAAAATATTTATACTTAAATTTCGAATATTACTTTAGTTATGTTAATATTAATATTTATTAGATAATGTATATTAATATTTGCATCTTTTAATATTATTTATTTATGCTAATATTAATGTTTATTATATAATGTATATTTCTCTAAATGAACCTTGATTTAATTAATATTGCATCTTATAATATTATTTAGTTATGTTAAAATTAATATTTCATTAGATAATGTATATTTCTCTAAAACAACCTTCATTTAATTAATATTGCATCTCAGAAAATTATTTTAGTTATGTTAAAATAAATGTTTATTAGATAATGTATATTTAACTAAAACAACCTAGATTTAATTAATATTGCATCGTAGAAAATTATGTAGTTATGTTAAAATAAATGTTTATTAGATAATGTATATTTCTCTAAAACAACCTTGATTTATATAAAAATTGTATCTTATAATATATTTATATATGTATAAATCTTCAACTTATAATGAAATTTAAAAAATTTTCTAGGATGCATACCATATAGTCCGCTATAGGGGTACAACGAATGTGCTTGAATGGAACGACGTCATCTTGCCCTTTCTAAAAAGGGCAAGATTGGATTCGATTCGGCATTTCAATGGGATCAAGATCGACCGCCAACTCATCACGGCGATGGTAGAGAGATGGCGAAAGGAGACACACTGCTTCAATTTTCGTGAAGGCGAGTGCACCATCACACTTAAGGACATCGCCATCTTAACCGATATCCCCATCGATGGTGACGTTGTTTGTGTGGATTCTACGCCACCACCTAAAGTTGTTGCCAATATGAGTGGTTGGCAACATTTTATATGGACGGTCACCGGGTTGTGTCCGCCAGAGAAGGGATACTGGTAGCCGGGTGGGTACTGGTAGCCTGCTTGTTGGTTGTAATCCGCCTGTTGAGCTTCTTCTTCATATGACGGGAAGGATTGATGACTTCCTCCAGTACCATGATGATACTCTTGCCTCCAGCTCGACTCTTGGAAATCCTGGTGGGGATGATTTTCGTATAATACACTCCCACCGTGGAAACCAGATGTTTGGCCATCTCCAGAATGACCTACACTGCCTTCGACGACCTCGGTGTAAACGAAAATCTCCGCTTGCTTAATTTTATTGGTGGTCAAAAATTGGACCATGGCATCAACGTCCTCCTGAGTGGTAAGGAGGAATTCCTCATGCCACAGCGACCCATCATGTCTGTTTGGATATCGATACACCATTCGATCAACTCTTCTAGTGCCATCCATGCAGGTAATCTGAGTGCACATTTGATGGAGCTCTTCAAGCATCGGTCTCGTACGGACCTTCATTTTATAAAAATTGCCACCGACGTAACTTACACCCTTTTCGGTCTCTTCCGTGTAACCATTCCACCGCAACCCAAGCGTGAACCTTTGGAATGCCATCTGCAAAGAAAAGTAATTAAGTCACTAACATAAAATCAGAAATGACAATGAAAAGTAATTAAGTTACTAACATAAAATCAGAAATGACAATGAAAAGTAATTAAGTTACTAACATAAAATCAAAAATGACAATGGAAAGTAATTAAGTTACTAACATAAAATCACAAATGACAATGGAAAGTAATTAAGTTACTAACATAAAATCACAAATGACAATGGAAAGTAATTAAGTTACTAACATAAATTCACAAATGACAATGAAAAGTAATTACGAAACAAACTTACGAATTAACGTTAATCGCAAAAACTAAATAATTTAAAGCTGAAATTTTAAGAAGGAAGAGGAGGAGGTGTGAAGAATTGAGTTCTCTGAAACTGCCTTTTATAGGCAAATTTTGCACTAAAACCGCTGGGGGGGAGCGGTTTTAGGTCTGCCATGCAGCCCTACGTGCCCTACCCCCTGCATGCCGACATGTCCGACATGTTGGCTGTCGGGTGACCATGCACAAACCGCGCCTTTGGGCAGCGGTTTGAGTCCTGACACTATAAACCGCCGCTTGGAGAGGCGGTTTGTGTCCTGACCCTCAAAACCGCCGCTTGGGGACGCGGTTTGTATTGCCGACACTTAAACGCTCTTTTATACAGCGTTTTGTGGTAGGGTTAGCATATAACCGCGTCTTCCACAAGCGTTTTGTTCTGGAAATTAAAAACGCTTCCCAGAGGCGCGTTTATTATGAAAAACATTTCTTCGAGACGCGGTTTTAATGCTAACCGCTCCTTAGATAGGCGGTTTTAAATAAAGGGTGGTATTTTTGGAAATTCTTTGGAGTGGGTGGTATTTTTGTAATTTTTTTTTTTAACAGTGGTAGTTTTGGATTTTTTCCAATTTCTGGTAAACACATAAAATGTCCAGATTTTGGAATTTTCTTTAAAGAGAGGGCCTTTTATTCCAATCCAAATTAAAGCCAAAGTATCATCACAAGAGTGGAGCAATAATGTTAATAACAAGAATCCAGTCCACCGGTAATGAAGTGGTCCTGGCGAGTCGAGCAACCCAGTCAGCCAACTTGTTCAACCGGCAAGGAACAAAATCGATGGATCAGTAGGCTGGCATGTTTTCGTGTCCTCTCCCCGTTCTTATTTAGTTTTGGAATAGCTTTAGTTTCTGTCTAGTGAATCTTCAAATATAATAAAGGGTTTGAGAAAAGCACCCTATCCACGTCAGCCTTGGAGAGCTCTCCTTAATTTTCAGAATTCGGGTGTTTTTTCCTTTTTTTATATATTCCGTATTTTTTTCCAAGCAGTTACCACCAATTATTATTTGTTAATCAACGTGTCCCTTCTGTTTTTTTGAACGATTGTATTTTTTCTTTTATTAACTTTCCGTGCTTTTTTTAACTGAATGGCTAAACATCGCCCTAGGTTTTTATTATCGCCATATTTCAAAATAAAAAATTAATAAATTATCCTCAATTAATTAAATTAAATTTAAAAACTCTTCTTATTCATTTTTGTTGACGGAAACAAACTGCTATCCAATACTTGCAGCCGCACTATCCGCCAATCCGGCTACCATTCTCCAACTTCAAATGCCCCTCCGGTACTGCGCTTCCTTTCTTCACCCCAATAGGCTGGTATATCCCTTCACCAAATCACAGGAATCAACTCATGTGCCCCTTCTCCATGTTGTGATGAGCATGACGATAACATTGATGAAGACGGTTGACGGTAGGAATCAGCGACGGTCGGGTGTCGGCAGTGGGAATTAGTGACCGACGATGGAGCGAGGATAACGGCGACGACGGTGATGGAGATGGGTTTAGTTTTTTACGAATGTATTTATTAGAATAAAATATTTTCTAGAAATAAAATGGGAGAAGGGTAAATAGATAATTTTAGTCGTTTAAATTAGGGTGATTATAATAAATCAGGGCGACATTTAGCAATCCTTTTTAATGACCCCAAAGATTGCATGTATTAATGAATTTTGAAAACCTGTACAAATCTTTTGGGAACATGTAGATCTTTTGGGGCATTTTTAAACTGGTTTTTTAGCTTTGATGTTTAATATGTTCTTCTTTATAAGAAAATTATATTAATAATAACATATCTAGAATATATATAACTCGAACTAGATAACCGGTTGGGCACCGAAACCACTAAATAAGTTACAATAGCAGTTCGATTCATTTGATTGAACAGTTAATGATACATTGAACGATTTTAACGATTTGACATGAATTAAGAAGAACCACCCCAGCTTGATTGACCCATAGGTTTATTATTTAACTATAAAATATTAATATATTTTTTTACATAAATCAAAACCTCCCAACCTCAATCACTAATTTTATTTATAATTTATTTTCTTAATTTCCCAACCTATTTGACACCTCTATTTGGTTCACTACAGATTGTCACATGATTACTAACTTGAATTAATAAAAGAAATTTGATTTCTTTGTTAGATAATTTGAATATTTATTAAATATTTTTGGTCGTAGATGATATAGGTTTTTGAAATTATTTATGATTAGTGATAAATGCACTTCTAAATTAGTGTATTATGGCTTTTATGTTATAATGCATGGACGATTTTATAAATAATTAACAATATTCTATAATGATTAACCATTGAACTATCAACCGCTAGCTTTTTTGGTTGAGAAACCAGAGTATGAAAACATAACATTTTATTATATAAATATTATTGATCTCAAATACACCTAAAATGTTATAATTTTGATCTAGACGCAATAAACCTCTTTAAAATAAGCATACGAATAAGAAAGATGAGAAGGTTTCAGTCTTGACTTCAATTGAATAGTTTTTTTTTAACATTTTCAGTATTTTGAACTATATATTGTTATAATCAAATCAATTTTTTGTAATGTTACATATATTCATAGATTACATTGTTAAAGAAATACTACCTGCCCAAAGGGCAGGGTTTATGCTAGTGGAACTATACGCTTGGTTTAAAGTAATAGATGGTGAATCACTGGTGATCCATTATGCCAATGGGTTAAAAGAAATGAACAACATTCTGACAGTGTGGAAATATGGCATACCTTTGTTTTCTGTCTATTACTCTCTATTTTAAAGTTATCGCCCAGTTCAAAGGATGTTACATGATTATTGGTTTCTAAAGGAGGTCTTGATTCCTTCCGTTTCTTGCTTATTTCCCAACTAGGATATAGCCCGCGCTCTGCTGCGGGATACTATTTCTGTCATAATTTAAATGAGATTCAATATAATCTATTACCATAATTGTTATGTCCCAAACATAGACATAAATGTTGTAATCTTTGACCATTATGCAAAAGAGTGACATTTGCAGAATAACATGAATGTAGTTAGGAGTGTTGCCAAGTCTCAATGACATATCTACTAAACTAATAAAAGTTCCATGGCGGAGACTGAAGATTTGCAAAACAGTAGAACAAAATGTTTGCAGAAGTTTCGTGCCTTTGTTGTTTGCACGATATCAAAATGGCAAGCTTTGAAAGACAACATCATTTCTCGAATGCTGATCGGTCCCAGAGGGTGAGCACTGTCGCTTTTGGCTGCATGTCTGAATTTGTTTCCCCTACTTTTTTCCATGCGACATTAAACTCCGCAGCATGTTTTTTGTTACAGTTCTTTGCGATCAATTCGATGATTTCGTCCTTCTTCAGAAACTGATAATCAGATGGTGACTTACGAATAAGTGACAAAGCTGCTTCATGCTTAAACACCACATCTATTTCAAATCCTCCTTGGCGACATTTCCCTTCCAGTTTGTATGTCAATCTTGCAATAAAGTTTTTTTTGTTAGGTTAGACAAAGAGGATCATTATGACTTGTGTAAACATGAGAGAATGGTTAGAAGCTTACCCTGTGTTCTCTCCACGAACTTTGCAGATGCTTTTTCTGTATATAAACTTTGGAATGTTAATCAATGTCATGTAAGTAACCTGTTGCAAAAAATGTCAGATGTATTATACAGGTAAACAGATGGAAATGAACAGTTGTTGTCAATTTTGGTGTTTGTTCGTTTACCTCTGTGAAATCTGACAGGCCCTCCATCCTTTCTTTTATCTCTCTCAGCGATTTCTTTTGCAGTTGATTGCTTAGCAGATGTCCACTTTTTTTGCAAGTAGCATCATCGATGAAATATACAGGTTTGCGACATGCAAGAAAGCTACACGTTGAAAATAAATGTGTAAGTACACTAACTCGATAGGAGTTGAACCAATCAGTTGGGTAAACAAATACACAGCAACTCACATGTTCATGACATCCTTGCAGCAGTCCTGATAAGAATGGATGATGAGCTTGCTTGCAATTGTGGATTGAAATTCATGCTGATACTTACTGTTATGTCTGGGGGATACTCTACTAACTGATCTGATTGTCACAATCAGTGGTAACTTTGACTCAATTGCTGGAGCATTCTTTTGAAAATCATCAATGTCATGGCCACTGTATTCAACATAAGCCTTTGCCCCACTGATTGTAAACCAATGCGTTAACTACACGTTTTGACAAAGTAAAAAAAAGTGTACAATCTTAAGTGCATACCAGACATCTTGTATGAGCAGGTCTAATTTCTGAATCCTTCCTTGAATTCTTTCTGGATGAGTTAGTCTTCTGACACATCCTGTAACATCTATAGATTTAATGTTTGTTATGCTTTGTTTAATGGTGTTTTTAATCAAGGATAGAGAGACATATATTTACCTGAATGGCAGACAAAGTCCTCTGATAGTTGAGGCACAATGGAAAAATCGGCTGCTGTGTATGATCCTGCTGGGAATTGTTGGGGTCCATTTCCTTCTTCAATGTGTCTCCTAATTTGATCTGAAGTGAGGAGCAGGCGTAACTCTCGATGGACAACGCGTGGCACTGACCTTGCTGGACCTGCTACAATATCTTGTAGTTCATGCAGGCAACCAACTTTTATTTTCTGAAAAACCTCAGATGCATCTTCTTCTTCAACTTGTGCTTCGATCAATTTGTTCTGTAAAGTCAATGGTAGATAAATATGTTGTAAAGAGTTTTTGTTCTTTTAGCATTTGTCAGTAGGTTAATTGATGTCCAGTGTTTGTATATTGGCAAGTTCTTTGTCCTAACACTGAATCAAATGCACTGACGAATATTTATGAATATGGTTTGGGTATCTGGAGTCAAACCTTTTTGTCAAGCCAGAGCATGTGATGTGTCCTTTTCTTCCATGTGGATAAAGGCACTTCTCGGAACTCAGTCCATGTAACGACATGTCTTGCAATAACGGTTCGATTGTTTGTTCCCAAACGCAGTCCCCGAAAGCACATGCTTGATTCAATAGACTCTGCAATCCGATTAAAGAAGAATCGATAAATAATAAATGGGTAAAACTTGCATAGGAATCGAGAAGTTCTTGTCGGATTTCTTTCCAGATTCAATGTATTTACCTTTCAGTTCGTTCGGGTCCATTTTGTGTGGGTCCATGGAATCTCACGTTTCAGTCGTACTACACAACTGTAAATCTGTTGGGTAGAAGAATGCTTCCAGTTCTTCGAGATCCTGGTTTCCCTTTTTTGTCTTTAATCTTGAATGCGCGGTTGATTTTAGAAGGCATAAAAAACAATCGGTAGTTTATGTAAGCTAGGGTTAACTTAGGGTAAGTCCTTTTTGGATCGATTGTTTGGGCCTTGACATCGTGTTTGGGCTCTGTATAGTATGCAATGGGTTCTAACTATTGAATCAGGCCTTTTTACAGAAAAGCCTACAATACGTTCCCGCGATGAATGTTCGTCAAGTTGTATCAGTTGGGCTCATCGATTTTCTTTATAAGTTCTCTCTGGATATTCTGAATCGATGTTAACTGATCATAACTCATGACTGCTTTCAAGCTTTGAGTTTCGAAATAATAAACACAAAACTTGTCTCTTGTTAAGAACAACGCAAGAACTGGAAGAACAAATTTCCCCAGGCGTAAAATTCAAAAAGTTGGGAGAGTTAATAATAATCACTTCGAGCTTCTTCGATGATCTCAAAATTAACCAGGTGCAATATCTGTGAAGGCTTCTGAATATACAATGTTTCTTGTGTAATTTGCTGGAATGTCCTCTTCATTTTCAATCAAGAATCTCAAACCATTTGCAGATCTTACTCTTGATGCTGCCACATAAAGCTGTCCATGACTGAATACTGGTTTGGGAAAATAGACTCCAACCTTGTCCAGAGTCTGACCCTGGCTCTTATTTATAGTCATCCCATAACATAACCGTACTGGGAATTGCCTCCTCTTCAGTATAAAGGGCCAGCGTTTGTCTTCTACGTTGAGTACTATTCGTGGTATAACAACCTCTTTTGTGTCAAAAGATCCTCCCATGATGTTTCCAACAATGATATTTTCCCCCAATTTCGTAATCAATATCCTCGTACCGTTACACAGGCCGTTTGGTGGGCTCAAATTTCTCAACAACATGATCGGGGTGTGAACCTTAAGTCTTATTTCATGATCTGGAACACCATTGAACTGAAGAGCATTCAAAAATTCTGTTGGGTAAGTTTCAGCAAACAGTTGAGGTACCTCTGTATCAAGTTGCATAGAGTCTGAACTGTAGTAGCAACGACAATGTCCAGGAATTTTGTGCAACATGAAGTCATTCATTCAGTCACAACTGCATTAGTAGGAGTAACGATTGCCCTTCCACTTAGGTAATCTGTGCTCATGTGTTGTTCCTCAAATGTGTCATATATGTCATTTGTGATTGACTCTATTGGATTTTTTCCAGCATAGATCAAGAGTATTTGTGGTATCTCAATCCAATATGAAGGTGTGTTAGCCATAAAGGATTTTGTTGGAAGCCTTCCATCTCCCAGTGCCAGAATCCACTCACCAAAGTTCATTCCACAGCCGACCAGGTTTCTATTATCCTGTGAATCATTAAGCCTCATGTTCCTTGACAGTTTGAGCACTTTAAAAAAGGGCCACAATGATGACCTTGTGATTGATCCATCCACTGTTTGTTCCCTTCCTGAATCTGAAATTACTGGTAGTGTCTGTCTAAAATCACCACCAAAGA